TTGACAAATATGTTTTTTTTAATCTAAATAAATAAAGAATATTGCCAATATTCAATCAATGTGAATGCGTCTGTGTGTGTGTGTGTGTGTGTGTTTGTTCCGGCGGAAATTCCAGTTTTTTTCGTTGTTTGTGTGTGCATGATTTCTATACCTTGAATCGAAATCAAAATCAAAATCAAAATTCCACTCAATATCGATAATAATAATAATAATAAGGTCGATATATTTGAATGACATCTGTCCGCTTGGTTCGATTTGTTCTCTGTTTATCATCATTATTATTATTATTATTAATAATAATAATTCGATTCGATATATATTGATTTTGATTCAATTCAATTATCGTTGCCTGCTGCTGCTGATTATGATGACAATGTTGAATATTGTTTGATTCAAAATGTCAAAATACTATAATGGTATTTGACAACCAATTGATGATCAATAACCAACATCCAATAACCAAAAATGATGAAATGCATAAAAGGCACGTCGTATAAAACATATATACAAATGACAAATGTCACATTTTTTTTATTTCGCTTTGAAAATATTTCCATTTGGTTACTATTACTAGCAATAACTTACTACTCTCTATCTGTACATACAAAAAAAAGGTGGCAGGTGATACTCTTCGATTTTATTTCTCCGGATATAAATAAATGAATTGAAAACTGACACGCACACAACACACACACACACAAATCATGTCAAATGGTACTGTGTTTGTTTGATTTCAGATTTCAGATTCATATTCATATTCATTCAAATTGTAATGTTGATGACCGAAACTTGATTAAAACAACAAAATGACTGATTGAAATTTCGATTGATTGAATTTTTCTGTTCTGTTCTGGTTTCATCATCATCATCAAAACCAAAAAAAAGAAGGAGTTTTTATGCCTGTCAGAAATGAAACTAAAAAATCAATCAACACACACACACACACACACACACATTTAGCTTTGATGATTTTCTTTCCACTTTTTTAAATGTTATCCAGAGATTCAATAATTATTCTTTGATCACACACACACACACACCTTGATCATCAACTTCTTTTTTTTTTTCTTCATTGCTGATTGGTTTTTTTTTCGTTTTCTTTTGTCTTGATCATAATCGACATTTTGTCTCTCTCTCTCTCTCTGTGTGTGTATATATATGAATTGATGATGATCATTAAAAAATAATCTAAGAATTTTTTTTTCTGTTGTTGTTGTTGTTGTTATTGACGGGTAAAATTCCAAAGTTTTTATATCAACAACGTTGAAAAATTACTTTTTTCTTCCACATTCTGTATACAGCACATATAATCATTAATACTGAATGATGATGATGGTGGTGGTGGTGGTGGTGGTACTCATCGATTCCATTGAATAAAAAGTCACTGATATCTCTATCAGATTGGTTTTCATTTTACTTTATTTTTTATTCTATTTTTTTGGTTGCACTGCATTCATTTGATCACAATTTTACAGTAAACCTAAACGTTGTGATGTATGGGAATAAGTTGTTGAATCCATTAATCATTCAATAATATTCACCAAAAAAAATACATCAGACGATGAACATTTTTTTTTTGTTCGATACAATCGATTATTGCAATTCAATATATATGATGATACTGGATTCTTGGAATTCGAATTTTTGTTGTTGTAAACGAACGACACACAATATATAACCATTATTATTATTATATACACTGAATTTTAGTTTCGATTAAAAGTTTTGTTTATGTTTTTGTTTGGTTATGTGACTTGATGATGATGATGATGATTGGCCATCATTGACTTGATTTTTATGTTTTGAATTCTATTCATCCAATTCGGTTACGAACCATCTCAATAGATTGGATTGGATGTGATGAAAAACTGAAAACATGTGAAATGCATTTAACCAACGATAATAATTATGTTTAGATTAAATGTAATGAAAATAAACAAAAATCAAAATCAAAATGGCAAATGAGATTGACTCAACCACTTGACCATCACCACCACCACCACCACCATCACATTATATGTCAGGTATGATCATGATGAACATGATATTTCAATTAGGATCACTGCTATTTTCTAGAGTTTTTTCTTGGATCTAAATCCAAAAACATTTTGTTTACGTTTATTATTCAAATTTGGACAAATTTTGTTTTATTTTTGTGCTTCTGATGGTGATTGTTGTTGATTTGTTATCGATTATTCGTGTTGTGTCAACAACAACAACAACAACAAAAAAACTGTCATCATTGTTGCTGATTTTCAATTCAAATCATCATCATCATCATCATCATCATCAAAGATATGATTGGAATGTTAAAATGTTTCTTTCATCACCAATTAGTAGCTTTTTGATGTCTGAAAATCGAATGTTTATCGATGCCAAAAAAAATGACTATTAGTCACACCACAAAACAAAACGTCATAGTTGACATACATTCTCTCTGTATAGTAATCAAATCAAATTATATCACACACACACGCACAAACTAATGGATAGAATCGTTATGGACATTCCAATCAAAGCAATCAATTAGCCCACATTGACATTGTTTCTATATGTGATTGAACAAAAATCAGAATCGACCAAGAACAAAAAAACCTAAAATCAACAACATTCTCAATTCAATTACGACCCAAAAAAAAATGAATGAATGACCGATTTCTATCTATCTCATTGCACATCTGCTTGTTTGATTGTAACGAAAACCAAAAAACAAAAACAAAAAATTCTCCTAATCGTTCATCGATATCGATGATATTGATACCCGAAAAGAAAAAAAAATAAATATAAAAACTTCATGTCTATACACACACACACACCAGCAAAAAAATGAATTTGCATGAATTTTTTCTTCACTTCATGTTACGTACACAAGAATAGAAAAAAAAACTTTAGCAATATTTTAGACATGTAGAATATTCTATACATATATTTGTGTGTTTAGAATTCTTTTACTTTATTCTTTTTTTTGAGCACTTTCTCCACTATTCAAGGCTCATAAATTTCAACACACACACACACATATTCACAACTTTCATATATGGCCAAAAAAAAAAAAAAAAAAAATAACGAGAGAATATCTTTATCATCTTATTGTTTTTTTTGTTCTCACTGACTATGGCTAGAAAATATTCTTTCTACTGATCATCATCATCATCATTGAATATTCTTGTTTGATATTTTTTCGATTCGATAAAAGTTTAGTTGTTAGTAAAATCAGATTCATTCAAATGAATGTGCCTGTCAGTGAAATGGTGTGTGTGTGTGTGTGTGTATGTGTGTATATATACCATATGAGTTTGTTTTCCCCTGTTTTGTTGTGAAATTTATTTGGATTTTTTTTCTATTCGATTCTGTTTGATTTGATTTTTGATAGATTTTTTGTTTGTTTGTTTGTTTCAAATAGGTTATTTTTTTCTGGATATTGTAACGCAGTGTGCAAATAATAATAATAATAATAATATTCATTTCGATTCTGGATCAACATTCATTCATTCATTTTTTCATTTTTTGCCGTGTAGGAAAATTGGAATAAACAGAATCGTTTTTGGTGTGTTTTTTTTTGTTTTGTTTTAGTTTTACTATTCACACACACACACACACATTTTGTTTCAAAATAGCAAAACACTTTTTCTCATCATCATCATCACTATTTCGACTTTGTGACAATAATGATGATGATGATGACGTTTTTTTTTGTTCCAGTGATGAAATTTTCATCATTGAATGTGAAAAATTACCCATGAGAATTGAAAAAGAACGATGGTTAATCTCTTTTTATTCGATCAAGGGTAAATGCTTCGTTTTTGTTTTTGTTTTTTTTTTTTGGGTTATGAACTTGTCACACACATAGTATGACTGAACGAGGTATATGACTGAGGTTGACAACATATCAGCTCATCATCAAGCATCAAGCATCAACAACAATAAGCTAAAGTTTTTTTTTCTCTATTTTTGTTTCTAAAATCAGAAACAAACATCAAGAATAAACAACGAAAACGGATTCAGACACTCTTGAATTGTATTTCTTTATTATAATTCTGGTTTTTATGACATAACATAAAACAGATGCAAATTTTTTTCTGGTTTTTTCTCCTGATATTCATTGTGTTGTTTCAATGAGAGAGAAAAAATTAATGTTGTTGTTGTTGTTGTTGTTGTTGGTGTGTGGAAACAATAACAACAACAACAACAACAACAAAAAACAAGAAATTCACAAACAACATACACACAGAAAAGTAAAGTATTCTGGTTTTGAATTTTTATTGACTAAATTTTTTATTTTTTTTTGTTTTTCAGGAATTTAAAATCATCATAAAAAATTTGATTATAGAATGAAAAATCCTGTGATATATAATTTGTTATATTATATTCGTCAAGTAGTCAAAATAGTCGAATATAATGGAATCTGGATCTAACTGCCGCCCGTCCCTTGGCCACGATTTCGTTAATAATCAATGGAAATTCTTGTATGCCAATGAATGATGATGAAATTTTTAATTGATTAATCATTTAATCAATCAAAATTGAAAAAAAATCCAATTGTGACAATATGACAAGATATAAAACTAAAATAGCATCATCATCACCACCACCAACAACAACGATGATGATGATTGGTGATGATGGTGGATCGAATGATGAATACGGATTTGAGCATAAAATGAATCATCACCATCGTAACCACCATCCTTATCAACAACAATTGTATCAATGTTCACCATTACCATCATCAACATCATCATCGCCATGTTATTATCATCCACCACCACCACACCACCACTACCACTATCGCCAACAGCAACACATCCTTATGATCATCAACAGCAACAAAAATTACATGATTATATTACATCATCATCATCAACGGATCTTCTACTGATTAAAGATGAAAATAAATCAATATCTCAATCAATGAAACATTATCATCATCATCATCATCATAATCATTATAGATCATCATCATCATCATCATCAACGAATAATAATCAAATGTGGTGGACATTATTATTATGTTGTTGTCAAAGTCATCATCATCATAATCATCAACAACAACATTCAAAAAATCAATCAAAACGTTTGCTACCATTTCGTTTACCACGTCGTATGATTGCTAAAATTTTTCAGGTAACCATTAGTTTCAAAAAAAAAAATTTTTTTCACTATTCGGTAAAAAAAATGATGGAAAAATTCTTGGTAGTAGTAGAAACATTAGATGGATAGAATTCTAATAGATGACGTTAATTTTTTTTTATTTTTTTTCTGACTATGAATGTCTGACAATAATAATAATATTAGATCGATCGATCGATCATCTTCATGGTGATGATACACACAATTTTCATATATCGAAATGTATTTCACATCATCATCATTTTTATATTCAATAAATTCAAGCTTCACCCTCGCAAACACACACACGCACTCAGAGAAAAGCCGACCAAAAAAAAATGAAATTTCTTATTGTCTGTTTGTCTGTGTGTATGTTTTGTTATTGTGTAATGGACAACAACAAGAATAACAACAACAATTGGCACAGCTAAATACACCGTTGGGACCTTTTTTTCACGAATCAAACGAACGGAAAAAAATTCGTTCGTTTCAATTGAAAAAAAAATTTTTTTTTCAAAGCAATAAATATTCTCTCGTCTTTTTTTTTGTTTGACCATCATCAAGAATTGAATTCTTTTTCTCTCTCTCTCTCTTTGATCAAGAATTTCTCTTTCTCTCTCTGGAATTGAAAAGTTTTTTTTTCTCTTCAAGAAAATTCATTGAATTCAATTCTTTATCTGTCGTTTGTTCGGGTGTGTGGTATGATGTTCAATGGTATAATGTTAACGTCAATTTATTCTACATTAGAAAAAAGTGGATTTTTTCCGATGGACACTCGATGTTTGGGTTTGATTTTCGTGTTTGTGTGTATGTATGTCTCCAATGTTTGTATTTATGGCATATGGCTACCATCATCATGAATTTTTATATAAATCGATCATTTGGGATGTTGTCATCAGAATGAAAAAAAAAGAGAAATGAATCATTATAAATGCATTTCACTTCTCTTTTTTTTTGTTTTGCTTGGCTATTAACCCTTTTTTTCATCTAAATCTCATCTTCCACCACCACCACCACCCCTTCGCTACCAGCATTTTCAATGATTAAATTTGGAATTGAAATTATCCACTATCCTTTCTCTCTGCGTGTGTTTATTGTGCGTCCATTACTTCCTACTGTGCTGTGCTGTGCTGTGTTATACACAAAATCCATAAATTTCAATTTTAATTTTCGAGGAAAATAAATTTTCGAAAAAATTTTTTCATATGCCCATCATATTCAATGTGTGTGTGAGTGTGTTTTGAAATGAAAAATCATAACCAATTTTTTTTTCATTCAACGCTTGCGCAATTGTTGGCTTGTTCGATTGGTCAGTTTTTTTTATTTCATTCATTCTTGGATACAAAATTTCAAATTTATAGCCAAAAGTAATCAAAAGTTTTGAACATTTCGAATTGATTTTTTTATTGAAATGGAAGAAAAAAATCTTTTCATTACTTGAAAAATTATTATCTTGGGTACCATTTGGATCCATCCATTTGCCCACCAAATCAACACACAACTAACCGATTTTTATATTATATTCTTTTTACAATTCAAAGTCATCATCATCATCATCATCATCGCCGTCAATCGTCCATTCGGTAATCACCGTCATGATGATTAGACTACCCACCGTATACCATTTTTTTTCAATCATTTTTATTCATTACCGCTGTTGTTGTTGTTGTTGTCTACTGTGTTGTTTATGATGATGGATATATTGTTTTTATTTTATCGCCCTCCCACACACACACACACACAACACATCAACACCCACAACTAAAACAATTTGTTAGAATGGCTGATTCCATTTATTATTCATATTCATCATTATCATCTCATCATGTTGATTGTTGTTGTTGTTCATAAATGTTGACAAACTATTCTGCTTGAGGTTTACAAATTATATAATGATGATGATGGTGTCGGTGCATAATTTTTTTTTCTGAAAAAAGTTTTCATTTCATTTTTGTTGATTTTTATTCGAATTTTTTGTGTATATATTCCTATTACGGTAGAAATAGTTGTCTATATTTCGTCAATTTATTTTCACAGTCAATTTTTATTTTATTTTATTTTATTACTGTCGATTCAATTCAATTTCCAAACTTTCTTTATTGACAAGAAAATGTGATACATAAAGATACCACATTCCTGTAACAAACACACAGTATAACATTTACATTTATATATGTATTCGAATGTTTTTTTTGGAGAAAAGAGAAAAAAAAAGTTTTTTTTCTGTCCATTGTGATTCTTTTTTTTTGTTGTTGTACCGGAAATGTGTATCACACGACAAAACTTTGGCTATTTTTTTTTTTGATCTTATGTAAAGTATATATAATGATGTGTGTGTTGATTACTCTAATTTTTTTCTTCTTTTATCGTTTAGTTTATTTTTTTGGTAGTCTTAATTGCCACTGTGATCGTGAATATTTTATTCATAATCGATACAACAAATCGTTTAAGAAATAATCAACAAACAATTTTTAGCCAAATTAATCCATTGGCTGGTAAGTTGTTATTGGTTTTTGTTTTCATTTTTGAATTTATTCGATGATTCAATAATTTTTTTTGTTGTCTTTGAAATCATTCACTTAGATGGTGGTGGTGCATCTGCGGATTCTTCAGCAACAAATTTTCTTTCATTCGATACATCCATTGTTGATGGACAACAACGAACAAATTTTATTCCATATGATCAATCGAATAACAATATCGGTGACAATGATGATAAAGCCAATAAAGCTGGTCAGATAGCATCAAGACATCTGGAATTGGAAATTTTATCCAGTCAATCTAGAGTTTATGTTATGGTTGATGGAACAACTGTAAGTTTTTATTGTTGATTTGTTTGCCATTACAATTATAATGGTTTAATGTTGCTGATTTTTTTTAGATTCTAGATGATTCCGATGAAACAAAAGGCCGTGGAATTCATGTACTTGTATTACATCAATCAACTGGATCAATTATGGCACAAAGATTATTCGATACATATTCACCACATGAAGATGAATCTATGTCTTTGTTTCTCAATCTAATTACCGATGGTCGAATAATTGTATTCGCCATCAAAGATGAAGGAACATTTCAAATGAAACAAGCTGCTCGTGATTTATTGAAACGAATGGGTTCCAAACGATCACATCAGATTGGATGGCGTGATATGTGGTGTTTTGTTGTCCGTAAAAATACACAAGATGGTGATAAGAGCGAATCTTCATCGAATGTTTTTGGAGAAGCTTATGCTAAATCTCCTGATTTCAATAGTTGGGCAGCACCAGTTATGCTACAAGCAACGGTACCATTGGTACCAAGCGATCAATCCGAATGTAAACAATGGTCCGATACGGAAGAAAATCGTCGGCGGCGATCATTCTGTTCACGTATTGAAGGATATGGTTCTGTTTGTAATTGTAATGATCCAGCTATGATTGATTTCTCTTCACTATCTCGGGTATCACATGATGAAAAATCCGAATATGAACGTATATCACGTGTACCGGTATCGATAGTTGCATCGAATCGTCCACAATATCTTTATCGAATGTTACGTACACTGTTATCGGCACGTGGTTGTAATCCATCCATGATAACCATTTTTATTGACGGTTATTTCGAAGAACCATTAGAAGTGACTAAATTATTTGGACTTCGAGGTAAGAATGTTGAGTGATGATTTTTTTCAAAATGTTTGATTTCTTTCTTTACCTTTTAGGAATTCAACATACACCTATTGGTATTAAAAATGCTAGAATATCTCAACATTATAAAGCTAGCTTAACGGCAACATTTAATCTTTTTCCTGATGCTGAATATGCGATTATTCTTGAAGAAGATCTCGATGTTTCACCAGATTTTTTTAGCTATTTCGGTCAAACAATGCCATTGTTGGAACAAGATCCAAGTTTATATTGTGTATCTGCTTGGAATGATCAAGGTTATGAACACACCAGTCAGGATCCAAGCTTATTGTATCGAGTGGAAACTATGCCCGGTTTGGGATGGATATTGAGTCGTAAACTTTATAAAGATGAGCTTGAAACTAGATGGCCTACACCGGAAAAACTTTGGGATTGGGATATGTGGATGCGATTACCAGATATACGCCATGATCGTGAATGTATCGTACCGGATGTTTCTCGTACATATCATTTCGGTTCTTCTGGTATCAACATGAATTCATATTTTCAAGATGTTTATTTCAAAAAACATGCCTTCAATACATTGCCATATGTTCGTATGCGAAATCTAGATAGGTAGGTTTTGCTTTTATTTTTGTTACTTAGATGATCTAATCCATTGAATTTATATATTTTATTAATTAGCCTAAAAAAAGATAATTATGAACGAATGATTGAAAAAATGATAAAAGCAGCACGTCTAGTTGATCATTCAAAAGATCCATGTGAAAATGATTTTATACCATCATCATTATCATCATCATCATCATTAATAAATCTTTCTTGGAATGACACCGATTCATATGTAAATTCGGGCAATAATGCTGCTCATCATCAAACATATGTTATTTATATAAAACAAATGAATTCTAGAGATTTTCAAACCTGGCTACATGTTGCAAAATGTTTTCGAATATGGGATCTAGATGCTCGTGGCTATCATAAATCAATGTGGCGTTTTTTCTGGCATCGACATCATGTTCTAGTGATTGGTGTACCACATTCACCATATTCACATCTGAAACCTGCAAATATTATGCCCATATCGGTCAATGATACAACACAAAATCCAATTATCAATTGAATTTTCTACTGATTCACTCCACAATTTTTCACTCGAATCAGAAGTGTGATAATCCAATATTTATATACCCTTGATTCCTTTTTTTTCTCTCAAATTCTCTTGCTAAAAACGAAACGAAAGTCATCATCAGTCATGTTTTTACATTCAAATGTGTGTGATATATTCAACGGCGCCATTCAACAACAACAAAAAAAAAGACAATTCATTGATTCATAGAAGATACACAAGTTTTGTGCCAAACAGCAAAAAAAAAGTCAATACCGTCATCATAATCATCATCATCATCATATTTTTTTTGTTCATTTTTGGCCAATCTGTTTTTTTTGATATGTTTTTTTTTCACTCGATGTTATATCGTAGTTATGTTCTCGTTTCATTCCACTTTCACAATTGATTAGATCTTTATTATCTATATAATATGTATGTAATTTGTATTTTCATCATAATCTTAAATCAACAAAAAAAAGACAACAAACAAATCTGTTTATTTCAGCGAAAAAACAAAAACAGATTTCCAACACTAGCTACGATCTAAATCACCCTTTTATTCTTCTTTTTTTTCGTTATTTAATCGATAAATTCATCAACATACCGATGATTCGATGATGGAAAAAAATGCCTTCGTTATGCAATTGTTGTTATTATTTTATTTTTAATTTAATTTTAATAAATTTTCATTTTTAATTTTTTTTTTTTTTTTTTGAAATGAAAACGACTATTTTTACAAATTTAGATCTGAGGAGAGAGTTGTTATATTTGAAAAAAATATTTGTCAGGGAATTGTTATGATTTTCATAAAATCATAATAATACCGGAAATGGAAATATTTTATCTCCTTTCTTTTTGTTATTGGAAATAAATTTCATAGAAATCATAATCATAATAATCTAGTTTAGTATTGGGAGGTATGGTGGTTGTGATGAAATTTTTCCCATCGTTCCAGAAGAATTCCATCAATTCATTTCGTACGTGTTTCGTGATTGCACAGAAGAATTTCTTGCGATATTCAAATGGCACACGAGAATCGGCTGAATTTGCGAAATTCTGTGGCCGTCCTCTCTACTTCCTTGTTGCGAATAACGGGCTTCCTACTATTTCGATAATGATGTTGTGTAGCAGGGCAACATGCTAACACAATTTTCTCAACATTTGCTGGCTCCATTGACAATGGAGCAGCATTTAAACAGCGAAATTTTGACACCATTATTCCAAAGGCGCATTCAACTACGCTTCTTGTCAGGCTAAACGACAAAAAAAAGACTATTAGGTTTTAATCTTATGGAATTTAATTGGTATAAAGAATGAAAAAATTGAAAACATTATTTCAATATTTGGAATCAATTCTGAAAAAAAATGGAGAAACAACTTACCTTTTTTATGAAATTACAATTCAACAAACAAAACCGAGTCAACATTGGAAAACACAAATAATCGAAAAAATACATTCTTTCCACGTGGATATATATAATGTTTTATATTCGAATTTACATGTGGCTGTTATTTTTAACAATTCGAAAATAGAACTATATTACTCTCTTTTTATATCATTTTATGAAAATTAAAAAGATGAAATTATCATTTCTATCAATAGATGGCAATATCTACTCAAAAAAAAAATCAAATTAACATTAAAACGAAAATAGAACGATTTCAATCAATGTTTTTTTTTTTAATTCATCGAGAAGTAATAATAATTCAAACAGATATTTTGATCATGACAATCACTGGTTAATGTAATTGATTTCTTTTATTTTATAGAAGAAAAAAAAATGACAATAGAGTCATAATATAATCATCATTTACAATGTAATATTTCAAGGTGTGTGTTTGTGGTGTGTGTGTGTATTGTGATGGCACATCATTGATGATTTATTGATTTTCATTCTGTCATCATAATTATTTAGAGCTAAAGCTCGTTATTTTATATTAACGAAAGATTAATGTCATAAGCAATGAAATAAATACATGTGTGTATTATAAAGATGTATTATTGATTTTTTTCCCTATGTAGGTTTTTTTTAATAATGATAGAAAAAAAAATTGATTCTATTCACACATTTCCTCCCCCCCAAATGGTCAAATATTTTTTTTGCGTAATATAAATGTGTTTTCTAATAAGTCCCAGAAGAGTAATCATTTAGAGCTGTTCCAATTGATTTGCATATAGATCAGGTAAATTGGTTTCCGTATAATTTGTCACTTTTTTCATCAACGTCAATTTCGGTTGATCGGCTGGTTTTGTTTTTGTATGCCATACAAGTACCTACAAGTTCATTGATGAATTAAAAAAAAGAATAAGCTATTATATGCACACACACACACACACACACTATTGATAATTATCGAGTATATACCTGTGTACAATTTTGAGCTTTTGGTTCCAATTGCCAAATTTGTACGCCCAGACTTTTTAGAAAATAATCCTCTTCATAACCAACTTTGTATGGCATTGTGGCTTTCTTTTGGTTTAGAAAAAATTGTAAATTGACTGCAAATCCAGCCATATCGACAGCAAATTTTCTACGACCAATGAATGGATCATGGAAACCAATTATTTTGCCCGATTTTCGACTAACAATCGGTGTTGAAAGACCAAGTGTAGAAATCAATCCGACTGGAAACATTGAGACAATACGTGTAGAACGCATTTCTTCGAATATCCTCACATCATAGGCATTATCATCATCGGCAAAATAGATGACGCCTTTTTGTGTTGTATTTGAATAATTTTCTCGAAGCCATTCAAATGCACGTAATCGATTGGATACACCTCGTCCACTACGTTTGTCTAAATGTGTAGGTGGCCTTGGACCAAGTAGATGAGCATAAGGAGCATTTGTTCGTCGTAACAAATCTTCAACACTCCTGTGTCAAAAATAAAATTAAAAAAAAATAACACCCACATACATTCACATAGAAGAATAATAGCATACCTGGATCTATTATGGGCATCTTCAACTACGATCCAAAAAATGTCTGGGACTAATTGAAGTGTTTGTGATAATCGTGTCATGTCAGCCGCTTGTGTAGGCCGTGTATATGTTGGTGTAATAAGGAATATTAATATTCGTTCTGGATCATATACCGGTTCACCCGGTATGAATGGCATTCGATGATTTTGACTATTACTACTACTACTGTTCATATCACAGATACAATTCGATTTTGAATCACTTGACTGTTGAAAGGATGATGATGATGATGATGATGATAATGATGGTGGACGAATTTCAATCCATGATGATGACGATGATGATGATGATGATTTTGATGATGGATTAGACATATCCATGCCTTCTTCTTCACCATCATTAGAACTGGAATTTAAATCTCCTGAATGTAATGAATCGCCACCAACGCCAGAAGCGGCAGCAGCAGCAGCAGCAGAAGCAATATCATTATTATCATTGGAATAATCAACGATCCCTGTATGTGTGTGTGTGTGTGTGTGTATGAATGGTCAAAATAAATAGATCAGAAGCAAAAAAAAAAATGAAAAGTCAGTATAAATGAAAACTATATACATGATTATTTCCTAATCAGTGTGAGAAATGAAAAAAAAGAGAGAATTTCCTAATCGTCAAGGACAATTTACAACAACAACAAAAAACAAAAAACATAGTCATCATCATCATTTTATTTGAAATGAATGAATTATTTAACTATTGTTGAAAAAGAAGGAGTAGTAGTGGTGAATAATAGTTTTTTTTTCTTACAAATGAAAACTAAAACAAAAGCAGTGAAAAAAAAAATGAAAGATTAATCAGGCTACAGTGAACGACACACACGCGACACACACACACACAAAAATAATCGTCATGCAGTCAAAATGGATTGAATAAGAAAAAAAAAACGGGAAAAAAAATTTCCGCATTCGTAATGATAATTGGCCAATAGGTCTCTATAATAATGACGATGATGATGATGATAATGATTTCGAATGTGAAAAAAAAACGAAATATATAAAGTGCCAAAGAACAAATGATTTACAAAAGAAAAAAAAAATTCGGAACAATGTCATCATCCATCATCATCGTCATCATTATTATCATCAATCGAATCTATAATAGAATGAATTTGTTGCAATAATTTTTTGACCATGATCGATCATCGAATGTCCGGAACAAATGAACAATAATGGCTTGATAATTTAATGATCAAAAAAAAAAAAAAAAAAATAATCATCATCAATCCGTTCAGGTGATGGAACATTATTATTTTGTTCAAGTTCATGATTTATATTATTATTGTCATCATTTTTTTAAGACTTATAATTTCCAACGTCAACGTGGAAAAAAAATTGTAAAAGTAAAGCAAATTTTTAGTGACATGAAGAGTTGAAAAAAAAATTCCATTCATAAATCTTGATGATCATTTAAATTATGCATTCCATTTTAGATTTCAATCTATCACTATTGTTTGTTTATATCAGCAAAATTTCAAGCTTCATTTGAAGAATTTGGCCTACAAACAAAACAAAACAAAAAAATTCACACAATCAAATAAAGGATGATCATGAACATTAGTGGAGAAATCGCATCATCATCATCAACAGGTCACAAGATTAAATCAGATCTCATCTTCATCTTCAAGATCATCATACGAAGGCCAATCATTAGGCTTTTATGTATTTTTTTTTTTACTTCATTAGACTGTGTTTCATGTCATTTCATAAACTTCAATTAGGAAGCACACACACACACACACACATTCAATACAAGCATAGGAAATCAATCAATCAAAAGAATGGATTGAAAAACTTTCGCATAGTGTGTGAAGCTTTCTTGAAACTTTTTTTCATTGAGATTATACATTTTTTACACAGGTATAATACACAGGCACTTACCGTCAGGATTATTATGTAGAATAATAAAAAATATAAATGGCAATGTTAATATGATTCCTAATGGCCATGTTGATTTTTTAATACTACTGCTACTGCTGCTGCTGCTACTGTTACTATTGTTATTGGTTGATGAAATGTTTGTTGTCGATGATTGTTGCTGTGAACGAATATTTGGTAATTGTTGATATTGATTTGATGTCATTTGCCACATGATTTTTTTTTATTTATTTGTTGTTATAGAATCGGTGGTATAGTCTCGATTTTTCACCATTCAAACGTAAATATAATCAACAGATTTTTGGTCGATCGGTGTGATGATGATGATGATGATAATGATCAATCGAATCCGTTACTAATTTGAACATAGAAAGAAAGAAGAAAATAAAAATTTTGTCATTATCATTCATATTTGATCGAAAAAAAATCAAACGAAAACATACAATTATCATAACAACAACAACGAAAAAATATAATCGAAATGATCAACAACAAATTGATGCTATTCTTATCGGAAAAACATTTTTCAATAGTGACCGAAAAAAATTGAAAATTATTATCGTTTATATTCAACCTAACCACCAAACAGAAAAAAAAAATAGAAATCCGTTTAGATTATTGTTAGCCAATAGGTTTTAGCATTACATATATATGTATAATTATATTTATTTATTACTAAAAACTGGTCGCTTTTGCCTTGTCCCCTTCATTTCTTATCATCATCATCATCATCAGGCATTACTCCTCCTATCAATCAGGCAATAATGACAAGCAAGTTGTAAAAAAAAATAAAATAAAATTAGCGAACTACCACACACACACAAGATGTACAGAAAAAAAATAACGGATATTTCATATCATCACTTTTTTTTTATTATCCTCACACACACACACAAACATCAATGTTATCACGTATAATGATGACGATGACGATGAAAGAAATATATCCACAGATATATTCAACAGTTTTGTTGTTGATGATTATGGTGGGTAAAAATTTTTGAAGAAAAAAAAAATTTCCATTCTCACTCTTTTCATTATCAAAAAAAAAAATGCCCCTTGTTCGATAATAAAGAAAAACATTTCTTTCATTCTGAATATCTTCACTCATACACACACACACAATAAAAAACATCATGGTTGTGTTTTTTATTTCTTGAATAAAAAACCACAATATAAGTTCCGGCAGTTAATATTGCTGCTAATAAGTGGAAAAAAAAGTTAATGATCATCAATCAATCAGTTATATTCAGCTAAATTCAATATTCAAGGTGGCTGTCAACTTTCAATCGATTATCGATGATCGAAAAACTCAATTCATTCAATGTGAAAATTTTGATGATAATGATGATGAAAATCAATTGAATTAAACAAAAAAAACACATATTGTTCAAAGAGTTCTTATAGAGAGAGGGGTTTATTTTGAAATGCTAAACATTCAAAAATTTATTATTACACTCGACAATATCAATGTGCCAACCATAAATCATTAATTATTAATCTAGGCAAACAAAAAAAAAAAAAAGTCACCGATTATAATCATCATCATTATTATAATCCAGAAAAACACGATTGTTAAATTTCACAATCATTTAAAGAAGGCTAAAGATGATCATGATCATCATTGTCATTATTCATTTTAAACGAATTTGGACATTTATAATGGATGTGATGATAATGAAAATAATTAAACAACAAAAGAAACATACACAAACAAACAGTGAAATTAATAAAACTCTGATGATGATGATTTACATTGAAACAACAACAACAACAACAAAAAATTAAATGGCATGGCAAATCAATCATCACTGATGATTGACCACACACATACAAACAAAAAATCAAACATGATGTTTCAATCAAACACTATTTACCTTTTTTTCTCTGATGATTAGTTTTTAGAAAACTAAACAAAAAAAAAAACTGGCGAAAAAAAAACTCACTGAAATAAATATGGTTATGGTTATATTTCACCGGATGAAGAACAAATGACAAAATGAGAAAGAGAAGAGAGAGAAACGAAACATATAATAAACAACCGACCAACCAACAAACCCAAACAAACTGAACAAAAAACCGATATAAAATGCAACAACACGACTACAGCTGCAGTAAAGAAAAAAAAATGACGGATGAAGATTTCGTCATGTTTTTTTTTGTCGAAATTTTTTTTTTTACGGCCCAATATCCTTGCACTCACAATAGTGTGACAAAAAAAAATAATAATATCATCTTCACATTATTATGATTGAAAACAAAAAACAAAAAACAAAACAAACCATACACACAGTACATGCACACATTAAATGAAATATAAAATGACTAAAAATCAGGATTATAAAAAAAAGTCTTACCGGGAAAAAAAATGCCAACAATGGTATATAGGCAATCTGAATGATGACTGATGATGATGATGATGAAGAATGATAATGATCGAACGGAAGTTTCTGTGATATCAAACCAACCATCACTACCAATAAAATGAAATGGATGGAATATATAACATTTCTATTTTTGTTACTTTCACTTTTTTTTTTGGCCGAGCAGCAAGGTGGTAATAGCGGTAATGAAAAAAAAAAATTCGAATTGAAATTGAATTATTAATATAACGGAGAACAAAAAAACAAATTCTGAATTTGATTACGTCGTGTCAATTGAATAAAAAAAAAATTTTTGAAAATGTGAAAATGACGATATTCAGTAAACAATGGTATGTATTAACGAGGGTATATGGGGTGATCTTTGTTGTTGTTGTTGTTATTGCTCGTTATGAATTGTGAATGTTTTTCTGTTGCTGTTGTTCTTGTTGGACATATCATCATAATCATCTATATTGATGGATAATAAATACCAGATAAAGTAAAATGATTATGGCCACATGGCAACAATAATGGTAACATTGTTATAGTAGAAATTGATGAGAAAGAAAAAAAAACAAGAATTCATTAACAAACGAACGAAAGAAAAGGAGCAGCAAACACACACACACACATAGTGGTATTTTTTCACAATGAATGATATTTTTTCTTGATCATCATCAAATTGGTCAGGAAATTGTTGCTTGCACATACAATTTTTTTTTTGGTATGTATGTGTGTGTATGTGTGCATATATGCATGTGGTGGTAGATGGGGAATGGTCAGATATACAATACGATGATCATCAAAATGAAATGGTGTGAATGAAACGATGAAGAAATTCATTCAACTGGACTGACGGCTGCCACTATTTTGCCACCGCTACGATCATCATCATCATCGTCAGCTTTTCGATGGATGGCGATCATCGAAAAAAAAAAAAAAGAAAGAGAATGATTTGAAATGAGCAAGTAAAAGAGAATGTTTGTCTGTATGTGTGTGTGTGTGTTGTGTGTGCTTGCGTATATATTTATGTGAACAAAATATCTTGACACGTTCTTGTTTCTTACTTACATCAAAAGAATATAATGAAAAAAAATTCCAATGACGAATGTGTGAAACATAACAAAATAATGAATCATGACCGGAAAAGCCGAAAAGATGTCATTGCTGTTGCGTTTTGTGGCTATATTAGCCACTTGTGGTGTTTAATGTAACACATGATTTTTTGTTTGTTTGATGGTGGTGTCTCTTTTTGTCGATTGTGGTAATGTTTTTGGTTATTTAGGTTATTATTATTCTCCATACAAATTTGAATTTGATCGTTGGAAAAATCGAAGATCAGGGTTAGTGTGTGTGTTGTGTGTGCTTGCGTATATATTTATGTGAACAAAATATCTTGACACGTTCTTGTTTCTTACTTACATCAAAAGAATATAATGATTAAAACAAGCTTAAAAATTTTAGACAATTATTGATGACCAAATGGAATTTTTTCGAATTCTTAATTTATTAAAAAAAAAAATTCCAATGACGAATGTGTGAAACATAACAAAATAATGAATCATGACCGGAAAAGCCGGAAAAGTTTACATTTTGGCCTTTAGATGTCATTGCTGTTGCGTTTTGTGGCTATATTGGCCACTTGTGGTAGTAATAGCCTCGAATACATTGTAAACAATTGAATAACACATGATTTTTTTGTTTGTTTGATGGTGGTGAAAATACTGTTTTTTTTTATTTGCCATCTATTTTGTCTCTTTTTGTCGATTGTGGTAATGTTTTTTGGTTATTTAGGTTATTATTATCATTATCAACATTGATTCAATCATTAATTGTCGTATGTTTTCCTTTCGAATCGCCATCGCCATTCGAAATGTGACATTCTAAATAGTGGTCATGATTGTTTTCATATAAAATCGTTTTTTGGATTGGTTGCTTTTACAAGATTCTGGATCACATTGATCAATTGAAGTTAAATCAATTTGAAAATTGATCAACGAACAAGTGAAAATAAATAAAAAAAGTTTCGAGTCTTTTGGTTTTCAAACATAAAATATGAATAAAAAATTGGGTACACCCATCGGTAAAATGGTCGTTGGTATTCGACGTTCAATCGGTAATCATCATGATTGTAGTGGTGAAAAACAACAACAATCAATGTATTGTAATAAATGTTGGCAGCATAAATTAAGTATTGATTTGAATCATTCAAAAGCATGGCATCCTAAACATTATCAACAACATCGAAATCCTTTATATGAAACAAAAACTATACGAATTATACGTGCTGATCATATCGAAACAAATGCCAAATTGGTGATCAAAATGATTGATCTAGATTCCTCAAGCAACGATGATAATGATGACCAACAACAATCATCAATGATTGATGTACATATTACCGAGATCAATATGATGGCCAAATTACGACATCCAAATGTGATACAAATGTTGACATCATTTGTCAATGATAACTATCTATGGCAGATTATGCCAATGGCTGAATATGGATCAGCCGATCAATGGTCACGACCAAACGGTTTACCCGAATTAACTATTGCGTTAATAATCAAAGATGTTCTAAATGGTTTAAACTATCTACATCGTAAAGGTATTATACATCGAGCCGTATGTGGTTCGCATATATTAATCATGGCTGATGGAACATGTGTACTCACTGGCCTTAAATATTCTACCAATGTCTTACAAATGGGTAGATGGCAAACAAAAATTCATCAATATCCACGACAAGCGACTGCCAAATTATTGAATTTTCTTGCACCAGAAATATTGGAACAAAATCTACTTGGTTATAATTCTAAATCAGATATTTATAGTCTAGGTATTGTTTGCTGTGAATTGGCCAATGGTTGTATACCATTCGAAGATATTGTTCTTACCGAAATGTTATTAGATAAATTGACTGGCAATTTTCCTCGGCCATTAGATTCGACTTGTGATGAGATTCGTAATTTTCCCACCGACGATCCAGGTATCATCATCAATCATGATCATAATTAATATTATCGATGATCTAATTCTCATTTATATATTTCATTTCAATATAGATCTTTCTATCGAAGTTAAAGAGAAATATAATCTATACAAGAATCGAACATTTTCATCATATTTCCATATGTTTACTATAGAACATTGTCTAAATTTTGATAGTAGTTTAAGGTAAGCTATATATTTTATAAATCAAAACACTTACAATTAATAATAATAATAATCGATAATAATGGCTTGTTTTTTGATCAAGGCCAACAGCCGTGGATCTATTGAATCATCAATTTATAAAACAAACGAAAAAATGTCATCATCACCGTCATCATCAACAACAACATCATCATCATCATCATAAGGAGAAAAATTCATCATCACCATTGTTGATTGAAATGTTGAAAAATTTGCCACAAAATTCAACTAGTCGTGCCAATAATAATGTGATCATCAATATGAATAACAATGACAATAATGGTGATGGTCAGAAAAAATCGATCATCATCGATGATGATAATGTTGAACAATGTTCAAATGTAACCACCACCAAAATCGATGAAAAATTCAAAACAATGGCTTTAACGGCTGATCATGAGAAACAAGATACAATGACTATCGATTGGATATTTTGACAAACTATCGAAATGTGCTATACACATATATGCACATGACATTGATTAATAATATTGATTATTAGTTATCGAATTACAACAATTACGATTAAAAAAAAGTTATGAATTTTTATTTAAAAAAAACGATAATTTATTGAACCATTGAATCATCATCATAGATATATGGGGTGGGTTTAATAATAATATAATTATGTAATTCTTTCAATTTTGACAGAAAAAAAATCCATTTGTTATGTTCATTAGTAACAAATTATGATGATGATGATTCTATTGGTGAAAAAAAATTGGGTGGAATATTATATCGGCTAAATCAAAAACTGCATTCCATTTTTTTTTTTTTTTTTTTGTTTGTGTGAAGATCAAGAAAAAAATCAGCAATAATCAATTAAATGAAATCAACAACAAACATAAACGTTTTTCTTTTTTGATATCACAGATTGCAGTTTGATTGTCACCAAAAAAATCGTTTTTGTTTTGTTTGTTTTGTTTTGTTTGATTGTGCTTGTACTGTGTGTGTGTGTGCTATTTAGTTGGTTGAATGATTTTGGGTGGATGTATATATAACACATATCAATACAATATATCAAAGTCGATTATTAATCATCATAGATTAGGTGGATGATGATGATTTACATCATTAACAATATCAATCGGTGATGATTGATGCATATCATATGGTTGGTCATGATGATGATGATGATGATGAAGATGATGATGGTCATCATCATGATTGGCGAAAATTAAATGAAATTCATTCTCATACAATGATATGAGCAACATAATTGCAATACCGATAGCAATGCCAATCATTTGAACAGTTAATTTTATAGCTCGACTTTTTGATGGAAGATGTGGACAGGAATCTAATTCAGGTACCATATCAACAAGAGAGATGTAAAGAAATGTACCACCAATCAATGCTGAAAGCCATGCATCTTTCATTGAGCCAAGAAATATTCCTAAACACATTCCGAACCAACAAGTGATTGATGCAACAATATTCCAATAGACAGCATTACGTAATGGCATTCCTGATCGTATAATAATGGTAAAATCACCAAGTTCATGTGGCAGTTCATGACAAAGGACGGCAATCGATGTGCTTATACCTTATTCATATTAATAATAAAAATTTGATTAAATTTTGTTAATTAAAATGTTTTTATTATTTGTTGCTTACCACCACTGATTCCGCTTCCAGCGAATGCAACACCGATGGCCAGGCCATCGAATAGATTATGAACAATATCACCCATAAGAACCATAAGAGCAGCACTAGGGCCACGATGTGCACGATGATGATGATGATGATGGGATGCTATATGAATGTAACCATCACCATTTGGTTTTGGATAAGAAATTGTCGAACGATGACATTCATCATGTACTTGAAGATTATTATCGGTTTTCTTTCGAAGTACATCAATCGTTTCGTGAAGCTCTTTCATTTCATGTTGATGATGATGATTATTCAGTTTCTGAAGATCAGGTGATAAAAATTCTGCATTTGTTGTTGAACATTTGGCCGCTGTTGTTTCATCAATCGTTTGATCCGGTTGATTGAATAGATCATTGAAAATTATAGTCAAACGTTCGAAAAATAGAAAGCCTATTATACCACCAAGTGCTAATAGACCATACCAAACAGAATTGACATGATTGTGGCTAATGCTTTCCGTATGATATTCTGATAGATGTTGTATGGATGATGTTTCATTATCAGAATGATCATCATGGTCCAATTGTGAAGAAAATGCCTGAAATACAAAAAAAAGAAATGAAAACTTGAAATTAATTCCATTATAAAAGCAAATATTGATTTAAAAAAAAACTTACATGGGGTAAAAGATGTAGCAATGCATCAGCACATAATGTGCCTACAGCTAAACCGACAAATATCTGGCTCAAATTACTTTGATGATCGGTCTGTAATTTTGGCAACAATATAATGACGGCTAGACCGGCTAAACTAATTGTCAGCACTGCTGCTGTTCCATATAACCAAATAATCCACATTTAAGATTGATGTTTATGTGTGTGCGTATGGAATACCAGATACACAAGACAAAAAAAAAAGAATCACAAACACAGTGACAAAAAAAATTCGAAACGATAATCACAAATGCAAATCTCAATTTAGACTTGAATCTCAATTTTCAATTTAATATTTTCACATGGCAGCAGCAGCAGCAGTAGCAACAGGGATGATGATGACTTCACATATACAAAATTTCAATTTGAGACCATCCAGTAATCAATGATAAACAAAACAAGCAAAAAAATTTTGTTTTGAATTTTCGGCAATCAAAACTTTATAAAATTGAAATTATCGACCAAATTGGTTGATGGTTACACACACACACACACACACACAAAACAACAAAAAAAAAACACACGTTAAGCTTGGCAATGTTATGTTACACACAAATGACTGACATCCATATATGGAAAGGATATATATCGTTGTGTCGTCGGTTCGGCGACGTCTAGTTTTCACTGAGATGGCCAAACTAAAAATGAGCCAAATTGAATGATTGCCACTTTTTGTCTGTGTCTGTGTGTGTGTTTGTGTATGTATTTTATTCGGAAAAAATTTTTCCTTTCCACATTAAAACCAATGATGATGATGACGATGATGAATCTCTCTCTTTTTCTCTCTTTCTCTCGTTGACACAATTTTCTATATGAGCAAAAAAAAGAGAGAAGAAAGTGAATAAATGGAAACTAGAAAGCAAAAGAATGAATTATCATCAAAATCAATCAATAAAAAAGATGATGATGATGATGGCTCAAATTCAAATGATTTAAATATTGAAAATGGACATTACCATTTATTATTATCGATACTGAATCGATACTGAAAGAAACCAAACTATAATAATCGTTATTATAAAATGATTAACCGAACAGACACATAAAGTTTAATAATAATGGTTCTTTTGCACAATGACAAACACACATGGAAATCATAATTTTATATATATACACAGCTTTTTACAAGGTGGCTCAAAGAATATTGAAAAAAAAAACTTGAGCACAATTTTATCAGCAAAAAAAAAAAAAAAAATTCTATAAAACGCATGCGTAATGTATGAAATTGTTGAATATAGAATTAACAGAATATATCATCATCATAATATATTCGAAAGGTTTAAGCCATATTTTCAAATAACTTAAATGTTAGTAATTTTATTTTCAATGAATTTATATAATATATAATAAATAATTAATTGATGAATTGGCGCCAAAAACAAAAACATGAGTGATTTAAAAATGAGAGAGAGAGAGAGAAAAAGAAAGAGAGCCAACAAAACAAGTTTTGAGCATTATAGTGAAAAACAAATCCAGTGAATTAAAGATTCCTGTTGACTTTTATAGCCAAACAAATCATCATCATTACTTGTTAACAGATTTTTTCATTTTTTGACATTTTGATTTTATTCAATCGTTCAAGGCATGTAAGTATAATGGAATCTGAAAAAGAAAACTTGAAAAGAATGTGATTGAATATAATTTTTATGAAAAACAAAATGTCATAAATACATTTGAAAGTCATCGAAAATGGAATTTGTTCACCAATTTGAGTCAAAATTACATGATGACCGAACCAAACGATCTTCATCGATTTCGGGGCCAATTTTGATCTTAGACGACAATAACTTTAAACAACGATAATCTTGAATCAATTAAATTCTTTGATCAAAAATTTAGTGCCAAAATCTACGATTAAAATAGAAAAAAAAATGAAATAAATATCACGACATGATCACGAAAAATAACAAACTTGTATATGGGGAATAGAAGAGGAAAAGAAGCGCGTACCATTTGCATTGAAAATAGTTAGCTGCACTACCTCTATATGACTATGCGCAGTTGCTAATTAGTTGGACTTTAAAATTTTTGGCGGCAAAATGAATGCATTATTTTTTCCGTAAACTTAGCATGAAAAATGAATAAAAAAATCAACTCATGATATGATAGATAATATCATAACACGAGTTGATAAAATCAAATCATTTTTGTCAATTTACCTTGTTTATTCTTAAGTTTTCACGATTTTTTTCAATGGCTGTTTTTTTTTCCTTTTCTACGATTTATATTTCTGTATTCATACCATAAAAAATACATAAATGTCTGCACGAAAATATCATATTCGATTTACAGAAAAATTAAATGTGAAAAAATCTTTTTTCCATCACATTGGTGACATTTTTGAATTGGAATAGTTGGATCGTTTTGTACCAAATTACCATTTTTATCGACATAATTCTAATCCATTGGTTTATGATTCGAAATAATTCCGTGTCCAAAGAAAAATGAAAACGATAATTATCGAAATCAAATCAAACAATCGAAAACTTTTATTTTTGCGAGTATTCGGCTATTTTTCAGCGAATTTTTTGTGTGGATAATAGTCGGAGTACATGCAAAAATTGCGTGTACTCGCGAAATTTCGATTGTTCGACTATATACACTCAAATAGTCACCAAGAAATAGCCGAAATACTCTAAAAATCGCGAGTACTCGCGCACTTTTTTTTCTGTGTAAATCGAATGATGATGCAATTAATGATCGAACAGGAATTTAATCATAATAAAACAATGCGGCCAACACCATTGATTTTGAATGCAGAAGGTAGAACCGTTGATCAAACTGGTAAAGAAGTGCAATTGATTCAACGAATGCCTACATTAAAAGCGAACATTCGTGCTCAAAAAAAAGAACAATTCATCAAACTGAATCATGAAAAACAATCAAGTCTATCGTCGACTGAACAAAAATTTATCGACACAAGGTTGGAAAGTAAAGCACCCGTTCGAGCACGAAAGACATTCCGTTTTCATGATAAAGGAACATTCGAATCGATTGGAAATAAAATTAGAATCAAAGCCCAATTGGAATTGTTACAGAAGGATATTGCCCAGAAAGCCAAACGAACCGGCATAAGTGCTGCAGCACGTTTAGCATTGCTTAATTCGATAGTTCCAAAAAAACAAGCGGTAAGTTGAAATTGAGCTATTTTTTTATCTATTAAAATATTTTCTCAATTAGAAAGAAGATGAAATTCCATCAGTGGAATGGTGGGACAGTTTCATCATGAAAGACAGTTGTTACGAGGAATGCATCCAGAATACACAACCATCACAGGAAAAGTACGATGGAATCACACAACTCATCGAGCATCCTATTCAGATGAAACCCCACATGAACCATCCAAACCACAATTTTGCCAGTATTCTTAACGAAAAAAGAGCAGAAAAAACTGCGCAGACAAAACCGCCGTGAAGCATGGAAAGAAAAACAGGAGAAAATTCGATTGGGTTTGGAACCACCGCCAGAACCAAAACTGAAAATATCGAATATGATGAGAGTTCTTGGCCAACAGGCCGTACAAGATCCTACCAAAATGGAAGCTCATGTTCGTGAACAGATGATGCGGCGGCAAAAAGCTCACGAAGAGGCGAACGCTTCGCGGAAATTAACAAGCGAACAAAAAAAGCAGAAAAAAATACGGAAAATCAAAGAAGATACGAATACTGGTGTGAATGTAGTCGTCTATAGAATTTTGGATCTAAACAACCCTGCCAAGAAATTCAAGGTTGAAGCAAATATGAAACAATTATTAATGACTGGTGTCGTTGTAATCTACAAAAATGTCAACGTTATTGTCGCTGAAGGTGGTCCAAAACAGCAGAAAAAATTCAAACGTCTTATGTTACATCGAATAAAATGGTCAGATGATGTGGTCACTCATGGAGATTCTAGTAAGTAAAGAATAATAATCGTTATTTTTACAATTGAATTTGACTTAAAAAAATCCATTTTTTACAGATGAACCTGATTCCAGTAATGATTCCGATTTAAAACGTAAACGAGAGAATAAATGTCTGCTCGTATGGGAAGGTTCAGTTAAAAATCGGGCATTTGGTGAAGTAAAATTCAAAAATAGTCCCAACGAAAGTTTTGCTAGAGAAATTTTTAAAAACCATGGAGTTGAACATTATTGGGATCTAGCATATAGTATGTAAAAAAACAGTTTAAAAAAACCACATGATTGTAAAAAAAGAAACTTTTTATTGTAATAAATTGATTTTTTAAAATCTTATTAAACTGCCACACGAATCATTTTGTTGGAAAATATCTCGGGTGATGGCCAACGATGATGATGATTTAAATTCATTAAACACTTGTTGATATTCTAGAATCTAGATGAACATAATTATCTTAGGCTTGGCCACGTTGAATCAATTCATGCTTCATCATGCACACAGACAAACACACATGGAAATCATCATTTCATATACACAGCTTTATCATTAGAAAAGGTGGCTCAAAGAACTTGAACAAATATTGAAAAAAAACTTGAGCAATTTTACCAGAAAAAAAATTCTATGCGTAATGTATGAAATTGTTGAATATAGAATTAACAGAATATATCATCATCATAATATATTCGAAAGTTTTAAGCCATGAAAAATGATGAAAATCTTTGATCATGACAATAATCAATTGATGAATTGGCGCCAAAAACAAAAACATGAGTGGTTTAAAAATGAGAACTAAACAAAAAAAAAAATAGCCAGCAAAACAAGTTTTGAGCATTATAGTGAAAAAAAATGACGACTCCTCATGTTGACTTCTTTTATATAGCCAACAGTTTGGTTTGTCATCATCATCATCATTTATTACTCACTCACAGGTTTTTTCAATTTTTTTTTTTACATTTTGATTTTATTCATTTTCGTTTATATGGCATAAACATTGCAAGCGTTAATTTCATTATTACATAATGGTATTGTTGATCAATTTGAAAAAAATTGTTTTTTGCTTATTTGTTTTAATTTTATCGAAATTGTTTGAATTTTTTTTTTATAATAATAAAATGTGATGATTATCGTTGACGTGGTTTGATTCGGTTTGGTGTGGGTATACACAGGCATTATATTTTAAAGAACAGGATATCGATCAATATCGTGATTGTTTCTATTTAATGACAAAAACAAACGGTGGTTTAATAACTCGAGTGGATGAATTGAAACATATAATGCGTTCATTAGGAATGTCACCTACCGAACCTGAACTCAATGATTTTTTCAAACAAAAAGGTTCTGATTTTCGTAAATAATTTTTTTTTTTTGATTCATTTTTGTTGATTTTAAATGTTATTTTTTTTTGTTTTGTTTTGTTTACAATGTCTACAAAATATAGAAGGAAAAATTACATTTGCCGACCTGTTAGATATAATGCATATTCATTCGGTAAGGGAGAAAATTCCGGCTGAAATTCTAGATGGTTTCCGAGCAATGGATCCTAATCATACGGGAAAAATATCATTAGCCGATTTTAGTCACTTACTATGTGATTGTGGTGAAAAATTGACTACCAAAGAATTTCAGAATCTACTGAAAGAAGCTAATGTTCGTCCTGGTCAAACTTGGATTAATTATGAAGATTTTCTTGAGATTATTGCTGCACCTGCTCCAGATTATTGAAAATTTAAAAAAAAAAATATCTCATCGATTTTCATTTGATTATATTTAATCATTACTTATCATATATGAACAAATAATAATAAATTGAAATAAATTCAGATTTCGAATGGAATACTTTATGGAAATAATTTAATCACTTGAAAAGAAAATATTTTCGGAAATGTACACTCGTGAGTTTGTGCACTGTGTCCATAAAATTTTATCCGAAGATTTTCATTTTTTTGATATTGTTTAAATTATTAAAAAAAAATTTTAATTATAAAAATGGCAACCAAACCTTCGAGGTTCGACATGGTACACAAACCATCGTCATTTCCACCATCAACTGCAGAACAAACTACTTCGACGACACCAGCATTATCATCGTCTGAAATAGCTCAGATGATGGCCCGTGTTCAGCGGCAGATTGCGGAAAAGAAACGGTCCATACAGACAGAGGCCGCTTCCGCTACGGATAATTCAAATGAAAAACAAATGGATTCATCAGAAAGCTCAATCGATAGTAAAGCTCGAATCGCACAGTTACGTGCACAGATTCAAGCACGTTTTTCAAATTCGATGGGAGCCATTAAATCTAATGATGATGCAAATAATGATCGAACAGGACTTAATCATAATAAAACAATGCGTCCAACACCATTGATTTTGAATGCCGAAGGTAGAACCGTTGATCAAACTGGTAAAGAAGTACAATTGATTCAACGGATGCCTACATTAAAAGCGAACATTCGTGCTCAAAAAAAAGAACAATTCATCAAAGTGAATCATGAAAAACAATCAAGTCTATCGTCGACAGAGCAAAAATTTATCGACACAAGGTTGGAAAGTAAAGCACCGGTTCGAGCACGAAAGACATTCCGGTTTCATGATAAAGGAACATTCGAATCGATTGGAAATAAAATTAGAACCAAAGCCCAATTGGAATTGTTACAAAAGGATATTGCCCAGAAAGCCAAACGAACCGGCATAAGTGCTGCAGCACGTTTAGCATTGCTTAATTCGATAGTTCCAAAAAAACAAGCGGTAAGTTGAAATTGAGCTATTTTTTTATCTATTAAAATATTTTCCCAATTAGAAAGAAGATGAAATTCCATCAGTGGAATGGTGGGACAGTTTCATCATGAAAGACAGTTGTTACGAGGAATGCATCCAGAATACACAACCATCACAGGAAAAGTACGATGGAATCACACAACTCATCGAGCATCCTATTCAGATGAAACCCCCACATGAACCATCCAAACCACAATTTTTGCCAGTATTCTTAACGAAAAAAGAGCAGAAAAAACTGCGCAGACAAAACCGCCGTGAAGCATGGAAAGAAAAACAGGAAAAAATTCGATTGGGTTTGGAACCACCGCCAGAACCAAAACTGAAAATATCGAATATGATGAGAGTTCTTGGCCAACAGGCCGTACAAGATCCTACCAAAATGGAAGCTCATGTTCGTGAACAGATGATGCGGCGGCAAAAAGCTCACGAAGAGGCGAACGCTTCGCGGAAATTAACAAGCGAACAAAAAAAGCAGAAAAAAATACGGAAAATCAAAGAAGATACGAATACTGGTGTGAATGTAGTCGTCTATAGAATTTTGGATCTAAACAACCCTGCCAAGAAATTCAAGGTTGAAGCAAATATGAAACAATTATTAATGACTGGTGTCGTTGTAATCTACAAAAATGTCAACGTTATTGTCGCTGAAGGTGGTCCAAAACAGCAGAAAAAATTCAAACGTCTTATGTTACATCGAATAAAATGGTCAGATGATGTGGTCACTCATGGAGATTCTAGTAAGTAAAGAATAATAATCATTATTTTTACAATTGAATTTGATTTTTAAAAAATTGATTTTTACAGATGAACCTGATTCCAGTAATGATTCCAATTTAAAACGTAAACAAGAGAATAAATGTCTGCTCGTATGGGAAGGTTCAGTTAAAAATCGGGCATTTGGTGAAGTAAAATTCAAAAATAGTCCCAACGAAAGTTTTGCTAGAGAAATTTTTAAAAACCATGGAGTTGAACATTATTGGGATCTGGCATATAGTATGTCCATATTAGATTCGGCCGAAACATGAAAAATATACATACTCATTGAATGTTGCAAAAAAACCACATGATTGTAAAAAAAGAAACTTTTTATTGTAATAAATTGATTTTTCAAAATCTTATTAAACTGCCACACGAATCATTTTGTTGGAAATAACCTCTAAATAACCTTCATCACGTAATGCAATTATGGCCTCATCAAACATATCTCGGGTGACGGCCAACGTTGATGATGATTTAAATTCATTGAACACTTGTTGATATTCTAAATGAACATAATTATCTTCGTCTTGGCCACGTTGAACCAATTCATGCTTCATCATGTCCACTAATTGTCGTAGACCATTCAACAAATCATTTTTGATTTTACGATTATGTGAACTAGTTCCAGTAGTTAATATCGAAACATCGATTCGACCAGATGTAGGATCAATGGCTGATTGTTTAATCGCTTCTCGTTGTAATCGTCGAGCTTCTTCTATATCTTCCACTTCAACAGTTGTTTTAAAACGCATTTTTGCATGTGCTTCAGCCAATCGAATCAATGATTCCAATTGTCGTGGATAAGCAGTAATCTGACCTTTTCCAGAACCTACTTTTCGCATTTCTACATAGGCATTTTTAAGACATTCTTGTGATTCGGCACTAAGTATTGGATGGAAATTTGCTCGAGCATATCCAATATAATCTTTGGCCAGATTAATGTCAATTAAAAATTGTTTTTCATCATTCGATTCTGAATCCGATGATTTATAATACAAAGAAACAAGATGTTTGGCCAATCGTCGATCGTATTCAGTATCTTGTGGATCGAGAAGCAAAAATATCAAATCAAATCTAAAAAGGGTGAAGATGTCGAAAAATTAAAATCAACTTTGATTACAATATATATAATCAACAAACACTTACCGAGACATCAAAGTAGGAGGTAATTTGATATTTTCTACAATTGTTTTATTCTTATTCCATTGTGATTCGATAGGATTGGCTGCAGCCAAAATCGATGTACGGGCATTCAATTGACAGACAATTCCGGCTTTAGCTATGGACAATGTTTGTTGTTCCATTACTTCATGTAGAATAGATCGTGTTGATTCGTTCATTTTATCGAATTCATCGATACAACAGATGCCACCATCGCTTAAAACTAGAGCGCCCGTTTGTAAAACCATTTGTTTAGTGTCAGGATCTTTTGTCACATAGGCAGTAAGGCCAACAGCACTGGAACCTTTACCGCTAGTGTATTGACCACGCGGTACAAGATTATAAACGTATTGTAGTAATTGTGATTTACTTGTACCAGGATCACCACAAAGCAAAATATTGATTTCTGATCGAAATGTTGTTGAATGATCATTCATGTTCATTACACCACCACGAGAATCATCTTTACGAGTACCACCAAATAGCTGTAACAGAATACCTTTCTTAATGTCTTCATGTTCGTAAATACTTGGAGCCAATGAATGAGCTAAACGTTCATAAATGTCTGGCATATTGGACATGGCGATCAATTGATCAATACGTTCTTTAGGCAATTTCAACTCCAAATATGAATCATGTAATCGTTTGCTTTCGGCTTTTCGATAATGAACAACATCAATATGGGTTCGATAAACGGATTTAACGTTTCGTATTTTTGGATTAACACGAATGGATGTAGCACGGAATATTCCAGTTACGGTAATTCGTTCGCCTGGTTGAACTTTGTCCACTAGATCGGCACAAGCATATAATAAAACAGTGTATGGTGTTTGACCTGCTGGCATATCATCGGGTGATTCTTGAAGTTTCACTTGTTGTTTGTCCGTATATTTCGAACGATTGTGAATCAACTTGAATGAATATCGTGTGTCACAATTACGGCAAACCTGAGGTTCAGCAATCAATCCACGATCTACTTCGACATTTGTGCCCAACATACAAACCGAACATTCAAAATAAGCAATGGACATTTCAGCAATAATATTCGAACAACGTGTTACCATGCCTGATATGGTCACTAATTGGTTAATGTCTTCAGGATTTAAATTTCTTATATTCGATGTCTTTTTCACATTATACGGTCGAATACAAAGTCGTTGAAAAATCTGGCCATCGATTTGTGGATTTTCAGCCGGACAAATTTCATTGACAATTTCATTCAATGCCATATCAAAAGTTGGGATTACTTCTTGTGGATAGTTGACCAATTGTCTGTAAAGATTTTCATCAAATTTCAATAAATGTTGACAATTAACATTAAGAAAATAATCGCCGATAATGAGACATTCACGAATTTTTTTAACATAATAAGATTCCATTCGTTGATTGTAAGAATCTGCACTATCGAATTCAAAATAATCCTGGCTGGATTGAAGACAATCGTCATCATCATTATTTGGATCCAATTCAAATTGTTGTATAAAACGTTTCAATTTTCTACGACATTCATTGATTGATACATCGGTGCCCCAGACGACCAAATGTGTTCCAACTCCAGCTTGTGTAACGCTTGATTCACTAGCTGCAGCTGATGATGGATCAGCCTGATTGAGATTAATTTGTCTCAAATTTCGTGACATATCGCTACGAACATCATCACGACGATAGTTACTAAGAATCTGTGGTAATTGGCCAAAATCGGATGAAAGATCATATGGCATAGGTGAACTGCCATGAAAAAGATTGTCTTGTGAATTAGCGATCCGTATCGATGATGGTTGATTCAATTCCGATGAACCATCGGCAACCACCATTTGATGTAAAGGTGAGCTACCAATATTGTGGCCATTAACATGACGACGTTTGTTCGGACCATCAGATGATGATGGACTTCTATGCCGTTTAGTAGGCGATTGTGATGATTCTGGACCATCTTGATCATTTATTGATGAGGACATGGTTTCTTAATCAATTAAAATCTTTCTTTTCAAATTAACGTTTAAAAATCTATTAAAACAAATTTCGTTTCGAACACACATGAATGTATTTTAGCTCTTTAATACAATAGCACAGACAGACAGTGAGAGAGAGAGAGAGAGAGAGAGAGAACAAAGCCACAGGACAATTTATTGGCGCCAAAAAAAAACTCTTCGGGTACATCAATAAACGACGTGTATGATTTTTTTTTCGGAAATTTTTTCGATATCAAGTTCCGCAATCATTCGGTCGATTAATTTTTGATCACAATGTAAAAAAAAGACTAAAAACTAGATCCGGAATAAACAAATTTATAGAGAAAATTATATTTTCTTTTCAATGGAATTTTTTTTCCAAAAATTCGGTAAATTTGATGTTCTTTAAATATTGCTTCATGATAAATGGAATCATTCAAGCGATTCATTTTTTTTCTTTGAACGAAAACGATATGTGAATGAAACGAGAGATTCGGTCAATCACCGTATCCTGTTTGTCTGTTTGACATTTCAATAAATTTAATTAGTTACAAAGATCATTCATTTTGATTTCATTTCGGTATCGTGTAAACATCGGACATTTTTTTTTTCGACGATATGAATCGACATTTCTGTGGATTATTATTATCATTATTATTGGTGTTAGCAATATTGATCAATCGTAGCTCACAACAGAATGAAGATCCAATCATATATAGTCGTCCATCATCAATGGCCGGCAACGATACAACAGAAACGATCGACGAACCAGCATCAAATATCAATCCGATAAATCACCAGTCCATCGAAACACGTTCGAATGTGATGAATGTAATTGAAAACTTCAACAATTTAAGGCATAAAAATCCTCATCTACTACAAAAATATATTTCAGAAAAACAGGATCATATTTTCAATGATATTTGGAGACGATTTTCAAATATGACTACCAATACTAATGATACAAGCAATAATAATAATAATAATGTATATGAAGTTGAATGGCAGCCAACGATTCAAAATAATGATGATGTTGATAATGACGTGTATCGTGTATTAAGCTCAAGTTCAAGTCCAGATTTTCATCAAGATTCAATGTCTGCACATGAAACACAAACTCAAGACCATAAAGATCAACTAACAAAATTGATACCAACTTCAGCCACTGCAAATGATGTGAAAAACAATGATAATAAATTACTACTACCAGTAGGAATATCACATCGTCGTGGACAATATGTTCCATCCAATGCAAATGTCAATCGGTTCCAAGAATATTTATCTTGTTGTGAACAATTGTTCAACAAATACGGCGATCGAAACTACATTCATGAAGACATATTTATGATACCGGAATCGGAACCCTACCTTCCGGTTGCTCTTGATGGTCCTGGACCACCAGTACTTGTTACTGAATATCCACCGACAAGTAATAAACGATCGCCAACAGCATTGTATTCACACAGTTTGCATAATATACCAAACTATGTCAATGATGATGATATCAAAATCGATTCTCCTTTAACTCCTTTGAATTTAAAGGATTTCTATCCGAAAACTCATCGCCATTCGATCGAATGTCTAGATGACGGTCATCATCATCATCATCGTGACAAAAATCATGATCATCATCATCAACATTATGGTCATCTTGCAACAACACCAGTAACAGGTCAGTTGATTTCGACGCATCCTTATGATTCAAACCCTCAAACCAACAGCAAAGTAAGTTGGATGCCTATCAGATCGATTGAACAACAACCACCGATGCCGATCACTGTTCATCGAATTGTTTCCACATCGATTCCAGCTGGACGTATTATAGGTAGTACAGGCAATAATGGTCTAATTCGACCATTCACGTCAATGAATCCAGCATCTTTCAATGAAATTGTCAATAATCCATCCACACACGATTCATCGTCTGGACCGATATCGACAAAAACTACGATTCCATTCAAACATCCAATACCACTTCCACCACCACCACCATCATATGTTACACATCAACCTGGAATAATTCCAATATCAATGGGTCCCGTACCACATAACCATCATCATTATCGATTGAATCAATGGCCGTTTGATACGGTTCCACCACCAATAAGATCGATGGTGGGAACTTCAACACCACATTCTTCATCATCTGGAATTTTATCAAAAAAATTATCATTGTTGGGCAAAAAATATCTTCTCGGTTAAAATAGAAAAATTGATTCATTCTGAAATAACAAGAGATCGTCATGATGAGATCAATATAGGTGTCCATGATTTGTTAAATAAAATGATTTTTCATCGGATTTTTATATAAAGAATAAGTTCCAGTTTGTCCATAGATGTATGTTATGAATGTAATCAATCTGGTCACAATAAATATAATAGAATCGATTGCGATTATAATGTTGGAAAAACAACAGGTATTCTCTATTGGAAAAAAATTGTTAAATAAATCAATTAATAATAACGATATTTACCATCTTCGATATGTTGTTCAAATTGTACCAAACGTCTAAAATGGACAATCGTATCGGCTATATGGACAAAATCCTGTTCTTCAGCTAATGTTTTAGCTAATTGATCCACAAGTCGATCAAATGGAGCGTTTGTTGCGTTCAACTATTTCAAAATGAAAATATATTAAATTCAATCATCGCTAATGTTTGTGTATTTAAAAAACCTTATCAATAATTGATTGCATATGAGATTTATGACGTTGATCACCATAAAGTAATGATGACCATTGTTCTGGTGATAATCTTATGCCAGATTCAAGTGCCATTGATATGATTTGTGCATCATGTTCACGTCGTAGATCAATGTATTTTCTGTATTGTTCTTTTAGCTGCATTAGACACGATTCACCAGGCCGTTTAATGATCTACAGTCAAAAATGAAAAACAATTAATTCATAAAAAATGAAAATTCAGAAATTCAAACCTCGAAACAGCTAGCTCGATATAGAATCTGTACAACATGACCGACAGATGTTTTTGTAGCTTGTAATGGATAAATTTTCTCCATCCTTTGTAGTATATAAAGAACGAGAACTTTTCTTGTCAATTGAGTTCCATCACCCAAAGCTAGGATCACAAGCTTGAGAACTTCTTCTTGAATGGCAGGACCAAGAAATTGGCAACCACGATTACGAACGGCAACCCAAAGACTAGATCTGCCCTCAAAAATAGATAAAATGAATAATTATTTTCATTCTAATTTGTTTGCATATCCAAATTACATGATTCGATGTGAATTGGAATGTTTGACCAATAATTCGAATGCAACACGATTTCCAAGTGCAATGACCGTACGCATAATTTTCATTCGATCATCTTGATGTGAATCTGGTCCTAATGGGCAACGAGATAATGCCAACATCTTTCGTCGAATAGCATGTGGACAGAAATGTTCTATTTATTTACAAATATTTAATGAAAACAATGATCACAGTGTATTGTATTAAACATCAAACATACACACACTAACCTAATTCATGTGATTTCATCAATGATAATACGAGTTGAATTTTTTCATTCAATTCCAATTCGATTGGATGTTGATGATTTTTGGATCGATAATTCACAGATTGAGATGAATGATTTTTGATTGTCGCCATTATTGACGAACATGATTATGATTAGGTGAAAAGAAAATTTTTTTTTCAATTTGTTTAATATCTGACGTATATTTTTTTCTATTTATATGTGTGTAAATATGATAATTTTTCCATGGAATTCCATTCATCATGATTCCAGAAATGGAAAAAATTCATACATTGCAAGTAATTTTTTTGCAATCACTGTCATAGTATGAAAATTGTGATTAATTTTTTTAAAACTTTCTAATTTTAATTTTTTTTTTTTCTTTCTATAATTCAATTACAATTACAATATTGTATTTCTCGAATCATCATAATGTAATCGATCATCATAGCGCGATTTATAAATTTTTTGGCTATTCAACAAACAATCAAACACATAAATGATGAACATGATCAGAAGAACAAAACAGAAAATTGGAAGACAAATTTTTGGACACAAATCTTATTCTATATATATAGAATGAATGAGATGAATCTTGAATCGAATGATAATTGAAACATGCAAAGACAAATAGATAGATATTGTGTTCAACAACAATAAACAAAACTGGAACGCAGGAAAATTTTTCTTTTCTAAACTCTTTCTCAACCAGAACTGGATATATTATAATGATATATTGGAAAAAAAACAGAGACAGAGACATTCGAATCATCCTTGCATAGCATTCTGATCTGGATATGGTAATGGTATATGATAGGTTTCCACCAATGCCGTAAAGCTAGTTATGATGCCAATGATACCGCATAGTACACCACAACAAATGATAAACACTTCCCATGCAATATGACGAATGTCAAGTGTATACCATTTGAGTTTCATATGAAAATAACATGGCCATACAAATGATAACATTGTACCGGTGAAATTACCAATCAAACCCATCAATAGGACGAAATGTGGGATCGATACTAAATTGATTTAACATTAGAACATTAGATATTTAGATATTTCAAAAAAAAAAAATTTTCAATTTACCAGCCATGAACATGGTGAACAATACCAACAACACTCTAAGAGTAACGGCCCAAACTCGTAGTTCATTATCTCGGCCCCAACAAGTAGGAAATGGTTGATCACCTTCACCATCTGGACGTTGTTCAGTTGGTCGACCACGAAATAATGCCGATTCTATGAGGCTAGCTGCAGCAAAATATGGCAATGGATATGATAGCAAAGCTTTTGCAACCAATGTTAGATTGACTAGACCACGAAAACCACGTGTCGGAAGATTGTTGGTAATTACATCCTGTGTTTCTTCACCGAATGTAAGAAATCCGATCAATGCAAACAATGCCTATATATAAATAGTGGATTAAAGAGTTGAAAAATATATGCAGATCATTTACCTTTGATAATCCAGCAGCAATATGGCTCCATTTAAGCATCTCTTCAAATTCATCAGGATTTTGCATATTACCTTCGAGTGTAGGAAGAAAAATCTGTGATGTATAGCTAAATACAACAATGCCAAGTGTAATAGGAAATGTGCCCATATCTAAACGTAACGATACTTTGGACCATTGCCAATCACCAATCTGTATGAAGCAATAGCCTAAAATGATGACATTCAAAATGATATGAGTGACCGTACACCAGAAACTTAATGTTGATACGGAATGTAAATTGGTAAGAAATGCACATGGCAATAATAGCATGGTGGATATCATCATCCATGATCGTTGATCGATGACTCCCTCAGGAAATGAGCCAATCATTAGATCGCCACTAAGCACAACATACAGAATACATGTCATCAATAATTCAATTATCTGTGCCGTATTCACCAATATGCCACCATATTTTTCACCAAGACATGCTTCAGCTATTTTTACATAACTGTCTCGTACTCGAATCATTTGCCCTTGTTCGTTTGGTTCATAAAGGCAATGGACTAATATTCTTCCGGTGTAGAAACAAATATACGCCACAAATAACAATACGAATACACCCCAATATCCACCATGTAGAACGGCGTATGGCAAACAAACGATAAACATTCCCTGCAATCAAAACAATTATCGATCATATATCTATCATATATGATTAATAACGAAAAATACAAACCTGTATAGCATTTGTAATGTTCCAGCCAGCTTGCCATGCAGAAATTTTGCCCGAAGTTCCAGTATGTGGATCAACAAAATGTGGTGGTGGTTGTTGTTGTCCATCATAATAACCATTCGGTACTCCATCTTGATATTCACCATATCCGGTTCCAGCTTCCATAGTCATTTGACTGCCATACGGTAAGCCACCAGTCTGATTTGTTTGTTCAAATGTACGAAATGTACCCATTTCATGTTCATCACCTCGTCGATTTCGAATCTTTTCCACAGCTTCAGTACATGATTCCGGAATCTTACTACGAACACGTTCTTTCAATGAAGACCATGTATTGAATAGATTGGATACTTTATCATTCATTTTGTGAATTTTTTTTTGTTGTTGTTGTTGTTGGTTGTTGTTGATCAATTATTTTTTTTTAAATGGAAGACTGATGATTATTTTATTAATCAACTAATATAATAATTGTATCACATCAATAAGGGTTTTATAATGATATGAAAATTTTTCATTTGGAAGACTTTTGGAAAAGATTATAATAGAAGAATATAATCGTTATTACTATTTCACATGGTGTATCAATTTTTGATCAATTGGAAAAAAAACATTCGATTGATGCGAAAAAAAAACTGATTGAGAATCGAAGAAAAAAAAATTTCTCTTGATTATTACCACTTTTCTTACACCCATGAACAATGAAAGAATATAGCAAAAAAAAAAAAAAAAAAAAATATGTAGCAGCATTACAAATTGTATATACAGAACAAGAATCATATTCCACACATCAAGTGTATGGATGTATATGTTCCTGGTACACTTGTGACCTTGTGTTATATAGTGGAACCACAGTGCGTTATTTATATATAATAGACCCACGTAATTACATATTCTGTTCCAGAAACCAGAAAAAAGACCATTAGCAGATTTGAATAAAAAAAAAATTTAATAAGTTATAATTTTCTCTCACCCTTCCTCTCTCTCTCTCTTCTGATTAATTTCAATTTTTCAAAAATTAAATCTAAAAAAAAAAAATAGTTCTAGACATATCATCCATAGCGATATCGAATGGAATATTTACAAAATAAAATAAAAAAATCTGTCAATGTCATACAAATCTCGATTCGAATGATTTGAGAATGTAAAATGATGGTTTGAACAACAACAATTGATAATTTTAAATGCAAAAAAAAAATGAATCACATAACAGTAAAAAATGAACTTTATGAATTTATTTAGACATCCGGCCAGAATGAGAATGATGATGATGCAGACCAGATAACGATAAAGATGATGTAGATGTTGTTGATGAAGTTGATGATGATGATGATGATGATGGTGACGCGGATGATGAATGTATCGATACTTGTCGTCGTATTATTTGTTGTGTTTGATCATGATTGAAACGCATCACAGCAGCAATTACTTTAGCCAATGTCTATTAAATAGTAGAAAATAAATTATATATAATACAATGGTATATCCAGGATTAACAATACTTACCACTGGTTCACGACCAATCATAAATTCAAATAGAATATTTCTAAGATATTCATATTCAGTAGGTTGAGGCAGATGAACACCAAGTATTGCACAGTTTTCCATATCTGCATCATCACTATTATCATCATTCGTATTATTATTTCTAGATACATGATGATGTTGATGATGATTGATACTGTTGTTGTTATTATTGTTGTTTCGTTGTTGTTCCTGTTGCATGTTGACCAATTCTTTGAGACGTAAATTTTCTTCACTAATACAAATAGCAAAGAAAAATTTGTTATTCATATCGGATTAAAAATGAATATAAATTATTATTTACTTACTGATATTGTAGGATTGAATTCTGTAATGCATTAATTTGATAATTATTTCTATCCGTACCGGTCAATTGTTCATGTAAATGTTTCAATTCATTATCTTTTGCTTTTAATCGTTGTTGATAATATTCATGCACTTCTTCTAATGCAGTATTTTTTTCATTTATCTCATTCTGTAAACATGTGATGGCATTCTTATGTTCATTTAATAATCGATTTTCTATCGTATCAAATTGTTCCATTTTTTCGGCCAATTCTTGTTTCTTTTCCTCTATGGTTGTTTGTAATGTTTCAATTTGATTATCATATTGTTTGGTAATTTTGGCCACCTGTTCACCACTATTATCCGATATTGTTTTCAATTTTTTCTCCAGATTTTCATTCATAATGGTCAACTCTTCATTCTGTGTACGTAATTTTGTCAATTCATTACGAGATTTGATTAGCTCTTGATTAGTTGAATTTTGTTGTGATGAAGCATTCATTAGACTTTCATCCAATTGTAATTCTCGTATTTCCAGCTGTTTATACAATGATTCAATCGTTTCTTCATGTTTAACACGCATTGAATCCATGGTTATTTTCATTTCTTTCATTTCAGATTTCATTTTATTCAATTGTTCTTTAAGCGATCCATTCAATTCTTCATTTAGTTTCAATTCTTCTTTCACATCTCGTTCATTTTTTACACTTGATTTCAGTTTCTCTTCCAATGCAATCACTTCGGTACGAAGTTCTTGTTCACAAACTTCACGTGTTCGTAATTTTTCTTGCAATTCGGCAATCTGTTCACGACTTTTTCGTAGGCCATCTTGAGCCGTTTTAATTCGATCGTCACGAGAATCCTGTTCGCTAGAAATATTTTCTTCAAGTTGTTTAATCTTGGTCACCAATGACTTTTCATTCTGTTCTTTATGTTTTATAGTGTTTTCTTGTTGTGCAACAGTTTTTTCCAATTCTTTACGAGCTTCTAACACAGTGTTCATTTCATTCGTTAATTGTTCGATTCGTTTCGTATAATCTTGATTTTGTTGTTGCTGTCGTTTAATGGATTTCAGCTGTGATTCAGATTTCTGTAATGTATCTTTTAATCTTTGTTTTGATTCAAGAATTTCTTTTGCATTTGATTTGATTTTGGAAATCTCTTCAATGTACGATGAATTCTGTGCATTCATTTCGACCATTTCACATTGTAATTGTTCATTGCGTTGACATTGTAATTGTAATTCATTTTGTATAGTGACCGTTTCTTCATTATTCTTCGATCGTATATTATCGATTTCAGTTTTCATATTTTCAATTTCTTGTTCTTTTTTTGCCAAATTATCCTGTATTTGTATCAGGAATTGACTTTGCTCTTGCAATTGATTTGTTTTGGCTTTTAGCTCTTTTTTCTGATCTTTAAGATCATTACGAAGTTTTACCGCTTCATTATTCCATTGTGATTCACGTGTCCGCCATTCATCCATTTGATCATGGTTCTGTTCGACTTTTTGTCGCATATCATTCAATTCTGTTTCAATTTTTCGTAATTGAACAATTTCATCAGAAAGATTTTTCTTTTCCAACAGTAATGTTTCAATTTGATTTTGAAGTTGAAGATTTTTATATCAGCATCAGCTGATGATTGATCAACTGTTGTTTTGAGACTAGCATTCTCTTCGATCAATCGAAGGCAACGAGATTTAAACTCTTCCGAATGTTTATCAATGGATTCGGTGTTGTTTTCGTCAATATTCATATCGTTGAAAATGGATTGTAAAAGTCGAGCAAAATGATTCTTCATTTCAATCTCTTGGCCACGAATTTGATCATTTTCCACTTTCAATTGATCATTTGTTTGCTGTAATGAATTGATGGTTGCTTGTAATGATTGTAAATCGTCGCGAAATTTTTGCATCAATTTTTTTGTAACTTCCATTGCTTTTGTCGATTTATTCACATCCGAATTTAATTGTTGAATGGTTGCTTGTCTTTCATCATTCTCCTTTTTGAGCTGACCATTTTCGGTGATCAAATCAGATAGTTGTGATTTAAGGGAATCAATTTCCATCTGTTTTTCAGAGAATAATTTTTTAAATTCATCAAGTTCATGTGATTGTTGTTCAAATTGAACGTTGAGACTATTGAATTTCTCTTGCATCTGTTGATCACTAGCAATCGATTTCGATTCCAAACGATATCGATCACATTCATCACGTAATTTACATTGTATTTGGTCGGATTCTTTTCGTAATTGAGCCATTTGTTCTTCAAGATTTTTTGATTGTTCAGTCAACTGTTGATTACTGGTTTCCAGATTGGATATTTGCTCCTGTGCAATTCGAAGATTTTCTTCTGCTTGTTCAATATCGGTCAGTTTTTTCTGTAGCGATTCAATTTGATCAACATAATTTTGTCGTTTACTTTCACCTTCTGCCAATTGCTGTTCAAATGATTGTTGCTGTTTGTCAGCCATTTCGGTTAATTTAATCACTTCTTCTTGGGCCGATCGCCAACGGGATTCCATCGCGGACAATTCCTGTGGATTTGACGTTGACTTAAGTGTTTTATTTTCATCACGTAACGTTAACATTTCTTTTCGTATTGTGTCCAATTCTTCACGAGCCTGTTTTAATTCGTTTGTATTGTCATCGACAAATTTCGATTGTTCTCTTTCGTTTTTGGATAATTTTTCCTGCAAACTTTTAATCGTTTCGGTTTTTGCTTTCAATTCCACTTGTCTATGTTTTGCTTCGGCTACGCGTTTGTCTAGCTGATCTTTAAGTTCTTTGATGACAATTTTTCTAGATTCAAGTTCATCATGAAGTCGTTGTTTAGCTTCATTAAATGATTCACTTGCCGAATCCTTTAATCGACGTAGCTGTTCAATTTCTTCACGTAATTTTGCCGCTTCCTGTTTGGATATTAAAAGTGATTCATTTTCTTTCATCACTGAATCCAGTTTTTCTTTATTTGATTTCAATGATTCATTACATTTGGCCAGTAATGATTCTAAACGTTCAATTTTTTTCACTAATTCATCATTTCGATCATTGGAAATGTCTGATGGATGAGAATTCTTTTCTGCATTTAATACTTCAAATTGTTGTTGCAAAATTTTTATCTGTTCCACTTTTTCTTCAATCACAATCCGTAAATTTTCTTCAAGATGTCTTTTTGCTTCTTGTTCCAATGTACATTGTTCTTTCAATTCGTTCATACGTCGTATGGCTTTGTCCTGTGTTTCGGTCAACACTGTTTTTAGTTTATCTTTTTCTTCTACAGTTTCTCTATACGCTTTCACCACTTCTGTCCAACGTTCACGATATTTACGGCTACGTTCTTTATATCGGCCACATAGATCCATCAATTGTTCCTTGCTTATGTTTTCCATATTACGTGCAGATGATTCGGATTCATATTCACTATCCGATTGTGGAATGGAAAAATTTTGTGATAAATTATTGACAAAATTAGAGAATTTATTCTTGAAAAATGAATTCGTATCCACATCATTGTTTTGATTTGATTCATTTCGATCAGTCGTCGATGATGTTGATGATTGTAGTGGTTTTAATTTATCATTCTCATCATCAAGATCGACTAGACTGAATTCAGGATTATCGTTTAATTTTTGGCCACTATCAACAGTTTTTGATGTTGTAGGCTCTACATGTGATGAGCTATCTTGTTGTTGCTGTTGTTGTTGTTGAAGCTGTGATGATAACGATGACGATGAAGTGGATTCATTCAGTGATTTTAAATCGTTCAATTTATCTGTCACTGAATTAATGGTACCATTATTAACCTGAAAATAATGGAATTAAGTTGTATTATTATAACGAGAAAAAAAAAACAAATAATCATACCAGATTCAAGGCCTGTGATTGTATATTCACTTTGGCCTTTTCATATTCATTGGAAACTTTTTCTTTCAATGCTTTGAACATTATCAATTCGAATTAGCAAATACAAAAGTAACGGAAAGGCAAATATATTCGATTCTAATATGAAGGCAAAAATTTAGTTATATTGTAGTGAGCGGGGGTAGAAATCCATAAAATGATCAGATCAAAAAGATGTGAAAACAATTATTGCACATTTTTGCAATTACAAAATACAAAATCAAATCAATCAGTGTTTGAAAATAAAATAAAAAAATTCATTTGGCCTCAATGATCAGAAAAAAAAACACTGACGACATCAAAATATATTTTTCTCCAAAAAAAAAACTTTGGGACCATACGCAAAGAACGGGCCTAAATTAAATTTTTGTTTTTTGATTTTTATTTTTATTTTCAATATAAAGTAAAATAAATCAAACTTTTTTTTACAAAAATTAAATTTCTTTCTCCTAACATATTTCAATATATTCATCATCATCATCATCACCATTAATTCAATCGGCAAATCTATTTGGATAAAATCTTAATCCTTGTGTGCTTTCATCACGACAAACAATACCAAATTTTTCGGATTCAATTAAACGTTGCCTTGCTAATGCAACAGAAATGTCCACTTTGATGGCAAAATCTTGTGGTGTTAGATATTCTAGCTTGTCGAATAAATCAATTATTTGATTGTTTATATAATTCTGATCAAAATCATCACATTGTAGGGTGATTAATCCACTAGGATATTTTACCACTTTCATACCGAGATTTTGTTTCTCCAATGTCATGCAACCATTGTATAGATCTTCAGGTGAAATGAGAGAAAATCCACGTGCACGATTATAAGAACAATATACTTCGGGCAATGCAATCTGACCACCTTTTGATTTGGCTAATGGCATAATGATTTTAGCAATTTGTCTACCCAAATTTTGATAGTATTTATTATCACTACGATATTTACTTCTTTTCACAGGATCTTCAATATCGTCATCAACACCTAGGCTTAATAGATATGATTTGAAAAGGACCGTTTCATCCGATGATATTTCATTGCCTTTTTCTTTCAATTTTTCTTTGATACTGTTGGACAATTTTACCATTTCTTCTAAGAATGACATTAAATTTTCAAGATCTTGAAATGCACCATCAATATTTCGATTTGTCTCTTCATGTTGATCATGGATTTTTCGTTCAATTCCACCGATTCCCAGACGATATTTTTTCTTATCCATTTTTTTTTTTGTTTCAAAAAAACAAAAATTCATTGACGAAAACAAAAAAATTCTTAAAAAAAATGATGATCATTAAAACCAAACGCCATTAACAAACAACGTGACACAAGCTCATATGAGCAAATTCTGTCTGTGTTCGATTTTAAATTTTTAAAAATAATCATCATCATGGTGATTAAATTGGAAAACAAAAACTAAAGTTGTGTTTTTCAGACATTTCGATCGACAAAATAAACGTTTCATTAAGAAAGTATATGAACGAAAATTCAAATTCTATTGAAATCTTTAATCTTTCAACTCATTTTCATGTGAAATTTGCGTAATTATTCCAAAGAATTGCCACAATTGAAACAAAAAAAAAATTCATTATTTCAAACAACTGTTCCCAACATTATTATGGGTTGAAGATCATTATTCATGAATTTTTATTTTTAAATCTTTCCGTATGTGTGTGTGTTTGTATGTTGAACATTGCATTTGGTTAATTTTTTTGGATTTAAATATTGGCTGATTGTTTTGTTTCAATAATTTTTTTTTTTTTTTTTTTTTTTTGATAACAATTGGTTACAAATGAAATCATGTTTAATGATTGATGAATTGGATTGTGATGATGGTGTGAAAAAAAAGAAGGCAAGAAACAAATTTGAAAAATTAAAAAAAAAAAAAAAATAAAAGACAAAAAGAGCCAGTAATGTGGCGATAAATGAATAAAATGGAGATATGGAGATTTATCATAATATAATAAGAAAAATAAAAATCAAAGTATCAAGAATAAAGAATTGTAAATGTGGTAAAGGAAGGTTGTTTTTTTTTTGGTTGTCGTCGTTATTGTTTATATTGTCGAGTAACAATTTTGTTTGTTTGCATTAGCATCAATTGTATAACATATGATATAATAATAATAATAAAAGTTTGAGTGGGAAAAAAATGAAATTTTTCATTCATTCATTGATTCTTGAAACGATCAAAACAAGGGAGTTGTTGATGATGAAAGGAGCGAAAAGTATTTTGTTTGTCTTGAAGGATCATGAGTTTTGTTTTTGGGATTTTAAATTCTTTAAGATGAAAATGATGTAGATGTGATATATTTGTTGTTGTTGTGGTTGTGTTTTTGAGACAATGATTTGTGAGATAGATTTCAAATAAAAGGAATATATTTAGAGGGAATGGGAATTTCATATTAAGATTGATTGATAAATTTTTTTCATAATTTGACCAATTTTTTTTTTTTTTTGGTTCACGGGATTCATTCGCATTCACATTGTATCGATAGTAGGAACATAGGTGAAATCGTCACTTGTCATGGATCTATTATTTTAGGAATTGAAGGATTGAGACATTGGTTTTTTTTGGTATTTTTTTTTGTTTTAAAGTGAAAAACAGAAAAAAACAAAACAAAAAGATGGGTCTACAATTGTCAACTTGAAACTTACTCATTTGGATTACGATTCCAATCATATGAGGTTGACATGTTTGTATCGAATGACATATTGGTCATTGGTCCAATATCGCTAAAGCTCGTACTTAATGTTGCATCATTCATAATACTACTATTCACCGTATGTTGATCATTCATGTTTTCATAATTGCCAGATTCTTTGTCCATTTCACTAAATGATGATAGGATAAATAAATAGATAATGAATGAATATAAAGCTAAATATAAATTATGTTATACCTAGGAATGCAATTCTTTAATTGTGTGAAAACATAACCATTTGATGCTTGATTCTCAATTCTTGTATAATATTTCGAAAAGGCTGTATCTTTCGGTATCTCCGGAAACAGGTAGACAAATTGATTGAAATCATTCAAACGATCGGCCAATTTTCGAATCTTCAGATCATTACTAACAAATGGTACAAGACATTCAACTTTATTATTAGCATTTCGATATGCAACACTAATGCCTCCCAATTGAGTGTCGGAGAATCTAAGCAAAAATGTACCCGGTAATTTAGTCATCAGTAACATTTCGGCACGTTGTCTAGTAAGAAAACCGATAATCAATCCATCAGCCCATAATTCGGCCAGATGTTCACGTGTTAATTGCAATATATTATAAAACCAATCCCAGAATGTGAAATTCTGTTCAGGCAACAGGTCCTTGGAGAATTTTGTCCATGGCACCATAATGTTGAAGAAATTTTGTTTATCAACTTCATGACCAGAGATCTTTTCAGCAAGAAAATGCATATTATCTTCACTCAGATGTCTTCTCGTGTGTTCATAGAATTGGCGACTTAATACCTGTGCCAATTCTCCAAGTTTAACTTCAGTCGGCACATTGAACGGTATACGTTTCTATTATATACAGAGAGAAGAAGTAAAATTTGATTAAAAGAATCATCATCGTCAAATAATTGTATATACCACTTCTGAGAATGCATTATCCCAAATGATTGTCGACAATGCGTGTATCTTCTGATTACCATGTACTATGACTACGACTGGTACGGAAATTGTCTACAGCCATCATATTAAATAAATTGTGAATATTAATTTATCAAAGAAAAAAAAAATCAAGAAAAATTACCGAAATCACAAATTTTATATCGCTTTCAAGAAATATTTCCGTCGTAAATAATAGGGAAAATTTTTCATCCACAACTTTATCTATTGAAGCCTTTTTCTCTGCACGTTTAATTGATTTTAATCGTAAATTAATAAAATTGGCACTCAATGTATTTGTAGCCGAATTATATTCCATCACAGTGGTATTGTTGACTATTTCACCACAACATGAATTTAGATGAAATTTTTCATGATCAGTATTCCAAAGTTTTGCCTGTTCTTCATTGATGATTTGTACACGCACAACTAAACTATTCATATGAACATTCAATACACTGCCGGCCAACATTGTAACGGTGGCATTGAATTTTGTTTCCTTTTTAATCACCTGTTTTGGTTGATTTTTAACAATAAATGTTTCGCTTATTAAATTCTTGAACAATAATGTTGTATGTTTTTTAATTTCAATAAATTGCGCAATAATCATTGCATCTTCTTGTGTAGAATCATTCGATACTAATGCATCAATGAATTTTAATTGCTGTAATAAATTACCAAGATTTGATGCCATCATTTCTGATAGATTTTTAAGCTGTAAATATGTTTCCGAAGAATCCAGTTTACTTTTCTGTTGTTGTTTCCATACATCCAATTCATTGAATAAAAGTAAAGACATTTCCTGTAATTTAACAATAATATCTCTATATTTGTTATTCAAATCATTCATATTTGTTTGATATTGTGAATGTAATAGATTAACATTTTCCATAAAACGTAATTTCATTGCTTTATCATTTGGATTATTATTATTGTTGAATTTATGATTATCAAAATTGCTTATCTCCAATTGACGAATATTGAATGTTTCTTTTAATGATTTAATATTTTTGAATAATGTTTCCGTTTCACCAATACCATCTTTGATGACAACATTCATTTGGCATAATTTTTGAAAATTATCGAATAAATTCACTTGAGCGAATGGAACCGGCTTTGTTTTAATTTAGAGAGCAATAGAGAGAGAGAGACAGATTAAACATTTAAATTCTAACGTCATGTCTATTGTTACTTACCTCTTGATTATTACAACGAATAAATTCTTTTTCATATGAAAGACAATCATGTATATTTTTAATGATTGCATGAACATCGGCATTTGAATTAGTGATCATATTCCAATAATTAACTAGCTTATAACGATATGCAACATCATTGGACATTTCAATAAGATTCTTAATTTCAATACTGAATCGTTGTATTAGTTCACATTTCATCATAGTATCATTTTCAACAAAATATTGCCAATTCTGTTGTTCAATCCAATCGGCTAATTGCATACGTATCTCTATTGGTATATGATGATTATATATGGAAAATAATTGCCGCTGTTGATCTTCAGGCAACGATAGGATTCGACTCCAAACGGACATTTTTGGGCGATTTTTTTTTGGTTGGATCGATCGATCACTCTATGATGATGATGATGATGATGATGATGAATAATTAGGATTTCTGGTGTAGCCAGGAAATGAAAAAAAAACAAACGAAAAAAAAATTATAGGCAAACACACATGCACACAAGTTATTCTGGAAATGTTTTTTTTGTATTCGAGATGGCAAAAAAAAACATCAAACAGCAATCTTCTTCCTTGTTCGTTCTTTTCCTAATTATTATTATTATTATATTATAGGGTGATTGTCGTTGCTGTTGTTGGAAAGTTTCACATTACTAATCATCAAAAACTACAAAAGTAAAAGTATTATAAACTATTTGGATTTGATCATTTTTTTTGTTGTTCAGTGTATAGAAAGGTGGTAGTCAGAGATGTTGCTTCGTTTGCTGATAAACCGTTAGACACAAACAAAACCACACAGGTGTATTACTTGCATGTAAGAGGTACAGGTATAGGTATGTGCGTGTGTGTGTGTGTTTGAATTTATTCCGTTATTTTTTTTTTTGTTGTTTTTATTTGTTCACGTATCAATTTCGAATGTTTATAGCTTTGAATTTTGAAAATTTATTTCGCAATCATCGTAATAAAATTCTTTCTTTTTTTCAAAGCTTCAAGAGGATTGCATTGCATTTAAAATGGAATAAATTAATTTATGTAGTGAAAAAAAACATTTGATGGTGGTGGTGGAATAATTTTTTTCTATACTACCACCACTAAATTATCATTATAATTAAAGAAAATTGCAAATAAAAAAATGAAATTTTACTATCAATCGATTGATTGATTCTAAAATGGAAAGGAGAAAAAAATTGATTATATTACATTTATTATAGCTCATTGATTTGATATATCGATGATGATTAACCACAACGTTTTAGATTATCACTAGAAAAAAATTGATGATGCATTTTTTTTCACACAAGTTGAATTTTGTTTTTTTTTCTTATTTAAACATCAACAAAAAAATAAAAAAAATAAAATAACTGATGACGATGATGATATGAAACTTGTCATTCTTTTAGAAAAAAAAATTTGACAAAAAACAAGAAACACGCAAAAAAACACCGATTGATTCAACCACAGCAGCTGAATGTGTGTCTGTGTATGGATGAAGAATTCGAACGACAAAAAAAAATTCGATAAGAATCCACAATTGTAAACCAATTTCTTGTTTGTTTGCTTGTTTGTGTGAATATAGAGTGAGAGAGAGAAAAAAAAAGTGAAAAGTGGAACATGGAAGTTTGAAAGCCGAAAATTCTAACTAAATTGACGATAGTCGCGAGTCGTCGTTGTTTTTTTTTCCTACTGGCCACCAAACACTAAATAGTGGTTGGTTGACAAGAACAGACACCAAAAAAAACAGCAAAAAAAAGCGAAGAAAAAAAACAACAAAAAACCAGAATCAATACCAATTTTGTATTGCTGATTGGTTGGTTAGTTGGTTGATGAATTTGGGTACACAGCACATATACACACACACACACACTACCGTTATATAGATTATTAAAAAAAAAAATTTAGGTTTCACTTTCACTAAGAAATATATTTTGTTTGTTTGTTTTTTTTCTGATTTTATGGTTCATTTCTAGTTTCTGGTTTCTGGCCGTAGCAATACATCACAAACACACATGATGCTATAGCAGAATTTGTTGTTAATATAATATGCCACCACTATTCACAAATCGATATATACATTATATATAATACAAAACACATACATGAATGTCAGCGTGCGCGCGTATATTTTTTTTCTGGTTAATTGACGAGTGAAGGCAAGAAAAACATAGAGAGAAAGAGAGAGAGAGACCAAAAGTTCAATTCCAATGAATAGATCACAATTTGTTTGATGATATGAATTCTTTAAATGCGCGCATGTATTAAATCATCATCAAAAAAAAAAAAAAAATATAGAAGCACGAGCATCATCATTTTTTTTTTGGTTGACCAGCACCATCTTTTGTGTGAATAAAAAATTTTATTGAATTTTTTTTTTTCACTGCACTCAAAAAAATATGAAATTTTCGTACTTATTTTTTCTATTAAAACTCCTCCCATTATGTATTTTTTTTACCTCGTTTTCAACTTCGGTTGTATATATACAAAGTCTACCCCAAAAATGGGGATCTATTTTTTAGAGTGTGCACACTCAAACAAATAGCCCCTTTTTTTGGGGGAAAAAATTAAGCTCCTCCCAAAATGTATTTTTGTTACTTCTTTTTTTTCGAGTTCACATGACTACAGCTGATTCGATTCGTGTCCAGAAACTTTTTTGTTGTTGAAATTTTTGTGTTTCTGGATTAATTTCTGAAAATTTATACAGTAATACCCCGCTTAACGCAGCCCCGTTTAACGCTGATTCGATATATAACGCTCTTTTTTTAAAACCATGTTACATTGTATATGAAGGGTTATAAACTCACTTAACGCTGTATATGCATACATTCGTCTTTATCATCATTGTGTTGATTTGGTCTTTTTTCCACTATGTAACCAATAGTGTTTATGTGATGGAAAAAGTACTTTTTGTGTGCATTCAAGAATTTTCGATAAATTTCTCGAATGTTCTTCGGTTAGTTGCCCGTTCACTCTCGCACAGTGAAATTTTTTTTTTATTTATGTGTTTCATATATAACTGACTGCATAATCAACGTTTATTTGTAATTTGTATGCATTTCATTTTCAATTGTATTTCTCACACGTATTGTGTGTATTGAATAAATAATTTGACGAAATCATTTTTGGATTTTCTAAATTTGCAATATCCATTTTTTATCCAAAATTCCGTATATAATAATTTATTTATCGAAATTATTTATTTCACCATCATCAAAGTTTTATCAACATTCATTTGAACATCATCGCTAAATTTATTGTTCCATCTCTGATATATATCAAATAATAAATATCCATAATCATCATGGGAAAAGATTATTACGAAATATTGGGTATCTCGAAAAAAGCTACCGAAGATGAGATTAAAAAAGCATATCGTATTATGGCTTTAAAATATCATCCAGATAAGAATAAATCACCTGAAGCTGAAGAAAAATTCAAATTGATCGCCGAAGCGTATGAAGTATTATCCGATAAAAAGAAACGAGATATCTATGATCAATTTGGCGAAGAAGGTCTTTCCGGTAATATTCCACCGAACGGTGCCGGTATGGGTGGTTTTGGTCCTGGTGGTGGATCGTATAAATTCTCATTTCATGGCGATCCAAGACAAACATTCGCTCAATTTTTTGGCACTGATAATCCATTTGAAATGTTTTTCGGTAATATGGGCGGTGTTGGTGGTGGTCCTGGAACAGGCGGTATTCATATCGATCCTCATCACGGTATGGATACAGATACTTATAGTTTCACCAGTGGTTTTGGCGGCAATACCGATCGCATTCCAAAGAAAGCGAAAAAACAAGATCCACCAATCGAACATAATCTAAATGTTTCATTGGAAGAAGTATTGAAAGGATGTGTGAAGAAAATGAAAATCATACGTAAAGTTCCTGGTGTTGATGGTACCGTGCTTAAAGAAGATAAAGTGTTAACCATTAATGTTAAACCTGGATGGAAAGCCGGAACAAAAATTACTTTCCCTCGTGAAGGTGATCAAAACCCAGGTACAATACCATCGGATATTGTTTTCATCATACAGGATAAACCACACAAAACATTTAAACGTGAAGGTGCAGATGTATTATATACGGCCAAAGTATCATTGAAAGATGCATTAACTGGCTGTCGTATAATGATACCGACACTGAGTTCTGAAGAGTTTCCATTACGTATGAATGATGTGATCACACCACATACTATACGACGGATTTCCGGACGTGGTTTACCATATCCAAAAGAACCAACAAAACGTGGTGATCTGATTGTTCGATTCGATATTCAATTTCCAACATCATTATCTAGCGATCAAAAACGAGCCATTGCTGATTTGTTACCATAATAATAATAATGATTGATAATTTATTATTTAAAAAATGAAAAAAAAAATTAGGCTGCTGTACAGAATAATAACGAATTTTCTATCCTCTATATGTGTGTGTGTGTGTGTTTGTGTATCTGATACTTTGTCCTTTCTATCTTATTTCCAATAATTTCAGTGTTATCCATTTTTTTTTCTACCTACTTTTACTGTAAATAAATATAAATCTTAATTATCCAAAATTTTGAATTCAATTTTGATTTTCTTGAATATTTTACCATTTGGAATATCTAATAATAATTACATTCGCCAGGTGGCGACACAATACAAAGCTTTGAAATTTCGGGAATGTTCCGGAAATTTTTTTCTGTATGAACAACAACAACGAAAAAAAAAACTTTCCAACAAATTTATCTGACTTTAAGCTGATGATGCATGCATGCATGAATGTATACGTGTTCTCTTTTTCATTGCTCAATCGAGTTTGTAGAAAAAACACCGCTGACGTTTACAATTTGTTTTCATTTCCTTTTAAAAAATCGGTATAAATTAATCAGTGATCATTCTTTTCGAATAAAATGGATCAAATAATCAGTTTTGTTGAACCGGCAAAAAAATTCACCAAAGATTCTATTCGTTTGGTAAAACGATGTACAAAACCTGATCGTAAAGGTGAGCAAATTCTGAATTATGTGCAATATTATTGATTATTTGTTTTTGTTTTTAAATTTAGAATTTCAAAAAATTGCCATGGCTACCGCCATCGGTTTCGCTATAATGGGTTTCATTGGATTCTTCGTGAAATTGATTCACATTCCTATCAATAATATCATTGTGTAAGTTTTTTCTCTGTCCTTTTTTTTGCTATTCAAATCATAATTGATTGATTTCTGAATACATTTCCAAACAGCGGATCCTAAAGCCAAATGCAAACTTGGGAAAACAAACTCGGTATATGGCGATTGTTCATCGTTTAGAAAAAAAAACTTTGCATCATTTTTTTTAATCAAATCATCAAATATGATTATAATTACAATTACAATAATAATAATAAATTCATTTGAATTTTGATTAATTATTTATCTTTTTTGGCTAAATTTTTTCGGATAAATTTATTGGTATTTTCCCAATAATAGAACATTTGTAACACCAGAATCAGATTGATTATTGATGAAAGTGAGTAACCAACAATAATCAATTGATCACCAGTTTCTTGAATCGATGTCATGATTCTTGTTGTTGATCCAATGAATATTAGAATGATTGTCACCGCTGAAAGATTGCCCGTATGTCCATTACGGAAATTTGACCCGGCTTGTACTAATTTACTGGATATTATCAATGGCAAAGCGGCAGCTTGACCCATCCATAATATTTTCATTGGAACATGGCCAGACATTAATATGGCAAATGTTGATGTGAATACAATCATGAACAGGAATGCTTGACCTTTATTTATGTCATAATAGATGATCAAAAAGGCAATGAATGATGTCATGAATAATATGAATAATGCTTCACCCCAAGCACTGAATGGAAAACCATTTGCGAATGCATATGAAGATGAAAATGTTAATGCAAGAATTTCGAGCACAACAGCCGAAAGGCTGACACCTAAACCACTTTTTGCTGACAATAATTTCAACAATTGTGGCAATTTAACCATTGTCGAACCGAATATGATTCCATAACCAAGCGATTTTATCATGATCAATTTAAAACATTCTGGTTCGATTATGAATTCACGTAAAATTCGATGACAACATCTGGATGGATAAAGTAGCTGACAAAGGCCGGTAATTTGTTCCATGATCAATATACGATGGATTTTTTTTATTGTACCCGAATGAGAAGAAAAAAACAACACCGATTTTTCTTTTGCTTATCTATAAACACCGATTTGATAATAATTTGTGGAAGCTTTGTATATTTCGACAATAGATGTCACTATTTCGACCGATTCGAATGATTAGAATTTCAATAAAAAAAAAAAAATTTTTCCATTTCATTTTCACAATAATCAATTTTATTCAATCAGAATGTGATTTATTATTGAAGTTAATCATCATCATCTTGATGAAATTCATGTATATGATACAGAAAAGAAAATTTTTTTTTACTGTGCGCGTATCTCTTTTATTACATTCACGATTCATATCGATTCATCATGTACACAGCGAAAAACAAAAAAAAAATGATGATGATGATGATGACGACGACAAAAAAAACAATTAGATGGTGGATAAGGAATTACAGCAAAAGAAATGCACAATTAAAAAAAATTTTCGTGTTTGTTTTTTTTGTCGTTTGTTTTGATCACAATGATTTTTGTTTTGTTTTTTGTTTCTTCCGTATATAAAAAAAAAATTACACATACATTGTGTCAGTGTCAGCGTGTCAAATTTCATCATTATTCAATAATCAATCAATCGAGAAATGAGATGATTTTCGGTTGATAAGTTTAAAAAAAAATTTTTTTAATTTATATTACCATAAACATGGAATATCACCAATTTGATGAGATTTGATTTGTTCGAATTCCAATTTCGAATCGATTCATTGATATTTGATCACTGTGTGTGTGTGTGTGTGTGTGTGTGTATGTGAGTGGGTGGATGTATGTGATCTCAAAATTCTTCTGACACATTATTAATGGGTAAGTTTGTTTTTTTTTCTGTTTTGGAAATTTGAACATTTGATTTTTGTACGCTGCGACAAATGACATGAAAATAAAAAAAAAATCAATATAAAATAAGTTATATAATACAAAAAATCTCATACTTTTTTTTGGGATAATCTAAAATTGATTATGGCTTTTTTTTATCTTTTGTTGATGTTCATCATCATCATCATCATCATCATTGAGCCTGATATCCTTGAATTGTTGGATAACCAGAAGCTGCTGCTGCTGCCGCCGCCGCTGCTGCTCCAGATAATTGTACTGATGTTGAATTATTGGTCAATGTACCTGCTGTTGTCCAACCAGCCGATATTGGTATGGCCATTTGTGATGAATTAAAACCAGCAGTTGCTGCACTAGGTGTTTGACCGGCTGCTGCTGCTGCTGCCATTGAAGAATAATATTGATGATTATATGGATATTGTAGACCGGTAGCATTAGTTTGGACGGTGGTATATTGGTTCTGATGATGTGGATGCGGATGATGATGATGATGATTACTTCCAGCAGATGGTTGTTGAGTTGCAGATATTGTTTGTGGATGACCACCGTGAATAGCAGCGGCAGCTTGAAACGCTGTCGGTTGATACCAATATGACAATTGTTGCTGATGATGATGTCCGTATGGATATATCAAAGGCGTTGATGCAGCTGCAGCGGCTAAATTTGCTTGTACAGCTGCTGCTACCGCCGCAGCATTTAAATTGGTCGAATTTGTGGCCGACATTCCCATCATTGTCATGGATGTATTATTGTCATTCGATTCTTTACCCCATGAACATTTCACCGTTTGTCCTAAAATTTCTTGATTATTCATTATAACGATTGCATTTGTAGCTGCTTCTTTACAGGTAAACTTAATGAATGCATAGCCTTTATCTTTGAAAACACGAATCTCTTGAATCGTACCAAAACGACAAAATGTTTTTTGCATCAATTCTTCGGTTAAACCGTTGTTTATACCACCACAATAAACGGTACAATTTGTTATACTAGATGAATTGAAAACTTCATCATATTTCATTGTACGATTATTGACATTCGGTCCTATCACCAAATTATTATCATTACCGCTAATACTAGCAATACTACCAATTCCACTTCCACTAGCACATCCTTTTAATGAAGACATTTTTCTAGTTGCCCAATTTGTGCGTATAGGACGATGGCCTAACCATTGGCCATTCATACCGGCAATAGCATTTTCAGCATCTTGTTTTTTAACAAACGAAACGAATCCATAACCTTTGGATTTTAATGTATGTGAATCACGAACAACACGACAATCTGATATTTCGCCAAATACAACGAATGCTTCACGTAATTGTTGTGTTTCAATTTCAGGACTAAGATCACCAACAAATATATGAAAATGTCTTGATGTATCAGCTTTTTGGCCACCACTAGCACCACCACTACTATTTGAAGCCCAATTAACTTTTATTTCACGATCTAAACATAATCTTTTGTTCATTGTTGCAATGGCTGTAGCTGCAGACGTATGATCATCATAATCGATAAAACAATAAAGATCATTTTGATTATCGGTAATCAATTTTAATCCAACAATATGGCCATATGGTGAAAATAATGTATGTATAAAATTTTCATTAATCGATGGATCTAGATTACCAACATATAATGTTCGTGGATTTTCCGTTATACCGGTGGCTATCGTTGCAATATTGGCCGATGCCACCGTTGTAGTCTGGCCATTATTATTATTATTATTATTATTATTGTTATTAGAATTAGAATTAGAATTAATATTATTGCCGCTTGTTTGATGCATTAATGATGTATTTTGTTGATGTTGATGATTATAATAATAATGAAAATTATGATCGTAATAATGTTGATTATGATGATGATTTTGATGATGAAAGGACGAATTATTATCATTGAGCGATTGTTTATCATCAACAATTAATGTTGTATTCGTATCGTTTTTCGTATACGAATTAGATGAATCCATTCAATCAAAAAAAAAAAAAATCAGAGTGATGAAGAAAAAAAAACAAAATTAAATCACAACAGCCAACAGATGATTACCACCATTACAACAACAACAACAACAACAACAATACGAAACAGAACTGTACGAAATCAATCAAACAAAGAAAAAAAAACCTGTGGATAAAATTTATAGAAAAAAAATCAATAAAAATAATCAAAATCACAATCAATCAATGGACACTAACCATGTGTATCATGAACAAAGAAAATCGAATGTGTCTATAGATGATGTTTTTTCTTGTGGTTCATTCACGTTGCATATATATATATATTCAGAATATTGGCGACGAAAACAACAACAAACAAAAACTAAATGAATGAATCAAAACAAAAAAAAAGAAACGAAACAAAACCAAAAAGTACCAAAGAATTAACAAGAAAATTTAGTTTCAAAAACTTTTTGTTTTGTTAATTAATGATGATAATGTTTTTCTTCGCCACTCAAAAAAAGCAAGATTAACTCCAAAAAAAGACATACACACACAAAAACACAACACATGAGCACGAAAAAAAAAAAATTACCAAATCCAGCCAGTACGTAGCAGCGGTGAATATAGAGAGAGAGAGAGAGAGAACAGTCGTAACTCGCTTGAATCATCATCATCATCAGCTCCAATATATAAAACATACACAGAGAGAAATACAACATACAATCGACGACCGCGACCACGACCGACCAAACCAAACCAAACCAACTTATGTTATCTTGTTTTTTTTTGGTGTTTCTCTTTTTTTTTGATATAATTTGCTTCGACGCCGTAGAAGAGAATCTATTTGGATGAACTCGTGGACGACGCTTACAGACTGGGAAAAAAATATTTTCATTGAATGGAAAATTCTTGGTGGATAATGTGCGTCTGTATGTTGTGTGTGTGTGTGAAGTAAATCCATCTGAGAAAGCCAGACAAGCTTTATAGTTATTTTTTTCTTTTTTTGGATGATGAGGATGATGATGGTCATCATGGTTGATTAAAGGGGAGAAAGTATTTAAAAAACAAAACTTTGATGACTTGGTCTATTTGAACACACTTCCCCTCCATACTATTGCAACAAAATAAAATGTGATGATGGTGTTTAATATATTAGGTTAAAATAGTTGTATTAAATACCCTTTGATATTTAAACAAATTGTGTGTGTGATTGTGATTCTGGTCAGTTTTTTTTCATTTGTTAACCAATTGACTTTTATCAATTTTATGAGATTCTTTCATCCTGGTCATTTGAATGTTAATTTTTTTTATTATCATCATCAGCGATGGCCGTAAATTTTTATTATTTTTTTTCTCTCTTCATCTCAACAATTCATGGATCAATTCAAAATGTTCGAATAGAATGCGAATAAATGAATGAATGAGTCACTACTTATTCTTACACAGAACAAAAAAAAGAAAAAGATTCATATATCCGGTAAGTAGAAAGAAAAATACCGGCTACCATTCACATTCAATTTGCAATTTGGTATACATGCGCCGAATGATTATCCATTTCCGGTGTGGGAGGATATCATCATCTTTTATGAAACATCATTTATTCTATTCCATTCTCTCAATTTTAAATAAGATCATAGTCCTAGACTAACAAGGATTTTATAAACCATCATGATGATGATGATGAGTAAGCGTTATTCATGTGGATTTGAAAAATCCAGGGCGTCGGAAGCTTCAACCAAAAGGGATTGATTGGGTGGTGGTGGTGGTGGCATGCTGCCCACACACACACACACACACACACACACGAAACGTCATATACAATCACAATATATTGCTGTTGTTTTGTGATGAATAAGAAAAAAAAACCGCCGCCCGTTTTTATTATTGTGTTTGCTTGTGTTCCAATTGGAACATTTATATATATATTATATATATGTTAGACATGCCACTATCGTCTATATATACCTCTAATGGATGGATGGATCATTTTTTTTTATACACCAAACGAGAAATATTGGTTGCAGCAACAATGTTATACGATGTGATGGCATGATACAACATTGCATTAAAAAAAAAAAAAAATGTAGGATATTAAATTGCCAGGATTCATATATAAAAAATTGCTTTCTGCTGCTGCTGCTGCTGTGGCTGCAGCCATCAAAAGAGAGTTGAGCTCGAGTTGCTGATTGATTGAGATTTTTTTTAGTGAATAGAAACTATGTAGTTTCAATGTAGTTTTGTTGTTGTTGTTGTTTTTGCATTCTTTCATTCTTGAGAAAAAAAACAAGATTCTTGATGATCACCAATTTCAAATTTCAAATGGTAATGATATTGAAAGTGAAACAATTTGAATCTCAAAATTTTTGATTTTTGATTTTTGTTTTGGTTCAAAATAACCATACACTTTGATAAACAGTCATTGTTATTGTGAAAAAAAAACTAACAACAACAACAACGACAACAACAAAACAGGTGATTGAAAAACAACAATAAATAATTTTCAATCGATGATGTGAAGAATATATAACCGATGGATGGATAAATGATCATTTCATTGGAAAAAAATGGACAGCTGCATTGCTGCTACTACTACTACTACTAATGTTGCTGATGATGGTGATGATGATAATGATGGCATAGAATCAAATCATCATTCTCATAAGATTTTATTGATTGATCAATCGACTGAAATGGATTTGAATATTCTACATCAGAAGCCACCACCACTACCATCACCGCTACCATCATCGACAACCAATACTAGTCAACAAGCTCTATCATCAGATGGATTACATTGGTGTCCCGGTATGGATATCTATCATCTATCTAATTGGTAAGAGATAATTTTCTATTCTAATGTAAAATTTAAAAAATTCATAATTCATTTTTTTTCCAGTGATAACAACAACATTTGTCGAAATACTTCGTTGAATGTTGACAGCATTAGTAATAATCAACATTCACAAATTTCATTCACATTAACATCATCCGGTTCGGCTGCTGCTAATGAAATACCAGATAATAATATTGATGATGATTCTATCCATCGAAATCGTCATCATCATAAAATAAATCGACCAAATGAATCCGCTTCATCTGCTTCATCATCATCATCGTCATCAAAATTTTTGATCAATAATAATACTAATAATTATGATATACATCTAGCTCAGATTGATATTGAAACATTTAAAAGTGAAGATATTCGTAAAATTCCTTTCAATCATCATCATCATCAATCAATGATGAATGTATCGAACGATGATACCCTCAGGTAAGAAATTAATTTGAAAATTTAATCATCATAAATTTTAACATTGATAACATTTTACATTTAGAATCGTTGATTCAATTAGTTCGTTTACGAATCATCTATTACAACCACCAATACCATCGAATGATACGGCCCTATCAATAGATAGTCTAGATATAAGTATTGATAATGATGAAATCAATTCAGAATTGATTCAAAAATGTGCCGAAAAAAATGACAAAACTAAATATAAAATTGCCATGATTGATTCACAAATGCATGGATCAAATATATCGACTAATCCGTTTCAACAATCACCATTACCAATGATAATGAATGATTCATCATTGAATCTTCAATCACCAGGTACATTGGTCAAAATGTTCATACAGAATAAACAATTGATAAATTCCAATGAAAATTCCATGTCATCAAGTCTAATGTTTGATACGAAAAACATTAACAATAACAACAACAACAACAACATAACGAGCAATATTGATGTGCCTAGTAAATTTGATAATAATTCATTCAGATTGAATAATAATGATTATAATAATGGTGGAAATGGAAATTTGATAGCAAATGGTTGCTTAGATAATATGGCCAATACTAGTTTAAATACAATCGATTCGAATGAATTACCATTACATGTTATTGATCTCAGTAAAAAATTACGATCATTAAATTTAAGTAGTAACAGTAAACAACAACAACAAACATCTATGATGAATAATAATAATAGCAACATTCGATATATTGGATCAACATCATCGAATACAACATCATTTGCATCGACAACGACAACAACTTCTTCATCGGCAGCTACAAATGGTGATGTTTATAATAAACTTCGACAACGACATAATCATGATCATAGACAACGAATTGTTACCGCTGCTACTAATCCGTTTCTTAATATAAGTGAAACGGAAACGAATAGTAGTGGAAAAAAAACCCGATCAATGGCTACACAATTTCCTGATCTATTTCAAGATAAAGAAGTACAGGCATCATTTGATGATGATGATGTTGATGATGTTGATGGATCGGACGTGATAAAAGAGGCACCGGTACTTGTTTATTATCCCAATTATTCATTACCCGATCTAAGTTTTCTACAGGAAATTTTTCATCCAGAAAATCATCCTGTTTATTTATCACCTGTCAAACATGAACCAATCAAAACATCAACAGTACCCGAAATCAGTAGCAATGTAAAAATGCGAACACATACAAATATGTCAGCACGACGTAAATGTCGACCAAAATCCTATACTGATTATGAAACATTATTGAATCAAGATCTAAGTCATATAAAAGATTGGGATTCATTGAATTTATTATTACCAGATGATTTTCGTGAATTTATCGAACAAAATAATCTACTGAAATTGAATCAAAATTCATCATCCGAAACGGAAGAAAATCAAAGTCAATGTTATGAACGACAGTCAGCTAAAAATATTCCAATCAAAAAGATGATGATGCCAAATAATCATCGATTATTTCAGAATGGTATCCGTATGCGACCACATTCTATGCGTCAAAATTCTATGATGAATCGTAATAAACGATATTCATTACAGGAACATCAATATAATCATTATAATAATCATCAGAATATGTATTTCAATAATCCAAATTATAATCCGAATCGAACAACAAACGAACAGCAACCATATCCAACGACGAATAGTAATGAATATGATATTATTAATTCATTTATGACCAGAAGTCAAACAATGCCTAATTGTCAAGCGATGGCATTCAATGCACCACCACCACCTTCAATGATTCCAGGTTTTTCTGGAGCCTATTATCATATGCCACATCAGTTACCACCGTCATCATCAAATGCTGTTCACCATACACAACATCATAGTGGCCGTCATCCAATCAACTGTTATAATACATGTTGTTGTCATTCGGGTTGCCATTCACCATCGACAATGGCCACTTCATCATCACAACAATCATCATCATCACCACATTCACAACAAAAACCACCACCAAATCTTAATTGGGAATTACTTTCATCATCAACAAGCTTTAAGAAATTGTTAACATTTCTTTCGAAATTGGATGAATATTCATCCACACATTCCTCATCGGCCGATACAGCTACAATCACTGGCAATAATAATAATAATAATGAAACGAATGCCTCGGATGGAAATCGAAGAAACGATAATTTCAAGACGAAATCACATTCACAACGAAATGATAATCTAAGACAAACAATGAATTCTCAACAACAACAACAACAAAAACAAGCCCAAATAAAAGATGACCAACAAAATTATCCAAATTCATCAGGCAAAAATAATCATCATCATCATCATAATAAAAGTTCCAGTTCGAAAAAACATTCAAATTCACATGGTAATAGAAAAACCACATCAGCTGCCAATGTACAGACAATGAAAAATTCATCATCGAAAATTATACTCAAACGGCCAATGATCATAAATCGACAACATTCATCAACAGCTGTAACGTCATCATCATCATCATCTGGTATACCGATACCATCAAGACGAATATCATCAATGATACCGGTGTTGAATAAAAATAGTCCAAATAATCATCAAACATATTCCGGTCAGAATAATAATGGAAAAAATATGTCTCGATTCTAGTCAAATACAAAACAAAACAAAAAAACAAAACAAAACATAAGATTTGAAAATGAAAATGATATATAAACATTGCTTTTTTTTTTTCTTTGTTAAAATTACAACATGCTTACACACACCACACACACACACACACATACACTGAGAGAGAAAACAAAATCGGAAAATTTTCAAAAATTGGTGGTTTTTGTTTTTCATCATCAACGTCGTTTCTCTATAGTGCTTTTTCCGGGATCTATTCTAAATGTGACAGATAATTTTATTGTCAATGATTTGATAATTTATTTTTTTAAGTTTTTGCTTTTTTTTGAAAATTTTTTTTGTCTTGATTGATTCTTCATTTGATTAAAACAATTTTTTTTTTTTACATTGTTTGTTCAAAATACAAGTTTTTTTTATTATTCGTTTCTAGATGGCGCGGAATTTAAAATTTGGTTCACAAAACAAAACACTAAATGAAGCAAAACACAAAAAAAGAAAAAATTTAAACTATTCAGATGATGATTTTGGTGGTAGGTGGTGGTATAGAGAGCAAGAGTAATTATTAATCAACTTGTGAGATTCGCATTGTTGATCCATTGACAATTATGATTGAATCATTCGATCGTAATATGCCCATTTGTTTGCCTAATTGTATACCGGCTTGTACATCTTTACTACAATCATCGGGATTCTGTTCACTTTGAATATATGGTATAATACCACGATATAAATGTGCTTGTCGAGCTATACGTTCATCACCAATAATGGCAATAATTGGACAACGTGGACGATATTTCGATATAAGATGAGCTAAACGTCCAGTACTGGTAACCACTATAATGGCAACAATATTTGATTTAAGCGATGCATCTACAGCGGAAATAGCCAATGATGTAGCTACATCCGTTGGTACAGGAGTTTTTCCACAAAGTTCAACAAATAATTGCTTCGAATGTATAGCTGTTTCGGCTTCAACAGCTATGGCTGCCATTGTTGCGACGGTATTGAATGGATAATCACCTTTAGCTGTCTCACCGGAAAGCATAACACAATCGGCTCCATCCAATACAGCATTTGCTACATCCGATACTTCAGCACGTGTTGGTCGTGGTTTTTTAGTCATACTTTCTAACATTTGTGTTGCACAAATGACAGGTTTTCCGGCAATATTACATTTAGCGATCATCATTTTCTGGGCCAAAAATACTTTCTGTGCTGGAATTTCAATACCCATATCGCCACGAGCTACCATAATACCATCACTTTCACGTATGATATCGTCAATTTTCTTAACACCTTCATGATTCTCCACTTTTGAGATGATTTTAATGTATTCACAATTATTATCCTTCAATATTTGTCGAATTTCTTTCACACCATTACCATTACGTATGAATGAAGCGAATATCATGTCAACTTGATTCTGACAGCCAAACACTAGATCTTGTTTATCCTTCTCGGAAACGGCAGGCAAATCGACCAATGCACCAGGAAGATTGACACCTTTTTTCGAGCCTAACATACCACCATTTTCAATTTCACATTGTAAATAATCGGAACCAACTTCTTGTACACTTAATGATATGAGACCATCATCGACGAATACATGGCTACCTTTGGATACCACTTTTACAATGTTTTTATAATCCAAATATAAATTTTCAAGTGAACATTTTTCCTTGAATTCATCATTGGTTGTCAATTTGATTGTCTTTCCTTTCACCAATTCGATTTCAGCTGTAGGACCCTGAAAATGATATTTTTAAAGAAAAAAATGATGAACAAAATTGATATATCCACACTTACTCCTTCAAGAAGACCAGTTCGAATTTCCGGACCTTTTGTATCTAATGCAATAGCAATGGGAAAGTTTGCTATATTCATCTCTTGGCCAACAATTTTGCTGCTTCTCTTACATTTTGAATGGTACCAAGATGATACTTTTTTGGGAGAGAGAAAAAATAGAAACGGAATTCAAAAAATAACAAAAAAATTTCACGAAAAATACCTCATGTGTTCCATGTGAAAAATTCATTCGTGCAATTGTCATACCGCATTTGATTAATTCAACCAATTTCGATACATCTCTTGTGGCCGGTCCAATTGTGCATACAATACCACTTTGACGAAAATTCATCGGTTTCGAATCAATATCCAAAGCACAAAGATTATCCAATCGACAATCGGCTTGTATAGCACGTGTTTGATAATCCATTATGGGCAACATATTCTGGTTGTTGGTTTGTTTATATGATCGTTGCTTAAATGATGGTTTCCTGTGACATTTAAATTGAAAGAAAAAGGAATTATTATTGAATCAGATCAAAATTAAACAAAAAAAAAACATTCACTTTATCTGGGAAGTCATTATTGGAAAATTAATTTTAGAAAATATTTGTCGATTTTGAAATTTAAATTGATAAACAAAAATCAATCGAACAGATTGGCAAATTTTATAGCCAAACATGAGAAGCGAATTGGAGCGTGCGGTGGAAAATCGAACAAAAATTCCAATAATGTTCGAATTTTGTATTATTCGAATTATTTTTTTTCCTGTCCATTACAAAATATATACTTACAGGAAGCTTAGCTTATGAATTAATGTGATTTTTTTGACTTTCCTAAAATAATGATGATGAAAAAAAGAAATTCTGTCACTTTAAATGAATGTCACTTTGCCAAATAACAACAATGGAATCTGATGTTATACAGAATGATGATGCTTACATGCATTGAAATGAAATGCAACAAACACAGAATCATGAAGGTCGTTTCATTCAATTTTGGCTCATTCAATGGGGATTCTGCGTGAAAAAAAAATTTTCATTACATAAATTCTGGCCGGAATAAGTGTAGAATGCGCATTTATTCTGTATCGGCGAAACATACAGACAGTATTCTACTGAACAAATTCGTTCCAGAAGAATGTTCGTGAACAGAAGGAAGTAAACACGGAAATGACAATTTCAATAGAAATAACAAATTTATTTAGAAATGAGAACAAAACAAAATTCTTTATCACAAAAAAATAGAGAGAATCATGAAAATTCAGAATTCAGAATTAATATAAATCAAAATTATTATTATTAGAAAATTAAATGCAATCACATCATGCAATTTGTGTTTTAAGCTGTTCCAATATCTGTACCATTATTTGTCGTAGATTCCTAGGTTGACATTGATCCTCTAACCAACGGAATGTACATGCAGATAATTGATTAAAGCTACCAACATTTACTGAATCATCGAATGATAAGAAAAGTCCATCACATAATGTTTTGAATATTTCAAATTTCATTTCATCCGATATCATTTGATGTTCATTATTATTATAATTCATTAAATCTGATGAAATCTGTGATGATTGTTGTGAAGTTTGTTGTTGTCGCCTTTGTTGTTGTTGTTGTTGCTGCTGCTGCTGTTGATGAACCATTTGTTCATAATTATTTCGCATTATCTCCAATCCAAGAACTTCTTTTCGCAATGTTTGAAGTTCTTTTTCACGTTTATGTTTCTGTTGTTGTAATGTTTGAATATATTCGATACTTCGTTGTAGAATTGCCGCTTTACTCAATTTGTATGAAGAGACAGCATCCTGTTGTGTACACGATGGTACCAATAATTGTAGATCTTCATAACCTTTTTTTATTGCATCACGACGTTTTTGTTCCGCTTGTGTATGTGCTTCACGTCGACGTTCTTTATAGCTATTGTTATTGTTGGATTTTTGATCACTATCATCATCATCGCTTGTGTCCATAGATGTTAGATCATTATTATGATGATTATTATTATTGTTGTTTGTGATTTGTGACATTTCATACATTGTTGGATTCTATAATATGAGCCATTCAAATTGAATATGTGAATGCATTTTTTTTTTTTCACCAAATTTTGATGAACTAATGATTGATATATCGAATGTTTTTTTTTCCAATTTTGATTTTTTTTTGTCACTAACATCAACAACAACGACGACGACGATGATGATGATGATGATGATGATGACTATGATGACAACGACAACATCCCGAGTAGATACTATATATACACACACACATTCCACACCAACAAAGAAGATAAGGGATTTTATGGAGCTTGGAGCAAACATATCATCATCATCATCATCATCACTAACCAATGGGTGAGCAGCTACAAACAAAAATTAAACAACTACATGAATTGCATTAATCATCATCATCATCATCATAAACCATCAACAGCTAAAAAAAAAAAAAAAATTTATATTTCATCGATGAATATTCGAATTTCGAATTTATATATTCAAAATGAAATCCGAGCATTTGAGAACAAAGCCTCAGCTGATATAGGATAAATTATCAATGTAAAAAAATGCAATGCCCTGTTGTCGATTATTGCCAATGTGTTGATTATTATGATATTTTTTTTCTATTCGAATGTGTCTTATGATCGGGCGGACAAAAACCCCGATAATGATCATGTATCAACATCCGAAGTTTTTATTTTGTCGATTTATATGTTTGTTTACCAATCTTTATTTTTGTGGCTAAATTAAACAAGACCTTGGTGTTTTTTTTTTTTAACCACAGCAAATAATAGGATTGTTTGAGAGACCAGAAAAATAAATAAGTAAATAGCGATATATATAGTGATTATAATCGTTTTAGAATTTACAAATATACAAAGATTGTGTCATTTGGTTTGAATCGATGATAACATGATGATTGATTGAAATATATGCGCATCAAACTTTTAAACAAAAACAAGGCAGTGGTATTATCGACAAATATATCGTTCGATATATTGTCTTGATAGATTTGATTTGAGATTTGATTTTTTTTCACACTGAGTTTAAAGCAATAAATAAAAAAAATCGAAAAAAAAGTATTCATTCGAATGTTTGTGTTTGTGTTAAATGGTTGATATTCATAATTCAAAAAGTCGTCATTTAAATATTGAGATTGATTGATTGATTGAACAATAATTGATTCACAAACAGAATGCGAATTTTAACATTAACAATTGTTGCCATCCTTTACATTGGTTTAAATCGTAAGCATCATTTTGAATATATTAAAAATTAAAAAATTTAAATTTTTTTTTCCTAATTTGCTCAATAGAAACCAATGCATTACGTGATAATGAAGCTTGTGATGCATGTCAAAAATGGTCAAATTTCATTTGGAATATAACTCATAATATGAATGATGAACTCTATGATTCAATGAGTAAATTATGTTCAGATTATAGTGAATTGCCAAAACAAAGTTTTGTATGTATTGACCATTAATAAATCTATATATCAATGACTCATTAATTTTTGTTGTTTTTTTTTGTAATGTTAAGTGCAACAAAACTGTACATGCATTGATTGGATTTCTGAATCAACGATGGGTAAGTTTACTGATGAACGAATGAAAACCAATTCATTCGATTTTTACTTTTTGTTGTTGTTGTTTAGGATAAGGATAAAATTTGTTACGATATCAAAGCTTGTCAGGATTCCAACGATGATGGTGTTCGAGAATTTGATGATTTTCTTGTCAATGATGATGTTGATTGCAAATTTTGTATCTATGTCAATTCGAAAATCAAAGAATTGATGACTGGTTCACCAACGGAACTGGAATTAAAAACTCATTTCGAAGATGCTTGTCATTATCTTAAAAGTTTTGAACAAGAGGTATGTGTGACATATTTGACAATTAAAAATGATCATCATTCTCATTTTACGTAATACCACAACCGTACAGTGTCTTGGCATGGTCGATGAATATATTGACATGTTATTCCAATATATGAAAGAAAGTTTCGTTCCAGAAAATCTTTGCAAATCATTACGTGTTTGTCCAAAACAGACGGGGCCATTGAAAAAGGAAAATTCCATCCGACTACCATCCGCTTCTGAAATGATCAATATAATGCCCGTGAACATGTCGTTGGTATATCCAAAAGAAGCAACAGGTCGTGAAACGCCCACTTGTATGATTTGCAAAAAACTTGTCAAAATCATTCAACGACAATTACAAGACAATGCAACCGATGAACAGATTATCAATGTATTGACCGAAGTTTGTCAGCTATTCCCACGAAAAGATATTGATAATTGTCAAAAAGTTGTCAGTAATTATGTTAAACAATTGATACAGATTTTGTCACAAGATATTGATTCCGATACTGCATGTTTATTGGCCGGTCTTTGTGGTAATCAAAGTTTGAATGATTATCTCAAAGGAACACTCATTGATCGACAACATCAATTGAATGGCAATGCTTTATGTACCGAATGTGAATTGATTGCACATTTTATTCAGAATTCAATCTATGATTATCAAACAGAAGAACAAATTGAAAATTTTATCAAAAATCATCTTTGCGATAAAATGTCGTTCATAATTAATACGGCCAATTGTCAGGCATTCATCGATCAATATGGTCCAATTATAATGCAAACAATTGCACAGGACGTTTTCAATCCTGATATGTTGTGTTTCAAAGAATTGAAACTATGCAAAAGAGCCAAAATTCATGTGATTACACCACAATCACATGATCGATGTCAAATTTGTCAAGAGATTGTTAAAGATTTGGCAAATGGATCATATAATGATATTGAAATTGATCGTATCGTTGAAAGAGGTTGTTCACGTTTACCAAAATCACATCAAGTAGATGTAAGTTGAAACATCTCCAAAGATCATTCAATTTCATTCATTTTATATAATTATAGTGTGCACTTTTGATAAAAACTTTTTCACCATATTTTTTGGACATGTTGGATCGTTATGATAATGCGGAAAAAATTTGCGAGGTAATTTATTCATAATATCATCATCAAAATATTGGCTTTTTACTTATTATTTTTATTCAAAATAGTCTGTCGACATTTGTTTGATACCGGGTAAAATTCATAAACTTGGTGGCCACAAATGTACATATGGTCCATCATATTGGTGTCACAGTGTTACACATGCCAATTCATGTAATGTAAGTTTCGTTTGTTTGTGTTTAATATTTCATTGAAAAACTCATGATAAAAATTTTTTTTCCCACTTATTTATTCATTTTTTTCACACACACACACACATCTGTTTATAAAATCATCATCAAATATATGAATTTTTTTTAATTGAATATAATTAGGCTTTTAAATATTGCCACCAAAAGGTTTGGAATTCGAATGATAATAATAATAATAATAATTAAATAATAGAGATGTGTACAATGGCCACAACCACAACATCATCAACATCAACAACAGCAACAACAACAGAATTTCCAATATATCAATTGATAACAATTAAAAATTGATAATAATTCATACAATATTTTTAATTTAGAAAATAAAAATATTCATTCTTTTGTTTGCTGATTCATTTGTTTTGCCATTATTATTTCAAGTGTGTGTGTGTGTGTGTATGTGTATTGGTTTCAGTTCAATTGTACACGAATTTCTTTATGTAGATGACATAAAAGATCAACATAGCTAAGGCCTTCGAGTTTACTGTTTTAAAAAAATAGAGAAAGAGAAAAAAAATTATTATAGAAAAAAATCTTAAAAATCCACATTGTTCTCTCTCCTTACCTGTCAGCGGCTTGTCTAGTTACAATTTTTTGATCTTCATAAAGAAAACTACGAAAAACCGTTTCAGTTTTATCAATGCCTTGACGTATGATGAATATTTTGTATGAACATTTTCGTTCGGTTTCCATTTTTTTGAATAATCGATGCATAAATTGTGATTCATTTGTCAAAAGATTTGGTAATGGCTAGAAAAAAAAAGAAAATTTGTCCAAATGAAAAAAAAATGTTCGTCTTTCACAATGATGAATCAATTTACCAATTCCATTTTGATTTTTGTAGCCGAATCAACATTTGGACCAAAAAGACCGTTCAAAAATTTAACATTATTGCAACCATTTGATGTTATGTAAAGCATTACATAGAAACCATTTTCAAGAACATATGCTAAGGCAGCTGATGTGAGTTTATATGCGGAACAACGAATTTGTGAATATTTCAACGTATCAGTTTCGGATTCACTTTCATACTAAAGAAAAAAAAATCATCATTAAATGATGCAACAAATGCAAAAACCATACCTCTATTCTATAAAGTTTTGGATATAAAAACACTTGACTGGATGATATGAATGAACCCAATAATTTGAGTTGTGCATATGCTTTATCATCTGGACTTATTTCCGGACCACCATCAATAGCATCACATTTTAATAGACCACATATATACATGGGTAATATTTTCAATGCTTCTGGTAATATTAATTGACCAAGAGATGTACCAGGTTGTGCACAATGTTTACGATATGCTGTCAATATGTTTATAACACGACTGACAATGGCCTCTTTGGTCTGTTGTATTGTTTTATCTCCATTTCGTAGTTGATTTACAGCTGTAAAAGATATAATGATGGTTAAACAAAATCCAAATTATATTTGAATGATACAAACCAATTCGAGCCAAAATATTTACGATTGAATCACAACAAGCATTACGATAAAGATCACCAATCTGTGTACAAGATGCTAAAGCAATATTATGAATTCGAACACGACGTTGTCCAGATAATGATGTATACAATATTGCGGACTAGAATTTCAGAAAAAAAAAAAAAAAAATTGAGAAAGAAAGAAACAAACAAAACCAAAACAAACAAACCTGAATAACAACATGTTCATCTTCGGTCAATTTATCATCATATTTAAATTCCACTGATATATTTGTTGTAGTATTGATAGCTGCACACTCAACATCACTTGGTGAGCGTGAATAAAAATAACCATAATAATCATTCGGTCGAATACCGGTTGATGTTCGAACTATTAAATGATTGGAGAGAAAAAAAAGAACATTATACAAACTGATGATTGACAATAAAATAAAAGATACAAACTTTTTAAAACACATTCAAATGCGAATGATGATGAAAGCGAATATTTCAAATCGATCAAAAATGCATCAGAAAAATCGTTGTAAAATTTAAAAATTGATCCAGTTCCACTTAATCGTGTTAATTCACCCAATATAGCAACATCTAAGAATCCATTCAATGGAGGAAATAGAAATAATTCAACGCCTGTTGCATAATCGGCGACACATTTTTGGCCAAGTTCAATATAGTATTTATTCGTCAATGGGCTAAGAATTGTTTTCTCTTTATCACTGCCTAATAGTTTACGTAATTCATCAACACTATTTGTCCATTTTTGTTTCAAACGACCAGGTGTATCCGAATCACTACCATATGTTGGTAATGTACTGTGGAATAAATAAATTTTTCCTACTGGTATCGAATCATTGGATTGTTGATTACCAGTGTTTACCACTTTGTTGACAATATTTTTATTAATCCAATTGTTCACATCAACTTGTGTGCTCATCAAGGCCGCTTCAATCACTGGTCCAAGAATCGTTTGCATATCCATCTCTTCATTAGCATATAATTGTGGTAATTGTTCGAAAAATTTTTCAATTTTATCCATATGAATCAATGGATCAACCAAAAAAGTGTTGAGTGGAGCAAATGGTGTCGTTAGGTCACAAATAACATGAGCATGACCATTATTCACAATATCATAGATTTGTATTTTTGAATTGTACGTTAGAAAACCAAACATTGGTGGCAATGATTCTGGATTGCCTGAATCACGAGGAAAATTTTTGATAATATTGACTAAATTTGCAGCCAATATATTCAATATTGGTTTCGATGTTTCAGTCAATTCACAAGCAAAAATCAAATGTGGACGACGATTATTCTGTACACCATTGTGGCAATATTCTTCTGTAGCAAGAAATTCATAAGATCCAAGACATAATTCTGGCCGTTGTTGTCGATCTAATCGTTGTCCAGTGTGATCAAGATTGGCGAAATAAGTTTGCGGAACTTCGGTTACATGATGACAAAGTGAACATTGAAAACGGCGACCACCATCGATAAAACGATTATATGGATTCATATATGCTTTACAACGATTACAGCGTACAATTTCACTTGGACTGATAGGCACATAGATTTTCCTATCGACTTCTTGTTCATCAAATGGTTTGATCAACATACCGAATGGAATGTCTGTAGTTTTTATAATATCTTCCGATATAGGCACCTGATAGATGGTTGGTCGTACGAATAATGGACTGGCACAGCCACCATCTTGTATGATTTGATTACCATTTTCCATTACGGTTGTGACCAATGGTGGAACACTGGCCGGAATTGCTGTCGTAAACAGTACTGGACTGTTTGTTTCATATTTCGTTTTATCTTCAAGTATCACTTGTACAACACTAGGCATAGCATCCGGATCAAGTTTATTTTGAGCTTGTTGAGGCTGCTGATTGAATGGACTTTGTGATGGATTCATCGATCCATAACCAGTAGGACTGGTTGGGGTACTGCCGTATCGATTCGTTGGCATACCATAAGGAGAACCATATTGATGATTCATAGAAGCCATTGATTGTTGATGACCACCACCCATTGGTGGTTGTTGTGGTGGCTGATATGAATTTGGTTGTTGGTACATATTCTGCGATGGTTGGGGATAATTCGGTTGAAGTGGTAGACTTCCATTCTGTTGTTGTTGTGGCTGGCCATCATAGGCGTTATTAGATTGATAGCCAGTTGCAGCTGATGATGTAGGTGGCTGTAAAGAAGGAACAACCGGTTGTTGTTGTTGTTGAATGGTTGTTTTGATCGGATTCTGATTCCAATTTCCTGGAACAGCAGCAGCAACAGCAGATTGTGGTGGTGGTGGCTGATGCTGAAATTCCTGTTGTTTAGATGGTTGATTAATATAGTTGAGTGAATTTGGAGCCATTGTGGGTGGTGGTGGCATTTGAGAATCTGCATATGTAGCACCGCTATTTGGCGTTGGATATTGATTTGTATATGACGGTAATGATGATGACGATGAAACATTCTGGCCATTCTGCAAACTGGATTTCAATGTATCATTTTGTTGCAATGGTTGACCATTATTCAATGATAGATTTGTCATTTGATTGGTAAGCGATCCAGTATGATCACCTGATTGTGATTTAGCAACCATTGTATTAGATTGAGGGGGTAGTGATGGTGGTGGTGGTGGTGGCGGCCCTGAACATGAATTATCGACAAATTGCTGTTGCTGATATTGTTGTTGATGATAATATTGTTGATTGGGAGACATCGGTTGTTGTTGTTGTTGTTGGGTCCATTGAGTTGGTTGAGGATAATTCATCATCATTGGTGGATTTGTCTGTCGAACTTGTGGATCCATATTTTAATTCTATATTTTCTTTTTTGATAAAAATTCACAAATTAATTTGATATAAAATTTCATTCAAGAATATTTTACATTGATAATAAAATAATTTATTTCTTTGTTGTTTTTTATTGATTGATATAAAACAAAACAAAAAAAACAACAAAACACTGCAAAATGCCGACGTGGAAAAACATGCAAATAAAAAATATAAAATGCCTGGTGTGTGTATGTTGAACAAGTTTGTCTGTAATAATAATAATAATCGAATCGAATATAACTTTTTTAGCTTCTCGTTTCTCTCTTCTCTCTCTCTCTCTCCGTATCACGGAAATATTCCAGTAAATATGACGTGTTATATTGAATGAAAAATTTTTTTGGAAATCTAAAAATTTTTTTTTTTTTTTGGATTCATTCATTGAAGTCGTTCGCGTGGCAAAAAACTTGACGTATAACTTTTTGTCATCATCATCATCAGCTGAATATATTTGAATGATGATGAATTGAAGCAAACCGAAACTATTGAACCAATGAATGTGTGTTTGTTGAATGTGCCACGTATATTTTCGCTGTTGTTGTTACATTCGATTAATTGTCATTTATAATCGTTAAGTATATATAAATTATTATTTGTTTATCATTTTTTTTTTCATTCAAAAAAAAATATATTGATTCGATCACCGAATCATAAAACAATTTTTTTTATACGAAAAAAAAATGAAGATAAGTCATCAATTTGGTCATGTTTCACATATGATAGTCTATTGCTGTCATATAATTGTGTTATCCATACTTTGTCGGTTTAGTTTGGCTGTTGAATTAACATTCGAATTGCCTGATAATGCTAAACAATGTTTTCATGAAGATATTCGTCAAGGTATAGAATCTACTGTAGAATTTCAAGTGGTCACCGGTGGTAAATATGATGTTGATATGAAATTAACCGGTCCACGTGGTGAAGTTTTATATGAAGGTCATAAAAAACAATTCGATACATATAAATGGACACCGGCACAAACGGGAACCTATACAATCTGTTTCAGCAATGAATTTTCAACATTTAGTCATAAATTGATTTATTTTGATTTTCAAGTTGGTGATGAAACACCGTTACCCGGTACACAACACGTATCTGTTATGACAAAGGTAAGTACTCGTATCTAAACCTTTATTCAACAAAAAAAAAATAAACAAACGTATATTTGTTGTTTGTTAAACAGATGGAACAATCAGCTGCAAATATTCATGAAAATCTGAATAACATTATGGATCATCAAAAACATTATCGTCTTAATGAAGCTAAAGGTCGTAAACGTGCCGAAGAATTGAATACACGTGTAATGACATGGTCATTGTTTGAAACATGTGTTGTACTGATTATCGGTGTTGGACAGGTAATGATTTTGAAGAATTTTTTCACCGAACGACGTTCAGCGATATCGGCAACATAATTTCACTTCCGTTCAAATTTATTAATGGCCTATATAGATTTTTTTTTATACATGATCAAAATTTAATGTTTCCATCACATCTTTAAACATATAAACACACAAACACACACATTTATTGTAATTGTAAATATACAATATTTTTTTAAAACCCCGTTTTACACACCTGACACAGGGGATTAATATATACACATTTAAATAAACACATACATGTGAGAGATTATCGTCATTAAAATTTTAAACATTTTCGTTGAGAAATTTAATCGATTTTATGTAGGTTTCATGAATGGATTTGTCGTCGTCGTCGGGTAAAACCGATTCTAAAATATGTCGTATACGATATTCTCCTTCATATAATTCTCTTCGAGATTTAATTCGAAAATTAAACGTATGATACAATAATTTTTGTATCAATAATTTCCGATAGCAACGTATATTGTCTTGATATAATTTAACCAATTCTTCAATGGATTTTTGTAATAGTATTTCACATAGATCATAGAAAGCAACCAACCAAATGGAACCGGACCAGTCAGCAATTTCAATGTTTAGCATCATACGCCAATTAAATTTATTGAATTTGAAATCACAATGAATACAATAGTATTGTTCACTATCATCGGATAATTTTTTTGAACAACACGGACATGATTTGTAGAAATGATTTTCAGCACGATTTATACGGATAATTTTACAACGAACATTTGAGTATTGGAGACTTTCTGGTTCAATTTTCTGAACAAAATTACCGATAAAAGTAAATTGAATTGTTTCATCAGTTTTTTGATCCGGCAATCGACAAAGTGATGAAAATTGTTGATGATCTTGTTCGCTTAAAGCTTGATACCATTTTTTTAACAATTCCGTTTCAGGCAGTTCAGGTTCAATCATTGATGGGCCAAATGCAACAAGTTTTTTGCCTTGACATTCAATAACGACAGCACCTTTGACAACGATTATTTGGCCAGGTTTTCCATGAAAATTTTCCGCTTCTTCATGACTCAATGTAAGAATGGTTTTCGTTTTCGTATCATCAACTATGACCAGATCTCGTTTGATTACAACTTTTTGATTTTGTTGTAAAAACGTTGTTGTTGTTTTGTTCACTGAATGTATGACGCCAATAACATCGATCACAGAATGTCTATCTAGACTAGCTATAGTTGTAATTTTAACAAATTTATAACGAATTTTTGGTTGACATTGACCAATTTCTAGTGGACATGGATGAATGAAACTGGATTTATCAAGCCAAATTTCGTAGTCATTACGAATCGTATTTAATTTTTATTCGATATGAATCGAACTGATCCTTTTCCAATGAAATAGCATCTATTAGTTTCAATAAGATTGAAAAAACGATCACATTCTTCATTGAAACATTTAATGCGTATTTCACTGCATTTGTCATAAACATCGAAATGAAAAAATCGTCCTTGCCCACGATCAGTGGAGTATGAACGAAACGACGATTTACTCATCACCCAAGCACATATTGTCCAAGTACGATAGAACGGTGTGATTACATTGATTGGACAAATCATTTGGGGATCGATTGATACATTCGATGGTTCTTGAGTGGCCATGTTGGGTTTCACTACAGCAATACTGTTCGATTCTGATTTTGTCGATGACGCAAACACTTTAGATGAAGAAGAAAGACTATTCAAATCAAAAGTTTTTTCGATTTCCATTGATTCTTCCAAATCTTTGGTTAATTTCTGATTAACAATGTCGCCATTTTTGATGATAGATAAATCTTCGATCAACAATACAAGAACATCGTCGTCTTTTGCTACTAACCGATATTTATTGATACGTATAACAGTGAATGGTGTGAGCAATTCATTGCAGAATTCATCATCATTGATGACAATACAATGTTTCCAAATGGTATGACCATCGTATAAAGCTAGACGAATTTTCTGACTGTTTGCCATTTGTCGACCACATAATATTTGCAATATTGGTTGCAAAGATTCATCACGATTTTGAAGGATAATGCTAAGAATATCCCAACTTAAGTCTATTTTGTTGTCGGACATTGTCGATAATCAAGGATTGAAATTCGAAATCAAAAATGCGGAAACAACACAGAAATCAAATATTTTTTATAAATAAAGTTCTGGAAACTTTTCTTGAATATTTTGCAAATCATTTCCCAGAACATTTCCCATGTGGTGGATTAATATTTGTTATTGATTTATAAAAAATCATTTTATTTCATGTCTAAAGAGAGGATAATTACGAATGGCATCAAGAATGTCCTGCATCAATCGTTGGTCAAAACACCAACTCAAGTGCCTTCATCATCGCCCGGAAAGATATCGTTGATACCATCACGTTTACCTCCACTGCCAACAGTTCGAGATCTAGTCAGAATTTATCGTGTTCGAGCACGTCGAAGTTTATCGCAGAATTTTCTTTTGAATAAAAATACAAATGAAAAAATAGTCAACTCAGCTGGAATTCGTAATGGAGATCATGTTCTTGAGATTGGTCCTGGACCCGGTAGTATTACACGACAAATCTTGGAACGTGGACCACAACAATTGTTTGTATTGGAAAAAGATCGCCGTTTTTTACCAATGCTCGAGGTAATTTATTAAAACCATCCAGAATAGTAAATTTATTTTTCTAAATTTTTTTTTTACTGAAACAAAAAAAGATGTTGGCCAGCGCTGCATACCCTGATCAGATGAAAATCATTGTGGGCGATGTGATGGACTATACGTTCGACAATCTATTTCCAGACCATTTGAAAAAAGAATGGCATGAAGAATCACCAGACATACGAATAATCGGCAATTTACCTTTCAATGTATCAACACCATTAATAATCAAATGGTTAAGAATGATGTCCAATCATTCTGGTTTCTATGAAATGGGTCGTATACCACTTACATTAACATTTCAACGTGAAGTTGCCGAACGAATGGTTGCACAAGTGATGGATTATCAACGTAGTCGTCTTTCTATAATGTGTCAACATTTATGTCATGTAAAAATACGTTTCACTATAAAAGGCAAAAGTTTTGTTCCAACACCAAAAGTAGATGCTGCTGTAGTGAAATTTATACCATTGATTGAACCGAAAATCAATTTACCATTCAATGTGGTGGAAAAATTCGTCAGACATTTGTTCATTTATCGTAATAAACAGATACATAAATGTTTACGAACATTATTTCCAAAAGATATGCATGACCTGAATGAAGAATTGTTCATAAAATCTGGCATCGAACGTGATCTAAGGCCAACAATGTTATCGATTGATGAAATTGGTTCATTATGTCATGTATATCATGAATTCTGTACAGAAAATAGAGGATTGTTTGAATTTAATTATCAAACAAGAAAAAAACTTGCAATTTCTCAATTCTCAGATCAACAACAACAACAGCAACAACAACAACAAGCTGATACATGGATAAATGAAGATTAAAATTTGAATTTGAATATTTTTTTTTTATTAAATTTTGATAAAATGAAATTTGTCTAAATTTTTTTTATGCTAGTGTTTTTTGTGTGTGTGTGTGTGTGTGTTTCGTGTAATGTCACAATCAATTAAATTGATGAAAAAAAAACAACAAATTAAATAAATTTGAATGACAAAAAAAAATATAACGTGTCCTCTCTGAATATGCACACATTCATCATCTATATAGATTCTAGATTCTATAGAATCTAGATCATCGTCACTTTTTTTTTGATTACATCGAAATTGAAATTTTTTTTTGTTTGTTTTGAAACCATACTATACCACCACCACACAACAACAACAACAAATGAATCGACAACATGGTTGTTTACATCGAAATTAATGAGTAATGATGAAAAATTAAATAAAAAAAAAAAACAAAAATTGAAAGAAAAAAGAAAAATGGAATGATTCGGTTATCGTTCATTGTAATGTTTTGATGTTTTTTTTTCTTGTTTTTTTTTTTTTTTTTTTTTGGTTTTCAATTTTGATTCATTGCTCTGTTGATCATTATCTGTTCATATATGAAAAATGATCGAAAATAACCGCATGTGTGTGTGTATGTGTGGGTGTCTATTAAAAATTTTTTTTTTGAAAAAAAAACGACTAGCACCGTGAACCTGATATCGTCACACAAAACAAATTATCATCCATCATAAATGTTTTTTTTTCTGAGAAATATTATCGTTGGCAATGAAACTAAAGATTAATAATTTTAAGGTAATGCTGGTGGTGGTATTTGGTAATGTGAGAATGGGAAATTCAAATAATTATAACGACGAAATGATAATAATTATGGATGATGATGATAATACGAATCTGGTAATATTTAATGTGCCATGTGCACACACATTCCGGGGGCGTAAAAGGTAAGATTTTATATTATTCAGTTGTTTTTTTTGGCTTATTTTTTTGAGATTTTCACATTTTAAACAGTAAAATCGTTATCACCACCATAAGCAGAAGCATCAGTAGCAGCAACAGAAGCAGCAGCAGAGACAACAATATTCTGATGATCGACAAGATCAATATTGGTAAAATCATTATCACAGTCATGGAAAGCATCTAATGTTTGAAATTGTTCAGTATCATCAATGAGGAGATCATCATTGAATACGCCCGTAACATTACCATTATTGCCACAATCACCATTATTATCATTATTGTTGATTATTAATTCATTCGATTCTTTATTCATCATTGATGATGATGATGGTGATGAACAATCGATTCGATTTCCATTTGAAGGTAATGAACCACCAACAACACCAGGTTGAACGCTTGAAACAATTAAATCTTGACCACTTTGAATAACATCCTGATCATTGTTAGACAAAAGATCATCTAATGTTGATTGCAATAAATCATCATCATTGATCTGTACAAGATTATAATTGGTAGTAAGTTGATTATCATCGGAAAATTTAAAATTCATATCCGTACAAATTGGTGTAGCTGGATAAGATTTTGATATATGATTATTATTGGCAATTGTTCGTTCAGCCATCAATACGTTATTCGATACTGATGATGGATGATGTTGATGTTGTAGTAATTGTATATTATTATTGGTAATGTTAATAAATTCATTTGTTGTTGATTGTGATTTTAAACATTCATCAACATCACCACCAGAATCAGTAACAATGGAATCGAAATTATTGGCCACTTCAAACATATTAGGATGTAATGGTACTGATTGTGATCGATTAAATAGTGATTTACTTAGAAAATCATTCGTTGTTGTTGTTGTTGACATCGATGATAATGATGAATTGTTGAATGAAAAATCATCATCATCATCATTATTATTGTTTTTATTCATTGTTGTCGAACAGGAAAATGTTGATACACCACCATAAGGATTGGAAAAATGTCGCTGCCTAGTTGATTGATTTGTTGATGATTGTTGTTGTTGATGTTGATGATGATGAAAAGATGAATTGATAAACAAGTCAGAAGATAATGAATGATGATCTTTGGTTTGTTGTTGCTGTTGTTGTTGTTGTTGATTATTAATCAAGAATGTTGGATCGGTTTGTGTGACTACCGATGAGAATTTTTGATTATCAACAAATGATGATGGTGATGATTGAATTTGATCATCACCAGAAAGCAATTTCGAAGATGTTTGGCTTGATAAATTAAATGATGGTAAATTATTAAAATTATTCATCGTTGATTGTTGGCCAAAGAAATTGTCACTAATAATCATCGGTGATAATGAATTACTTCGATTATAATTCATAAGGCTTGCCAATTGTGTCGTTCGATTCGATATAGGACCACCAGGACCAGAACTATGTCGTACACGTACCGCTTGTGATGAAACATTACGTAAATTATTACTCTGGTTTTGATTGATTCTTTGTAGGCTAGTGGTTGGTATTGGTGTCGATTGTGGTGAAATAAATGGTGATGATGATATTGATGATACGCCTGAATCGAAATTTTGTAATGATGCCGGTGTCTGTCGTTGACTTGCAGCACCATATGCACTGTAAGCACTTTGTCCACTATTATTTCGTGATCTTGGCAATGATACGGGTGTATTACGTGGTGAAACAAATGGGCTATTTGCTTCGCTTGATGGTTGAGATGGACCAGCACTGATACTGGTAGCATTGCCAGCTGTTTGTTGTATATGTTGTTTATATTGAGATGTAGCCGATGACATTGACGTTATATTATTACCATTAGAATACATATTCATCTCTAATGTAGAATTTTCCGGTATAGTTGGTGTATTACGGGGAGAAATTGGTTGAAATATAAATGCATTACGGCTTGAATTTGGACTTGACAATTGTTGTTGTTGTTGCTGCTGCTGCTGTTGTTGTTGTTGATTATAAATTACCGGGTTCGATGATGATGATGATGATTGATGTTTAGACATATGATCCGAATCTTTATTTGACATTAATAAATTCTGTAACATATTCTTATTTTGTAGTGTTTGATTATTATTATTGTTGTTGTTGTAATAATTCGATGAAGTTTGTTGATTTCCCGGTACCACTTTAGCGAGATGATTTTCCAACAGTCGACGAATGTGTACAATATTCTCACGATTTACATTTTTAATATTTTGATGATTCGATTGCCGTTGTTGTTGTTGTAGCGTAATATTATTATCAATAACTGAATCCGATGATATATTGTTCAGATATTCATTCAATGCTTCTGTTTCCAATTCATTTACTTTCAGATCACAAATATCCGTTGCCGTTATTATTGATGATCGTTTCGGTTCCATATTATCGCTATTTGTTGTCGATGTTGTTGTTGTTGTTGTCGTTGTTTCAACATGACGTTTTTTCGATGCCAATGGGAATGTAATTTCTTTTTCCACATTATCAATTTGTCGTTTATGATTTTTATCGGTTGATTTTGTGTTTGATGTCAAATTATTGTCATCCTCACTTTTGACAATATTGCCATTGACATTACCACTAACATTGATTGCTGAATTACAATTGAATACCAACGTTGCGGCCGTTGGTTTTCCATTATTCGTATTGATCAATTGATCATTGTGAATGAATGCAATAGTTGTAGGCACATTACCAACACTGGTCATCGGTCGAAATCTGGACATTGAATCAAAATTCACTGGTTTCGGTTGTATGGGTTTATATTTGAAACTTTCAACACCATTTGTTGTGTTCAATGTCAATTGCTGTGGTTGTTGATGATTATTTTGTTGTGAATCAATCATAAAACAGGTCTGTGATGGAATTGTTTGTAATGTTGTCGATGTGGGCAGTTGTTGTTGTTGTTGTTGCTGATGATGTTGAGGATTTGGACCAAGTAAAATTTTCACCGTTTTGGCATTACATACAGGCACCTTGTTTTGGAAAAGTAAAGAAAAGAAAATTTCAATGAATAACATGATTGTAACAAAAATTTAATTTACCATTTCCGGAATATGATTTGTAACTACTGTTGCTGTTGTTTTCGGTGGTTGTTGTAAGGTTGTCAATGAATTTCTATTGATTAATGATTGTATGAGGGTGGCATCATTATTATTAGCAGTTGTTGTGGTAGCATTTGTAGCGGATGTAGTTATGGCAGTATTAATTGTGGAAATTTTACTGCAATTCATCATTGTTGTATTATCAATACTAGAATTGTCAATAATTTGCTGTTGTTGTGGTGTAGAAAGTGTTGTTGTTGTTGCTCCTTTTTCTGTTGATGAATATTTTTTCTTATTATTATCATTCATTATTGATTTTAATTTCGATCCAATTGGATTCAATGAAATTTTCTTTCCATTTGTAATTGATTTATTCGCTGTTGTTGTCGTTGTTGTTGTTTCAGAAACCAAATCAATTTTAGTATTCTGTTCAGCCATTAAATTCAATGCGGGTGGTGGTGGTGGTGGTGGTGTAGGGAAACAATTTCCATTGACATTATTATTGGATATGGACAACATTTTGTCCAAATCGGATTTAATGTTTTGTGTTTCAATCAGATATCGGGCAAAATCGATACTTGTCTTGAATTTTCGATTAAATGTTTTTTCCACCCATTCATGTATAATATTCCATACAATATCATTGACCATGACATTGTTTTTTCGTACAGAATTACCTATTATCGATGATTCATATGAATCACCGATATTAATATTATCATCTGATGTTTCTAGTGCCGGTAATTCTGGTGCTGTAAGAATAATTTTTTTCCTTAAACCACTATAACAATATTTGGAATTACCACGTTGTCCTAAACGGCGTGGTTTAACCTGTGGAAATATATGTTTCATTGCTTTACCAAAATCAGCAACACAAAGCTTTTCAAAATGATTTGCTTCACAATATGAACGATATTCTTCATATACTTCATGTTTTGGTATAGAAACGGATATATCCTCTTCAAGGTGACTTTGAATCCATGCATATGTTTGTATTACTTCCGAATCGGCTTTCTTTCCAAACGGACTATTGTTCATCGTTTTTCTATATAAATATAAAATGTGAACATGAACACATTGTACAAATATAAATTAAATCGATCAATCAATCGATCAATTGAGGAAAGAAAATGAAAAAGAGAAGAGAAAAAAAACAGAAATCAATTCAAACTAATAAAATTCAATTCAAAATAATAAAGAAAACAAAAATTGCAACATACTTTTTTCCATTATTTGAAGACGATATTGTACCGTCATTACCAACAACAACACCAACAACATTATCGATACCATTTGGATGATGATCATGATGGTTACCACCATCGGGTAATTGTAAATATAAATATAATTTCTCAATATCATTGAACTTTCTAATATCAGCCTATATATTAATAAATATTTTCGAGAGAAAAAAAAATGATCAGTGTAAGAGAGATTTAATCCATCAAAAAAAAAAAAACCAATCTAATCAATCATCAAATATATCCTCATATATAAATTTTTCAATAATTTGCTATCGTGATAATATTCATTCAATGAATCATTTATCTATTTGGCCAGGGCCACACATAGATAGCATTTTGGTAAACGCTGTAGTGTATAAGTAAAAAAAATCAAATATACAAATATATTGTTGATATATACTTACAATTATGTCAGCTATTTTATTTTTCGACGTTTCACTAAACCATGTATCCGTGTGTATCCGTGTGGTTTAAGTGTGTATGTACGGGTATAATACAGTGCAGTAAAAAATCGATGACAAGAAGAAAAAAACAAAAAGAAAATTAAAATGAGAGAATGCAATCAACGAAATTATTTATACAAGTAATAATAATAATAATAATATATACAGTTGAAAAAAATTCCGGAATTCTCTACATAATACAGAATAAAAATCGAAAAAAACAACAACAAAAAAAATGAAAATTCCAATATAAAATCCCGAATATAAATCGAATACACACACATAAACATTAATTTATTCATTTTCTTCCTCAATTATTTTAGGGAAAAAAACCCATTTTTTTGCCATTATGTACAATATATTCTTAATCGAAATTATTTATAATTGCAAATTATATTTAGAGATGAAACATCATCAGCAAAAAAAAAAAAAAACAATCAAAGTGTTGATCCAAACAACTTGCTCAAGTTACCCGGGTACTCGTAAATTAAATATCTATAATATACAAAACACAGTGGTATCCAACCGGCAAAAAAAAATTACAAGAAAAATACACAAAACCTAACCTAACAACTGATGACCTTAATCATCTATATTGAAATTCAAGCAATAGGGCATAAACAAACCTGATATATTCTTTGATATTATTATTGATGAAATTAGCACCACCGGATGATAATGATGACAATGACGATGTTGTTGATTTCATTTGACCATTTGAAATTCTTGAATTTGATTGACCACCATCTTTCCGATTATTATTATCTTTTAGCATTTTTTCTTCTACATCTTCGTCATCTTCTTCTTCTTTGACAACATTCAATTTTATGGAATTTGTTATTGATGATGATGATGATGATGACGATGATGGAGATGTGGTTGGCGTTATAGTCAGATTTTGATGATGACCACCAACCACATGAATGGTGGAAGACATGGATAAATTTTGTTGATGCTGTTGCTGTCGTTGTTGTTGTTGCGTTTTATATTGATCTAATTTAATTCTTAATAGATTATGTGTTGTAGGCAGATGGACATAATTTTGTCGCTGATGTTGTTGTTGCTGTTGTGAGCTGGCAACTAATAAATGAAGATGATGCTGTGATGATAATGTAGTAGCTGTTGTTTGTAATGATGAAGTCTGCAATGGATGCGGCTGCTGTTGCATTGAAATAGATGATGATGAAGATGAAGAAGATGTTAATGACAACATTGGTACCACTGTGGTCGTCGTCGTTGTCGTTGTCGTTTTCGTTGTTGTTATTGTTGATGATGATGATGATGATAATGTCTGTTGCTTTATAAGAGGTTTCATCAATAAAACATTGTTATCATTACCATCATTATTATTATTATTATTACGATCATTATCCGATGAAAAGGATGTCGATGATGATGATGCAGAAGAAGAAGAAGAATAAGCTGTGGATGTGGACGTTGTTGTTGTTGTTGAATCAAAAACCAATGTAGTCATCATCATTATTCAATCATTAAACACAAGGAAGGACATATGTATCAGGTTCACGGTTGCTGCTGCTGTTGCTGCTATTATCATCATCAATTCTATCTAATGAAACAAACAAAAAACAAAAAAAAATCAATCAATACCATCTATTCGTCCATCAAAGATGTGATATAATAATAATAATAATAAAACATCATCTAATCACACACACACACACATATACACACATATATCAAATTTAATAAAACCGAAAAAAGAATCAAAATTGATCACATCTCAGTGAGTGAGATGCAAAAAAAAAGAAAAGAAAAATCATTTCATGTCCTGTGTATATTCTCTCTCTCTCTCTCTCTCTCTCTACTTGTACAAACACAAATACAGGAGAGATGATGAAGGATGGATAGAGAGAGGTATCACTTTTTGGAAGCTTTTGGCGATTTTTTTTGTTGTTGTTGTTGTTGTTCTTTATTTTTCAATGTTGAGCTCCCAGGAAAATATAAAAAGAGATGTTGAGATTCACTGTATGTTTTGTGTATGTATGTGTGCATGCGATTGGATGTCTATAGATCCAACAAACACATACAATACAATACAATACAATGTATATATGACTGTGGTATATATAAAATTTGAGGGATCCACATTTTTTGTATAAAATACACAAACCATTTTTTTTTTCATCATCGTCGTCGTCTTCATTGTTGTTGTTCTCACTCTTTCTGTCTTTCTTTTCTCGATATATTCAATTCAATTCAATTCAATTCAAACTTGCACATATACACTAGAAAAAAAATGACGATTGTGAGGATGATGATGATCAAAAAAAAAAAAAAAAAAAAAAATTTCTACGAGTTGACGTGAGCCGCCCAACAAAAAAAAAGAAGAAAAAATTTCTGCACACACACACACACACACACAAATTATCATGAATGATGATGATGATGATGATGATGATGGTTGGTTTTGAATCCAACAAGAGCATGTGGATAATAATACAGCTGCACATGCATAAATATTATGGGCTACATATGTATTGTTCATTTGAACAACAACAACAAAAAAAATTGAATTTCATTGGAATTCCATATGCAAGCAACCTATATATGACAGAATTCGAAAAAAAGTGATGTATTTTCAAATGAAAAGAAGAAAAAAAAAATTACAATTTATAAAAATGATGATGATGATGATGATCAAAACATACTGTGATTCAATATTTTTTTTTTGGGCGCCATGTTCAAAAATTTTTCTTCATTTCTTCTAATGAATGAATGAATGAATGATGGTGATGATGACAGTAGCCGTAAAACCAAAAAAAAAATCTACAAAGGTTGAAAAACACTGATCGATATTAATTCAAAAAACAATTAGCCATTGGCATATATCTTCGTTTGACATTCACTATAGTACACATACACACACACACACACACACATTATATATCAGTGTGATGATTCAATCATACAATCCAATAGAAATGAAAACAAAAGGCACAAAGAATCATTCATCATTCATTCATCACCAAAGGTGATGCCGCCAGGTGTCGGCTAAAAAGATATATATTCTGGTTATTGGTTTTGATGAGAATCCATGGATTGTGTTGTTGTGTATATTGTTCTCAATACACACACACACACACACAAAGATTCGATGATTCATTTTCTATATTCACATTGGTGGAACTTTTTTAGTCGAAATAGTTTTCATTTTGTGATGATGATGATGATGATTTAACGTAATAAAATCGATTCACAACATTCTTTCTGTGTTCATCACGTACATTGAATGACTGATCAAAAATTAAAACGAAAGATTGTAAAACTTCATTTATTTTTTCGATCCATAAATTCCATTTGAAATTTTTTACTTTTGAGTGAATCAAAAAAAATCCTAGTCACCTTGGAGATATTTTTGTTGTTATTATTATTATTTTTGTTTTGGATCACTTTAATTTTATATTTTTTTTATAATAGAATTGTTATATTGGAAAAATTTTTCCGAATCTCTGAATTATGGCTGACACATCATCATCATCATCATCATCATCATCGGCAACAACAAATCGTAATACTGATGTTAATAATGAAGAAACATCATCGACTGGTATCGGTGCTGTTATCAGGTAAAATGATGATTAATTTGGTCAAATTTTTTTTTTAAATTCATTTTTTTCCCCGATTCATTTGTTTTATGTATCTGTAGATATTTGACATCAAAACCGTCAGTCTCATTTTTAATGATCATACGAATGGCCGCATTATTGTTAACATTTTTATACATGGTACCATTAACATCATTTTCACCATCAAATTTATATCAAAAATCATTGGTATCAAATGCTGCCATATCAGCATTACGTCTTCATCAACGTTTACCACCATTTCGTATAAGCCGAGAATATTTTTCAATGCTTTTATTAGAAGATTCGGCTCATTATCTATTTTATTCACTTATATTCATTTCAAATCAGCCGATTACAATGGTATTATTACCAATTACATTATTCTCATTTCTACATGCCTGTAGTGCTATACTTAATGTCTGTAATGTTGCCGGTATTGCCGGTAAGTAATAATAATTTTAATTTAAAAATTTACTTTATAAACACACAACAAAAATAAATTCATTTTTACCAGGACCACCTAAACGCTTTCTGGAGAATATATTACAAAGTCAACGACAAATACTGTTCACTATTGCATTGGCCGAAATCACATTAATGCCGACCATTTTATTTGCCATAATGGCTGGTTTGGCCAGTATATTCACTCCATTTATGTACTATCAATTTGTATCATTACGTTATTCATCACGTCGTAATCCATATAGTCAACAGGCATTCCATTGGCTACGATTATCATTACAAAATTTTGCAATGTCACCACGTTGTCCATCAATATTGCGTACAATCATTTATCGTGGTATCGAACTTGTATGTCGATTTGCTCCACAAATTCAACAATGATTCAACACACTTACACATACACACACACACACTACATTCGGTGACCAAAAAAAAACAACATTCGATTCGATTTTATTTGCTTAATCAAAAAAAAAAAAAAAAAATCTTTATTAGTTCATAGTATAGTTATATCGCACGGCAAACCAAGAAAAAAAATATAGATCTTTTTTTTATATTTTCATCTTTTTTTTCTAAAAAAAAAAAAAAAATATAACCCACTACAATACACAACATTCAACTTGCTAATTTACATATTATATACCAGCGGAAATAATCCACTACTTGGTATATTTTATGGTGAAAATAAAGAAGAAAAAAAATCTATGTTTAAATAAACTTTGTTTCAATTTTTTTTTATTTAGATTAGGATTAGATAAAAATTTCCATCCATTCAACAAATGGTTTGGAAATGATGAATTATTAAAATGTGAACAATATGTAAATGGAATGAATGTTTACACACAAAAACACACACACACACATGGTGAGATTTGTTTCTTGTTGTTGTTGTTGTTGCTGTTAAAAATCATCGGTCAATTCATATATATGAAATGTGTGTGTGTGTGTGTGTGTGTGTGTGTGTGTGTAAAAAAATAAGGAAAGAAAAAAAAATCAATGACCCCATTCATTCATCAATAAAAGAGGCCAATTTCTCATTAAAAAAAGATTCTTGAGAGCTTGGTCAGTGTGTGTGTGTAAGTGTGTGTGATCAGAGAAAAAAAAATAAAAAGAATTTCTGTACAAATTCCAGATAAAAGATTGTTTTGTATGTTTTGAAAATGAACAAATATCAGAAAAACACACACACACGAACACGCATTCAATACAATTATTATAGTTTAGTGATGGGTGATGAACATTGGAAAGGCACAATGATTAGAATAGAAATGGATGACATATATGGGTGACAATATTGGGACCAAATTTTTTTTTTTGTTTGTTTGTTTGATTGAAATTGTTGTTTACCATTTGAATTTTAGTGTTTTGAATTGATTGTAATGAAATCAAAGAAGATTACAAAACCATATTTTTGATTGTTTTTTGGCAGGTTCATTAGCACGTAAATGATGGCCACCACGATTTTGATTGTTTGATTCCTGAATTGATTTGTGAGCAAAAAAAAAAAAATGAAAATGTGTAAAACAATTGAATCAAATGAAAAAATAAATACTTACCAATTTTCGTTCCATTTTTGCTTTAATATCTTTAGCTAATGTAAAGAATGCTTCTTCAACATTACAACTAGATTTAGCCGATGTTTCCATAAATTTAATATTATATTCTATCGCTAATTGTTCACCACGTTCACGTGATACTTGTCGCCGATCCTGTATATCGCATTTATTGCCTAATATCATTTTTTCAACATCACTTGATGCATGTTCTTCAATATTTCTAATCCAATTTTTAATATTATCAAATGATTTTTCATTCGTTACATCATATACCAACATGATGCCCATAGCACCACGATAATAGGCTGTTGTTATTGTACGAAAACGTTCTTGGCCGGCTGTATCCCATATTTGTAATTTAATTTTTTTACCATCCAATTCGATGGTACGAATTTTGAAATCGATACCTATTTTTTTTTTTTGGTGGTGGTGGTTAGAATGACAAAAAAAAAAGAAGATAATTGGAGATTAATTATAAAAGAGTTAAAATAGCAACAAAAAAATAAAAATAAATACCGATTGTCGAAATGAATGTTGTATTAAATGCATCCTCACTAAAACGAAATAGTATACATGTTTTGCCAACGCCCGAATCACCAATTAGTAATAATTTGAATAAATAATCATATGTTTTGGCCATTATCAATCAATTTGTGAACAATGGGTGTGAAAAATTCCAGAAAAAATTTGTCTATTTTCGTTGTCTTTCCAATTTGTCGTTCACAAAAAGTTCTGCATGTGTGTGTGTGTGTGTAAAATGATTCAAATTTCAAAATGATTCGATGTTTCAGTAAGAAAAAAAAAATTTGATCAGGTTGATTGACTTTTGTTGTTTCTGTTGTCGATGATGATGATGATGATGATAATGCAATCTAACGACGATAATAATGATGATGATGATGATGTACAATAATCATATATATAATAAAAAATTGTTTGATGTAAAAGGAAAAAAAAATTTATTACAAGATAAATGTCACCAAGAAAAAAAGCCACCGGTAAAAAAAAAAAAAAATTGTACGTTGTATTGAAGGGAAAAAGGGACGACAGGATTATTAATATAATTCGTAATATAAACACTTTAGAAACAAACAAAAGAAACAAAAAAATTTTTTTTTATTTCAAAAATGAGCACGTCGACGACAATTGATCATCATCATCATCAATGCAATAGCGAATTGTGGAATCTATCGTCGTTAAAAAAAAATTATTATTACGACTATTTTTTCATGGTAATAATTTGTTTTACACACACACACACACACACAAATAACACATATACACTTGTGCTCGTATGGTGTGGCTTTTTTGTCATCGAATGGATATTTCAACAGATATACAATGATGATGATGATGATGATGTTAAAATTGTTCATATGACCACCGATAGAGGTCACTATAGTGAAAATTTTTTTTTTTTTTTTTTTTTTTAATTTTAAAACAATTCTTGTTCATTATCATAATTAGAAGCAATACCAGAACGACCAGATTTAATTGATTCAATTGCAGTGGATCCAACATCAACAATTAATCCATACCATGAATCATTGGAATTAAGTTTTTGTTGTTGATTACGTTCAATGATCATTAGATTTTGTTCATCATTAAATTCATTTGATCCATAATCATCATCATCATCATCATCATGATTGATTGCAAAATTTTCATTCCATTCAATACCACCATATACAATATTGTGGCCAGAAGCAATTTGAAATTCTTTCCATAAAATCACCGGATACAAATAACGGGATAATTCAGTGGCCATTCGATATACACAGCGGCAAACATTGATGAATACAAATCCAGTTAGTTGTGTGAAATTTCCCAATCTTGATTCAAAATCTGATTGATTCAATGAAATAAAATATGGTAGTTTTTTAGCACGTTTACATAATACACGAACATTTTTCATTGATGACGATATGGATGATTGAAAATCTTTATAAACAATTCCTATTGATTTATTATTGGGAATTTTAAATTTTTCAATCAACGATATACGTTTTCGAAATTCTTTGGCACCATCTAATGTTCGAAAAGTTTGTTTCATTGGATCAATCATCAACATTTTCTTACAGCTGATAATCATTTCCAGATCTTGACATTCGCCCAAAAACAAAATGCAATCATAATCGGAAAGATTATTTTTCAATCGATATGGATATTGTACGATTGAAAATGCATCAACATTTTCGAATAAATTTGAAATTCGTGGCTCTAGATACCAATTTTCTTGTTGTGGTTTTACAAATTTTGTTGTTTCGATTTTCGTTTCATGAGAATCACTTTTTAGCTGAATCTTATGGGCAACCGGTGTTAAATACGATGAATACGTTAAATCAGACAGTAGTAAAACATTTTTATCGGATAAATCACCAAATTCTTGATCCACAAATTCAAGAATGTAATCAAATTCATCATCCAAAGGTAACAATGTAATGAATAATATGGGCAATGTTTTCGTATATTTTTCTGGACAAAGACAATCACAACCAAAATAGATGGCAGCATCAATATGGCTATTATTATCTTGTAAACGAAACGGTAATGTTTCCGGTCCTGTTGTACAAGTTATCATTATAAAAAATCGAATATTTGGAAGTTTTTCTTGTAATTGTTTAACAATTTTACATGCATATCGATAAAATTCGGACATAAAATATAGGCAAACATTTCCAGGACCAATATGATTAATCCAATCGATACAATGTTCAATATCGAATCGTTGTTGTTGTTGATCATCATTAGTTTTATTCATGTTGATGATGATGATGATTTTGTTTAATGATCAAAAAAAAATTACAACTTTTTTAATCATGTGGAAAAAAAATAGTCACGTTTAATCTATTTTGATTCAAATCATTTCGAAACTATTAATGTCGAAATAGCTGTTATTATCGAGCTGACCCATTCGAATTTTGTGTGTGTGAGTTCATCGGTATTGTTTAGAGTTAGTGTGCTTGTTTATATTTCATTCCATTTATCATTGTTTTCTTGTGGATTTTTTTTTCACTACAATCAAGATGGATAATTTTGTTCCAAGCGATTTACTTTCCTTTGATTATGCTGTCGATGATGAACTTATAGATAATGAAGTAAGTTTTTTTTAAATAAAATATATAGTCTTTATGATTTCATTTTTTTCCATTTATAAATCATCGAAAATAAAGGACGAAGAAGTGGATTCCCAGGATAAGGGCAACAATAATAAAGGTATGTTGTTGAATAAGGTGATTTTGACAAAACTTGGTCGACATGAAATACTAAATTGAATGAATGTAATAATTTGGACATTTTTTGATTAATGCAATTTTCTGATGGGATTGAGAATATATCTGAAAAGGTGTTTATAGATCATTTTTAATATTAAAAAACTCATTTATTTCGTCATCATCACCAAAAAAAACTTGATGATGATGATAAAAAAAATGGACAATAACATAAAAGGATTATATTTGGACCTGTATTGTTACCCGTATTGATGTGGATGGAATTATCTGATGAAAAACAATGATCGAATCAATCTCAATCTATTTTTCAATTTATTATTTATATAATTAACTTTTTTTTGAAATATTGATTTTCAATTGAAAAAAATAATCTAACTAATGTTTTCTTCAAAAAAAAACAACAACAACAACAACGAACCTTTATCCTTTGGTTATTCATGTTAATAACGATGACGATCATAATAGGTAATGAAAATGGCGTAACAACAAATGTAAAGAAAATGGACGAAAAACAAAAAAAAGGAAAACCTTTAACTAGAAGTGGAAAAACACGATTATCGAATATTGAATTATCGGAAAGTTCGAATTCTAACAATGTTAATAAACGTAACAGTAGAGGTGGTAGAAAATCGAATAAATCATCTAATTTGGAAATGGCCATGGATTCTATTTCTCCAACGAAAAAAGACAAGAGGTTGGTTAATGTGCCGATGAAAATTTTTTAAATTGTACTTAGTTCGAAATTTTCGTGTGTGTGGGTGTGGGTGTGTGTGTATCTGTATGACAATCATTGCGAAAAAAGAATAATATCAAACATCGATAAATTTTAATACATTCGACGTCTTTCTAATATCCATGTGTGGTTTATTATTGTTCTTGAATATTTCATAGCTCCTCAACAACAATGAATTCAAATGAAAATAATGGCGGTAATGTCAAAAAATCTTCACCTAAAAATGGTTTAAAGAATTCTACTAAAAGTACTGAAGGTAAATTTATATTTTTTTTTTACTTTACGCAATCCTAAGACAATATATTGATCATTTCAATTTTTGATGATGATAATGAAGTTGTCTTAAAAAAAGAATCGACTAATGAAGTGAAGAAAAAAGAATCGACGGCTTCGAAATCGGTAAAAATCTTTGTGAGTGGTATCAAAGAAGAAACGAAAAGTCAGGATCTCGTGGAATTTTTTCAAAAATCTCCATCATTTAACATTTTGGATATCAAGATCATACGATACGCTAAGATTCCGGACGAATATTTTGGCTTAGTTACCATTGAGAATGAACTGGAAGCCAGTAAATGCATAGAAAATCTTAATCAATCCAATCATAATGGAATGCTTATCACCTTGTCTAAAGTGAGTGTTGTCTTGGATGGAATCGTGCATAAAATTGGAATCAGCATTTTTTTACATATTTAAATTTTAACATTTTCCACGATCATATATAGATATCACCAATGAAAATGTTATCAATGAAATTGCCTAAAGATGATGTCAGCAATAAAGACAAAAAGTCAGTAGCCACTGAAGAATCATCAAAGCCCAAAGAATCGCCCAAAAAAACGAAATTGGTAGAGAATAAAAAAGCAGAAGATAAAAATTCTGTATCAAAACAAACAGCCAAGACAGACGATAAGAAAACGAACACCAAGGTATCCAAGGAAAGTGAAAAAAAGAAAAGCTCGACTTCAAACAGTAAAAATGAGAATAATAAACCATCGGTAAAATCAAAAGGAGATGTGAAAAAAATATCGACCAAAGAAACTGCTAAAGAATCATCATCATCATCAAAAAGTATTAAAAAGAATGATTCTAGTTCAAAAAGTAAAGATGATAAAAACCGAAAGACTACGGATGATAAGAAAACATCTTCAGATCGTCACCGTCGAAGTCGATCCAGGTCTAGATCTCCCCGAAATCGACACCCGATTAGGCGACCAATTCCTTTGAGTCGTGAATTCATTCGTAAGCAACAACGAATCGCTCGAGCAAATGAGATGCGTGAACGTCAAGAACTTGAACGCATACGACAGGAAAGGATTCGATTCCAAAAAGAAACGGAACGTTTGCAGATAGAGCGACTTCGTTTGGAACGAGAAAAAATTGAATTGATTCGATTGGAGCGAGAGAAAATCCGTAAAGAATGTGATGAATTGGCTCGACGAAAGCAACATGTGGCTGCTGTGGAACCACCATTTGAACATGAATCAATGCGAACTAAACGATATATGTCATCATCATCAGCATCTCCTCCGCCACCTATAACCAATATAAGATCATCTAAATCAAAACGTTTCAATCGTAGTCGAGATCGTGATAGTAGCGTATCTCGATCTCAATCACCTGAATTCTTTAGACAACGGAGATATAATGCTGCTAATGCAACCATTAAACGACAATCTCGATCATTTAATGCGCCACCACCAACTACACGTGATCAATCATCCAGGTATTTTTCGATTTTTTTCTTTGTTTGTTCAAAAGTACGAAAATTTTCAATTTTTATTCTTTTAATATTTATTCTCATATTTGGATTTGATCTCATATCGAAATAATGTTGACTGCAAATAATCATACAAAAGATTTGAATCGTCATCACGCCATCGTGAATCATCACCATCAAGAGATTTTGGTAAACTTATCAGATATGATGACGATTCGAATGATTCATATGAAAATAATCATAATAACCATCGTCGCCATTCTTCGAGCCATGGGAACAATCATCATCATGATCGTGATCGAGATGATCGTAAAGAATTGTCACGAAATAACCGTATGGATTCTCCTATGCGACGAGTAGGCGATATTGAACACCATCGTTATAGTAGTAGTGGAGATAAAGGTGATATGCTTATTGGTATGCCTGCTCACTCTCAATCACAACGGAACCCGTTTGGTGTTCCTTTGGACGATCAATCTAGGGGAGGCGGAGGATGGCCAAACATGGCTTCGAATCAATGGCCAACATCAACACTTAATGATCGTTGGAATAATGCACCACCAAGTTCTGCTTTTGCTGATGGTCAAGGCCCACCACAACCACCACAACAACATCCGCCTCAACATTCAGTAGGACCAGCTAACTCATTGAGCCCATCGATGGTGCCACCTGGACCAGTTCCATCTATGAATGATCTATATTCGAATAATTATTCTGTCATGCCCATACCAGGTATATCGACATCATATCCGATGCATAATCGGCGTTATTGAGCGGTTTTGGATTTGTGCTCGAATTTTTTTCATTTCTTATTTCCAATCTAATTTTCAATGACAATTTTTTCCTCATGGGATGTGAATACACTCTTCACAGAACCATATGACGGAAATATATTCAGCTAGTTTAATTGGCTCTATCTTTTTCCTCTTGTCCTTTTTTCTATGTATATGATTTTTATTTTGATCAGGTTCAACATTAACAAGAAAAAAATTCAGCATAAATTTTTTGTTCGAGCATGTCAAAGTGTATTCACATTGTTCAACCTAGCTGCCCAATGTCTATGTGGTGTCCACTCTATTATTGGCTATTTTAAAAAAATAAAGACAAATTGCTTTTTCAATCAATTCATGATTATCGAAAAAAAATGTGAGAACGAATGTAAAAGAGGTTTGGATGGATGGCAAAAACTTGTGGAAATTTAGACGGTTGTATAGTATTATTTACAACTTTTTTTTGACCGCTTCAAGAATATTTCTTATTATGGAATTATAAAAGACAATGTAAGGCACATTCTTGGCGTTATATAACCCAAAATAATTCGGACGTTTATCTGTGTTTTATTCTTGCAAAGCTTCCAATTGGCGTTTATGCATCTCAATACGATTCCGACGGCAACGTCTTACGTCCAGTTTTTCTTTCAAACCTTGACTCATTCGTGCTTTATTCATCAATTGATTCTGTTCAAATTCTTGCATCTCGCGAAGATGTTTCTGATGAATTTGTGTAATTTTGCCTGTTTGAGGAATATGAGGAATAAGAATTAATTTGTGAATGAAATATGTCAATAGCCTTACCGAAAATTTCTTTGTTACTTGGCATAGGTCCCAATTCTTCACCCGGTAATAATGGAGTTGAGTTACTGAAATCGGTGGATAGAATAGAATCTTTGGCCGATGTTAGAATCCTATTGTATTGATCATCAACAATAACTGATTCATCAAGCTCGCTATCCACTCCACTGTCTACTAAAAATGTCCAAAACAATAAATACAAATCATATATGTAAGATTATGGAACAAATAAAAATTTTAATCAACGATGGCTTGCCTCGCAAATCGAATGGTGATTCATTTTTAATTATTGTATCGGCTATCATCGAACTACCACCATTTTCTTCATGATTCCATTGTTCCTGTTTCTGTTTGATCAGCATGGCACGTTCGAAACGTAATTCATGTGCTTTGTTTCGACATTTATCTCTTATGTTCAATAGATCACTTTTTATCGTTTTGTTCAATACCTCTTTCACCCATTTGTGTTGTGTTACCATTTTGGTTCTCAATAATTCTAATGAATTGATCATTGATTCTAATCGATCAGCTGTTAGATCATTGAATAATTTTATCAATTCTTTTTCCAGATGATCAATATCTTCAATTTTACAATGTGGTAATTGAACATTTTTTAGATTATTGTGCAATGAAATTAGATTATAATGAGCCAATACGAGACTGTTTCGTGCTTCTTTCATACAAGTATAACGGAAAACATAATCACTGTTGTTATGAAAGAGAAAAAAAACAAATTAATTATTTTTCAACAACAAAAAATATCATTTACAATGATTACTTTTCAGGTACTTGATGAAATTGACGAATTTTTTCCACACCAATGTCCAAACATTTAAGTGCATCTATAATTAAATTATCTGAATTGATCCAACGAATCTTGGCTATTTCAATATAATGACGTTCTTCTATCAATGAATCCAATTCTTTTTCCAATTGTATCTCTTTTTCACTACCATAATTGCCTTCGAATATTTGATCTATTAATCAATCAATTTAATAATCAATGGAAAAGATAAGTTATATAATTAAATAAAGAACAAAAAAAAATCTCCAACAGCAACATACTTAAAACATTGTCACGTTGTTGATATAATTCATGTAATTGATCACAAAGTATTTGTAATTCTTTCAATTCAGATTCATAATTATCTAAATCTTTTTCCAATAATTCGATTTTAAGCTCATTAATTTTCTTGGACACAAACAAAACAAAAAAATTATTCAAAATAAAAAAATTTCAATTTAAAAAAATAAATTTACCTGTTTATTAAATGATTCAATAAGAAATGTTTCTTTTGGTGATAGATTGTGGCTACTTAGATTATCGACAATCATATCACCAAATGTATGTTCATTTGTTAATTTGGTTTCATTTGTGTTTAAACTGTATATATATGAAAATCAATTGAGCAATTTTTTTTTCATTGATAAATGAATAAAATTTATTTATATTTCTTTTTTCTTCTTCTCAATACTTACAGATTATTATTATTATTATTCATTTCATCATTTTTTTCATTCAAATTCTGTATCAATTCTTTCACCTGTTCACCATCATCGGATGCAATACGATATTTTTCAAAACATTTCGTTTCTTCCATAGTTTGTATTGTACTTTCCAGATTATTAAACAATTGTAATACATTACGTTTATCGACTATAGGAACACCGTTGGCTATACAATCACCTGAACCATTGGTTGTTGAATCATCAGATGAATTCAATATGAATCGATCACCGTTATTGCCATCACCATCAATGCTTCCACCAACACCAACACCAACACCACCACTACTAGTCCGATTAGCATTGGAAATTAAATTTGATCTAACTGCCGTTGCTGATGATGATACAGGCGATGATAATGATGATTGTTGCGTTGGTTGTTTACGAAAATTATTATGCCGATGATGATAATTCGGCTGATGATGATGATGGTGAATTCCATTGATATTATTATTGCTGTGGTTGTTTATCATTGAAGATGTGGATGATGTTGAATTGGTAATATTCGAATGATCGGAACTTACACCGCAGCCCATATGGATTTATATTAAAAGTTCATGGATTTCTAATAATAAGAAGAAATATTGTATTCCAATGATATTTCAATGGATGAGTAATGAATGATGATGACGATGATGATGATGATAATAATATTGAATCGTTTACGAATTCCATTAATTATCTTGAAAAGAAAATTCAATAAATCAATTTTGAAATCAAAATTGAGCATAGAGATCGATTTGAAAAGAACAAAAAAAAAATTCAATTTGAAATCAAAAAAAAAAATTTCCAAAATCGTTCGATATTGACAATGTGTGTTGTTTAAACTAATGAAATTTTTTCGAATATTTACGATTCACAACTCAAACATACACACACACACACACACAAAACATATAGACAACTGTCTTATTTTTTTTTCGAGACGCCCGTTATTGAATAAAATGAAAATTTCTTTGGATCGAATATAAACTATGCACAACAAACAATCAATCGATCGTTATTTTTTTTTCTCTTTCTTTCTAACGAATGATCCAAAACAACAACCATATTGGGGTGGTCGCTATGGTTTCCTGTTTTCACATGAAGTTATTCGGATATTAGTGCAATATTCGAATAACACAGTGGTGGTGGTGGTGGTGGTGGTGGTTTTCTTTTTCCATATTATATCGTTTCTTTTGCTATATTCTAATTTCCAAGTTTTTCGATGTATAGCTACCATTATTATTTACTAACATAAAGTCATTAATTTTTTCTTGTTGTTGTTGTTGTTGTTTTAGCCTCATATACGTCCGTTTATTCTGTCGTTATATTTTTTCCATCATTGTTGCAACAGTAGCAGCAGCAGGTATTCCAATTTACCTAAAACAACCTAGAAAATTATTATAAGAAACATACACAACAACCACACACAACCAAATTGAATTACAGGAATGGAAAAAAAATTATGTCAATTTGTACATTTCTTTTGTTTTTTTTTTTTTTTTTTTTGTTTCTTTCATTCATTTTTTTGATTATATAGCTATGTGTAAGTCGTCATTTGGCCTTGTATTTTTTTTTGGATTTCAAAAAAAAAAAAATACCAACACTTAATACATTTTCACGCGATCCAATACTTCTGTGTTCGAGAATGATGATTATATTTCAATTCAATTCATATTTTTTTTTTGTATTCGTCAATCGATTCCTACTTCATATATATATTTTACTGTATATATATGCAAAAACACGCGTGAATTCGCCCACCCTGATACACCGTATGACAAGAAAAAAAAAATGAAGAATAAATTCAATGGCTGATTTTGGAACTCATTTTTCGAATCGATTTTTGTCAAATTGAAATTTTTCTTTTCTTTCGAAATAAAAAAAAAATGTTCGCTCTATCACGGCCAATGTTAATTAGTTTTGTTTTTTTTTTTGTTCTTGGCCTGGTTGCTGTTGTTGTTATTCTGTGTGTGTTTGTACGAAAAAAAACAATAAAAAAAATTTGAATTTCATTCGAAACAAGACAGAGACAGACTAACATAAAAGAAATTCCACATAATAATTAAGATTTGGTTAGTACATTAAGAATATTCTTTCTTGTACATACATACCTGCTGTGTGTGTGTGTGTTTGGATTCAAACCATTATTTTCTTTTAGATACATTTTGTTCAAATATTCTTCTTCAAAAAAATCGATTATTGGAAAAAATTATTGAAAATTAAATCAATATTTCAAAAAAACAGACGAATCGATTATCATTATTATCAGTAATAATCGATTCGTAATGATTCTTGTTTTTTTTAATGATTGTCCGAACCAAATGAAAAAAAAAATTTCCCGCCACGATTAAAAAATTTTTTCATAACGTCATTTATTGATTACTCTGATTTTGTTTTTAAAAAAATAAATAATTCTCATCATCATGTTTTTTTTACATGTGACCACAAAAATTCGATGGATGTGGACGTAAGAAATCCGGATAAAAGACGTAAATTTGCCGCCTGGTTAAGTATCGGTGTTTTTGGCGGCTTAGCCACTGGTCTAGTCACCATTACATTGCCATTTATAATACCAGCATTTCGTAAGATTGTTCTTCCCTATGTGCCGGCAACTGTAGAACAAATAGAAAATGTTTTGAAAGCCGTCAATTATCGACGGCCATTCGAACAACAACAGCAACAACAAAACAGTCCCGTAATTCGGATACAAAATTAATCGATCTGGGTAGTGGTGACGGCCGAATCGTAAGTTTGTTTTTTTTCCAGTTGTCTATCGATTCTTAAGTTTTTTTTTGGTTTCCATCAATAATTCATTTAGGTAATCGCATGTGCACAGCAAGGATTCCGTTCATATGGTGTCGAGCTTAATCCATGGTTAGTTTTATTCTAAATGTCATTGGTCAATGAGAATAAACATTTTTTTCTAATCCATCTAAATATACAGGCTGGTTATTTATTCCAAATATTGTGCCTATCGTCAAAATGTACACAAATTGGCTACATTTCAACGTAAAAATTTATTCAAAGTAAGAATTTTCAATTTTATATCATCAAAATAAACATGAACCGATTTATGTGTTAAGAAATAGAATTTGGAAGAGAAAAAAAATATAACATATGTCAAATGTGTGACTAGTAGTACAATAATAACAACAACAAAAAAAATGAAAGCTCAAAAAATCAATCTTGATTGTGGTTTTTTTTTCATTCCAAAATAAAACAAAAAAAAAATAGGTTAATTTGGCCGATTATGATAAAATCATTATCTTTGGTGTTCCAAGTATGATGCCATTGATTGAACAAAAAATACGTGATGATTGTGATCTACGGCAACGATCAACAACATTGATTGCTTGTAGATTTCCATTACCAAATTGGCATCCATACATGACATTCGGCACCGGTATCGATCAGGTATGGTTATACAAATATTATCCATCACATTATTCGTCACACATGGTTCATAATAAAAATATGATGATGAAAAAATAATTCAACAAATGATTATATTACAACAATTATTCATCCGATGAATGTTGCTGTTCCATTTCAAGATCAAACCATTTAGTAATGGGAAGTTTAGCATCCAAATAATCACTAAAATACATTTCAACGTGACCAATGATTGATTTATTTTTTTTGAACAAACTTTCCGATCGGCTCAATACAACCAATTTGATTGATTCGAGTTCAATATCAAGATCCAATAGAAATCTGTATGTAAACAGAAAAAAAATTATATATAAAATGTTTATAAAATAAAAATTTTTGCAAAAATAAAAAAAAAAAACCTTTCTTCATAAACTGGATTACAGGTATTTTTTATCGTTACGGATTTATTTCGTTTATCTTGTTTTGATTTAAATCGATCAGGTTGTGTATAAATTTTCACATATGAATCTGGTGGTCTTTCATCTTTTTTCGGTAGATACCTGTGTTTTTTTTGTAATGAATGAATGAATGATGTAAAAATGTCTAATCATTGTCAATGAAAAACCAATTATTACCTAGCTTTATGGGCAATAATCTCCCATTTCGGTTCATCATGATGATCTTTTTGATCTAATTTATTAATTGTTATTTTGAGCATCGGTGCATTTGAATGTAATGAGCTCAATGTACTTGATGTTGTTGAAAATGTCAAACTTGTTGAATCTTCGTGGTTTGATGAATAATTGTTGTTGTTGTTTTTTGTTTGTTGTTGCTGTTCTTGTTGTTGAATCAACGGTTTGATTATATCTGCAAATTCTAGATTTTTTAAATCTTCAGCCCTGAAAAGAAAAAGAAAAAAAAACGTGAAAATTTTCATCAATGCACAATTCAAATCAACAGCGTTTACCCATGTTGTTGATTATAATGTTTTTGTAGCTGTCGTTGGCCAATATCCATAACATCATAATTTAGGCCACTAATCTTTGCAATAGGTTCAACTGTTCCTTTCACCAAATCTTCCATTGCTGGAATAGTATTGGTAGGTTCTTCATTTTGCGTTGTTGTTGTTGTTGGTGGTGGTGGTGGTGGTAGTTCATCACAAACCATTTTTGCCTGTTTGGTTGTCGGTGATGCCAGAAACCAAAGTGAAAATATACCATGTAATTCAAAACTATAATTATGAGTTCGAATAATCAACGGTTCATCGTATGTCATATTTTTTAATTTTGTTAATGTTTCCATTTTGATGCTTGTATCACCAAGTTTTCTATTACTTTTCGTATCGGTTATTTCAATATATAATTCATTTTCCGGATCAAATTGATCGACAAGAAAATTGAAATTTTCTTCCCATACTGGATTGGCAGTGAATGTTTTCACAATACTTTTTTCAATTTGTTTATTCAATCGAAATGTAACCTGTGGACTTGGTTCACCAATCGATTTTGCTAATGATGGTAAATTTTTCAAACTATCCAAATATATCAAAAGACATGCAATTGAACCACAAGGATGTTGTTGTACATTATCACCGTATTCCGTTTTAAGCAAACGACATTCTTTCAATTGATTGTGAAGATTTTCCATCGAATGTTCCAATCGAAACCATGTTGCTCGAACATGGATTCTACCGGTTTTCGTATCCTTTAGATTGACCCAAGCATCAATCATACCATCTTGCATTATTGTTTCGATTGGAAATGAAACACGGCCAAGAAAATCATCTTTACTTCCTTGATCTTCATCCATTACTTCTAGATCGATACTTTGTGTAGAAAAAAATGCTAATGTTTCACAGATGAAACTCCATTTTGGATTGATTGTATTATAAATGGTTGCCGTTTTATATTCTTGATTGCCGATAATAATGTTCACATATGGATCACTTTTACCAAGGCCAAGCATTCCAACATCAGCTTTTTTCAAATGTCTTGCTTCTATAACTTCAAATCGTACAACACCCAGTGGCTGTGTAAATCTAATCAATTGACCTTTAAGATCACTGACCAATGGACAGACGAATTTATTTGGAAGAACCATCATTTTACCAATCTGTTCTTTTATAGAATTACGAAGAAATTCACTAAGGCCAGGAAAATCAAGTACATCGGCAACATTGGTGAAATTGAATTCTATGACCGGATTTTTGAGGAAATAAATCGATACACTGCCAATCAATGGCATATCTTTTATCAATGGTTTCATTTCCACACGAACAATACCGTAGAGCTGAAAATCTTTAATACCAGCATTAAGGCCTTTTATTCGTACTTGAATATCACAATTTCCTGCATATATTAGTTCAAGATCAAGGATGATTTCATCACGAGATGTATTTTCATCATAACATTTAACACTGCCAAGTCTCAATGGCTAAAAACGAAACAATATGAATCATTAATTGAATGAAAGAAAAAAACAAAAACTAACTACTACTAACCACAGTACCAAGATCAATTTTTTCAAAACGAAATCCTTTACAATAATCAGGCATAACATCATCAATGTTTTGTTCGACTTTATTTTTCAGCAAATTTTTCACATATTCACCAAGAAAAGGCCACATTTGTTTGAATATTCGATTTATCCATTCGGCTCGTTCCGTGTCCTAAATACATATGGAAATTTTCAACATATTTTACATTGACAAAAAAAATAAATTACCGGAAACAGGACCCAGCCAGGTAAATCTTGTACAGAATATTTTACAATATTTTTTTCATCAGCAGCGACCGCACGTTCAAATTGTAGCCGTCGTTGTTGTAAAAGGCGATTCTTATCACGTACGATCCACATGAATGCCGTCACAGATAGCCACCATGTACTCATATTTGTATAGCCAATAAGATAGCCAAATAACATGCAGCCAAATAATTTGCCAAATTTTTTGGCCATTGGTATAAGATCAACATCATCATCTTGTTTATTAGTATTTTTTTCAATCGGTTTCGTTGATGAAGAAACGGTAACGGATGTATTTTCTTCGGTCATTTTCACATAGATCACAAATTTGAATGTGTTTCAATTAGACATTGATTAATTTGTTGTTGAAGTTCAAAAATTAAATTAAATGCACAATCTGTAAATGCCAGAATGAAGATCAAATAAATTCGAATCAATCGATCCAGAAAACAATTTTAAATCATCTATATGCACTGTACTATAATTTAGGATTGTCTATTATTTCACTATTTAATATCCAAAATGATGATTTGGAGTTGCTCGTCTTTCTTCTCAAACACACACACACACCGACAAATATACAAAATAAATGTTGACAAAAAAAAAATATCCCAAAACACGCATACACACAATTCTAAAGACATAGAAATGTTGATGATGATGATGATGATATATCGTTTGTTTGTTCGTCGTCAATCACCAGAAAAATTTGTATATAAAAAACGATTCGGTTTTTTTCCGACATATATCCGTTGGACACACATAATACACATTATACAATACAATGCATGATTCCTATGATTCTCTTTTTGTTTGTTCGATATCAATTTGTTGTGAAAAAAATGCATAGGTCATACCTGATTGATTTTTTTTTCTTTTTTTTTGAATATCAAATAAAATATCAAATAATTATTCGACTATGATTCGTGATCAGGTGGGAAATTCTTTAGGTCAATTTAATTAATTTTATAAACAAATTCAATGTAGACAATGATGCAAATAGTGTGTTTGTGTAGTTACGTGAGCAAAATCTACTTATTAGATGCAAATAATAATAATCTGATGCTATTGCTTTATCCTTATAAAAATATACCACACATGAATCATCATCTATTTGAATGGTACTTTTAAATTAATTTATCGAATCAAATGATTCGAATCTTGAAATTGTTATTTTTTAAAAAATCAGTTATAATTATCATCTTTGATTGATTATATACATTAATTAATTATGATGATTATGATGATGATTATTTTTATGTTTTTTTCGTTGATTCTCGTCGTTTGTCTTTCGGCATCTAATAATAGCTGTAATAATCGATCATTCGTTTCGGCCGATATATTCAATGGATTCATGAATTCAGATATTCGTTGAAATTTAAACATTGATTTCAATGTTTCAAGTGTTTGTTTTTCTTTCACATTTTCTTGCTGTTGTTGTTCATCCGATTCAGATACAAGCAATCGATTGCTATCGAATGAATTGACCAATAATTGCATTTCTCTGATTAATGTCAACATTATGTTCATGGATTTTTCATTCAATTCGGATAGATCAGCAAGCTGACCACGGAGCAATTGTGCAATGAAACGATAAACATGAGCATATTCATTGTCATTGTCATTATCATCAAATGATTTGGCTTTCATCATCATGATGTCAGCGAATGTTGTGTTGAAAAATTCACATTTATAATGTTGTTTCAAATTCAACAGATTTGAAATCCTATCATAATGATAAAAAATTGAATAATACCAAGTCATAAAATTCAAAATGGCTTCAAATTCACATTTTTTACTTACGAATCGCCTAAACAACCAGCCGAGTCGGTTGACTTTCGATAGTTGTTCAATATTTTTTCAATTTTTTCTACACCATAATCGGCCAATGGAGATTGAGCTAGACGTTCTTCGTCAATCGATTCGAATCCATTGGCTACCAGTAATTTATATAATTCAATTTTTTCACTGTCATAAAATAATATATATAATTTAATGTTTAGGTTTAAAATAAAATTTCAATTATTTTACCTGATATTCAATTCTTCCATTTCGAGATCAAGTTCTTTTGAACACCTTAATCACATGGACAAACATGTAAATTCGAATACACCAGGTGGCGACACTATTAATGAGGTTTGAAACATTACATTTCATTTCGATGATATCAATATCTGTGGCTATTTTATGAAGAAGAACCACTATTTCAAAGTGAATCAAATTTTATTTTAGAAAGAAAAAATAAACCATAAATGATTATTAATAAAATGAATGAGAGTGGGATGATGGGGAAAACCAAAAATCATTGAATATGTCAATTTCTTGCAATCTTAATATCTACGATTATTATTATAATAACCGCCGCCGCCACCACCACCACCACCACTATGGCCACGTGGATTCATGTCAGAAGAATGATTTAGCCGCGATGATGACATCGATCCACTGGTACCACCACCGATACTGCTTGATAATATCCGTGGTGTTGTATGATGATCATAACCAGTGGAAGAATTCCATCCACGATTATCGGCGCCGATACTGCTTGACAAACCAGTTGTCATCCATGAATCCAGTGATGGTTGCCAGCTTTTATTCCCCAAATCAGAATATCGATGATCAGGTCGGCTGCCAGTATCATAGCTATTACGACCACCAGTAATCGAACCAAATGATGATCGTGGATTGATTTTTCGTTCCATTGGACTTTCTCGAGAATCATACCTACGAATTGAATTAAATTCGCGTCTGTAATTTCAAAAAGTTAATAATTGGAAACAAAAAAAAAATTTTTTTCAATGACATACCTATTATTATAATCATCATAACGTTTCTCTTCATGATGCATAAATGGGCTTCCATCATCGAAGGATCCTCCTCCCACATTACGTTTGATCATCGAACGAATCCGGTGTGGTGGGCCTGTTTTATCTTCAGATCTTAAATCACCAACAATAGCACTGCCACCACCACCACGTTCGAATTCAAATCTTGATTTCTGTTCAATTTTAAAATATTCTGCTTTTTCTTGTTCAAAACGTAAACGTTCCATTTTCAATTTTTGTCTTTCACGATCCAAACGTGATGATCCTCCATCTCGTTCATTGTTTCGTCTATCATGATGATGGCTACCTGATGATGATAATCGTATGGGTGGTGTCCGTCTCAATTTTGATGGTAATGAGGTTCGATGTTGAGGACGATGAAATGAACCACCACGTGTATTTGGTCGAAAAGATGAAGTAGGTGGCCGTTTTGGTATTGGTGGTTTCGCTATATATTTTCGAGAATCTCTGAAGCCTATTTTTTCGAGTTTTTTACCATCACTATCCTTATCATCTGGCCGTTCCTATAAAAATATATCAATAGAAGAGAAGCAGATTTTTTTTTGTTTGTTTTTCATTGATGAACGATGATCAAATTATATGAATTTACTTTGAACAATTCAATTTTGCTTCCACGAAAATCCGTTTTGTTCAATTTATCCAGACATCGTTGCGCTTGATCATGTGATTCCAATTTGACAAAACCAAGTAATGAATTGTTGTTGCCACGTATTATTTTGATGGCCAATACTTTTCCATGTTTGGAGAATATCTCTTCCAAGTGGGTGGATTTTGTGCCTACTGGCACGCCACTTACCCATAGATAACGTGTTTTGGCGAGATCAACTTTTTTCGAACGTGGTTTTGGATCACGTGCTGGGCTGTTCACAATCGAATCGAATCGTATTAATTAGGTAAAAATTGTATTGTTTTCTTTATATATTTTTTTTGAAAGACAAATTATATATCTTTTTAGTAGAAATTCACCTTTTTCTTCGAACATTATTTCGATTTGTTGTTGATGATGACGATGATGATTTCTTTTTACTGTCATTATTTTTTGTTGTTGTTGTTGATGATGATGATGATGAATTTTCCACTTTTTTCGATTGAGAATCCGATTTTGATGATGATTGTTGTTGCTGCTGCTGTTTACGTTTTCTGCGATCATCATTATTGACGATTTCTTCTTCATTATCATCACTTTGACCATCATCAGCATTTTCTATTTCTTCCATCTCCTCTTCATTATCATCATCGTCATCATTTCTGCTTTGATAATCATCGGATTCATTTTCAATATCGCTTGGAACATCGTCATCCATAATAAATGATTGATCATCATTTTTCGTATTACCATTTCTACTGCCACCACCACCACCACCATCATTAGAATATTCTTCATCATCATCATATGAAGCCATGTTGTTGTTTATTGGTTATTCTTTTTCTTCTTCTTTTTGGTCTCTGAAAGAATATTTTCGTTCTTTTTATTTGTCAAAAGTATATAGAGTATATATAGAAGATAATAAGAGATTTTTGTTTATGATTGATTTTTATTAAGAAAAAAAAATTTTTTTAATTTGATTTGGTCGTTTTTTTTAATTGGATGCGACCATACCCCACCAATGGATCGAATCTTCATTCATAGTAGTCATCATTATCACATTAAATAAAACGTGCATCGAATATTCTTCGAATATTCTGTAAATAGGAAATATTCTTTACCCGAATTGAATTGAATGAATTTCTTTACACATTTAGTGGTGGTGAAAACATTTTTTACTTCAAGAGATTTTTTCTTTCTTTCTTTTGCTATCGATTTTCAGTCATTAATATTTTCACTTTGCTCTATATTATCTTAATATAATAGGCTTTCTAATTACGTAGACACCACACACACAATATTGGTTTTTTGTGAAATTTAAAACAAAAATCATAATGATTAGGTAATCGAATTATTATTTTTGATTATATATTTTTTTTAATTTGAATCTTTTTTTTAATGATGATAAAAAAAGTGACTTACCTTAATTATTATAATAATATATTCACATTACCGCTGAAAATAAAATGTGCAGTTGGCGTGCTCTCTTCTCGAACAATAAAATCAAAAACACACCACACACACACACACAAAAACTCAATCGAAACCTTTGTCATTTGGCAACTATTTCTACATGTCTAAACCACATGAATCGATTTGGATTTACATTTTCGATGAATTTTTTTTTACTGATATTATCATGATTTAACATGAATGATAATTTCTTTTTTTTAGAATTCATAAATAAAAGAATACTGATAACCATTCCTAGCTGTATCTTCGGTTTTGCTTTATCATCTTTATTTGACAAATTACTTGACTTGTCTTTATTCCTAATCTGGACAATTATAACGATAATGACCAATTTTCTGGCAACCAAAGCATCTAATTTTCTCTTTTTCTTTCTTCTTCTTAGCTATAGAGAGCTAACACATTCTGCATACTGTCTGAATCGTTTGATTTTTGCATTTTATGAACACTTCTGACTAACGATTCCAGTTGCTCTAATGTTATGTCTTTTCCGGTTATCATCTTTGTGTAGTTTTAACACACTACATTTAACTTCATCATTAAATTTAGCTGGTAAAATCGACAGAATTTTTGAACATAGCTCTGAGCTTGTTTTTAATACTCCTCTAGCTTTTAGTTCATCATTAATTCTTCGTACTTGACTGAATATTGCTTCTATATCTTCGGACCAAGATATCTCGTAAAATTTTTGCAATAAACTTTCAGTTGATTTACTTGAGCACCCTCTATGAAATTATATTAATTTATCCATCATTTGCTTAGCTGAATTGCAACCAGAAATTCGATGAAAATTTGTTTCATCGACCGTTCTTACTATAAACGCCATGGCCATGAATTTACTTGGATCTTCTGTGTCGTTGATGTTATTGTTCACAACGTATTTCCACAAATTTTTTCCTTTCATGGTCAATTCTATTTCCATAGCCCAACGATGAAAATTAGAATCGTTTAAAATAGTAATGTCAGTCAGTTCTTGCGTTACAGAGCCCATTTACCTTTTAGAATTCACAAATAAAAGAATAGATGAATAAACAATTTAGAAGGCTTTTTAATAATAATAATTCATTGACTTCTTGTTCTATATATTTATAATTAACTTGATCAATTAATCATTTCAACAACTCAACACTTTTGATGATATCGTTTCCAGAATATTACTGATTTAAAGTTTAAATCTTCATAGATAAACCTTAAATCAATTTTCGAAACTTAATACGGCAAATAGAATAGAATTTGCTGAGTTTTTTTATTTTTTTAATTAAATTTTCGCTAATTTTGCATGTAAATGAGTGAGTGTGAGAACGTTTTTTTCGAACTTCTTTTCGAACAAAAAGCATAAATTTTACTTAGATTCCCTTTCTATATGGTTAATGTCCTTTTGTTTTATACTTGTGTACTTTACTTTATTTATTTTATTTGTACTTGTGCTTCCTTGCGACTTATAATTTATCAGGTTATGGGCTCACAAGATTCTACGCACACTACTTCTTGCATCTTAACCGACTCGACATATTCTAGAATCTAGATGGATGTTTGAGATCGATTGTGTCTTAAGAAGTCAAGATCTATGGGATGTTTAGAAAGCTTATTTTGTTTCATGATGGAACATCGACTACATCGATTGCGAAATTGAAGCAAAAATTTTATGAAATTTCATAGACTGGAAACGTAAGAGAAACGTTTAGCGAAATTAGAAAAGTTGCAGCTGAGTTAATTGGTCGTGAATGCTCCAGAATCGGAAGAGAGCATTGTGTCAAAAGCGCTTTCAAAATACTACCGGTGGAATTTGAAGCAGGCTTACGTCTGACCATGAGCTGACATTGGAACAACTTGAAACAATTCTAAGGTGTAAATTTTGAATTTTTTTTCATTGTCATCATTTTTCTAAATTATTACAGCTTCAAGAAAAAATAAAAAATGATTCTGTAAATATGATTTTTCAATTTTCGAATAGGTAGAATCAACATTAATGTCAGCAACCGTTGTTTTTAATCAACGTAAAGGTCGCATTCAGAATTTCGGTTTTCGCTATTTTTGTCTTTCGCTATTTTGGATTGATATCTTTTTTTTGTTGATTAGATTTAAATTTAGATGATTTTATTTAAAAGTCGGTTTATCCATGATTTGTAACAAGTGAGCAGAGTGGCGCAGCGGAAGCGTACTGGGCCCATAGGATTCTGTGAAGTATTCGTTGAATCAGTTGATTCTTTGGCTATTTCATACTGTTACATTTTTTAGTGATATTATCATGGAATATTTCTTTTAATATATGATGATGATTAGCCATTTGATGATATTGTTCCCAGAATACTGATTTAAAGTTTAAATCTTCGTAGATAAACGATGAACTGCGCACCGGTGGATTGTAATAATGGACTTTGCTTAAAAAGGTTAGGTTAGGTTAGGTGGATGAATCGCCATAATACTAACATATCCAACTTATCTCCAGCTTTAAAGTTTTTCTTATTGTTTTTTTCTTCATGGTCGATAACAATGAAAATGCTCTTTTCGTATAATTTTCATTCGCTATTTTTGTCTTTCGCTCTTTTTGTCTTTCGCTATTTTTGACTTTCGCTGTTTTGGATCGATATCTTTTTTCGTCGAATAGATTTAAATTTAGACATGATGCTATGCAAAACTCGATTTTTCTGGATTTCACTATAAGCGAGCAGAGTGGCGCAGCGGAAGCGTGCTGGGCCCATAAATCCGGAAGTGGTCGTTGAGTCGATGTTTCTTCGATTCTTCGGTTCTTTCTATCTTTCTTCCATTGATACCCAGAGGTCCGTGGATCGAAACCACGCTCTGCTATTTTTGCATTTTTGACGTTGATTTTTTGACCCTTAGGATCCGGAAGTGTTCGTTGAATCAAAGATTCTTTCTTTTTCTCTTATAAACACAGAGGTCGTGGATCGAAACCACGCTCTGCTACATTTTTGCTTCCGGTCCATTGATAGGTATCGGTAATTTACATTTTTGATGGATCCAAGCAAGTAATTGCTGCTGAATCAATGATTCTTTGATTCTTTGATAATCCAATGACAAACACGTGGATCGAAACCACGCTCTGCTACATTTTGCTTCCGGACCATTGATAGGTATCGGTAATTTACATTTTTGATGAATCAAAACCACGCTCTGCTATTTTTTTTACTACTAAAAAGCTATTTTTTGAATTTTTTTTTGGAATTTCATTCATTTGGAAAATTTAGAATACAGATAACTTCACCAACAATTCACACAGAACACACAAACACACACACACCAAATCTTTATAGATATGCGCATTAATAAAATTATTATTATTATTACATTCATTTGGACAGTGAAAGAATAAATTTATAAAATTTTACAATCTCCATTGCTTCTGGACGTTCGATCGATTTTGGTGATTTACATTTTTGATGTATCCAATCAAGTAATCGTTGCTGAAACAATGTGATTTTCAATTTCCGTAATTGATCATCATCATCATCATCGTCTTTAATGATCCAATGACAAACATCTGGCACTTTCCAAATATCCGTTTTATGATCATAACCATCATCATAAGTGTTTGGATAACGTTGTTCTGGTGCAACAAAATCACCAACAATAGGTCGATGTCCACATTTAATTGGTCCATGATTAGTGTTTGGTAAAGCATCCAGATCATTCATAATAATCAATCGATCATCATCATCATCATCATCGGTTATTAGATATTGTGATAATGTTTTAGTCAAATCATTTGAATCACACATGACCATAGAATTTTGATGTAAAAATTGTAAAATTTTTACATATTCAATACAATACAATAGACGATTGTTGAAATTTGATTTTCGTATGGCTAAAATTCGCCGTAAATTATTCATATCACCAAGTGGATAATATGGAGTGAATATTGATTGTCCACAATTGCCAATTAATTCAATTATAAATGGATTTTTGTTCATTCGAAATCGTAACAGATTTTCGATATTTGCTTGAAAATCTTCTTTATACACGGACATTGTCAATGTAGACATGACCAATGGTTGATGATTCCATTCTACAAGCCAAACATTTTTCACTGTTCCTCTGGCAAGAATACGAATTGGATTCATTTGTTTGACATCATTACAATCAAGATATGAATAACAGCCATTATATAAACGAAATTGTCCAGTCGAACATTTTGTTTTGAATTGAAAATTTACAACATAAAATAAGATGATCAAGATGACCAAACAAGAAAATGTGAAAAATTTTAATGCCATGAAAAGCGATGTTTACAATGAATTTACAGAAACAAAAAAAAATGAATGAATGAATGAATTTCACAATCAAATACGATCAAGAGATTCAAGTAATACTACTGCATTTCCACGTATGACAACCATACCGATTGGTATCTGTTGATTTCGTTTATTAATCTCTACTGCTTCATCAATAACTAGATTCATAAATGGATCGAAACCACGAAGAATGCCGGTCACTTGACGATTACCGTTCAGTTTCACTATGAATAAAAACTTTTCAAATAGAAAACAAAAAAATCAAAAAAGATAAAAAAAAACTACTTACATGATAATCGTTTGTCCATATATTTTTTAAGTTCAGGTGGATGTGCTTTGCTCATTTTTTTAAATTTTACAAATTTGAGTTATCCGAAAAAAAATAGAACCAAAATCCCGAAAAAAAAGCAACTTGAATAGAACAATAGCGTGTTCGTGTGTTGTGTGTGTGTGTGTGTGTGTGTGGTAAAACTCGAAAACAGGTTGTTCATAAATGACGAATCAAAAAAAAAAATGGCTACGATTATCGAAAATTAAAAATTAAAATCTCCAATTCTGTGCATAAAAAAAAATCCATTCCCTTAAAGATAAAGATTTCTTGTCATTTTTAATTTTTTGAAAGAAATGTTAAAAAAATGAATCAAAAAAAAAATTTGAAATAAAATTTTTTTTTTGATTAATTTTTGCCATCAGCATAAGTAGCGCACTCTGTTGTGCAAATAATTCGAGCAATAACGTTTTTTTTTTTTTTTTTGCCCACTCACACTCGCACACACACAAGAGTTCGTACAGTTTTTTTTCACGTAAAAAACAGCGCCTCATAGCGGCTATTAAAATAACACCATTTACAATTGATCTTTCTTTTTTTTTTATTTTAGCACTCGTAAAAAATCGTCGTTGTATATGTGCACAAAGTTTGAGTTTTATTAGAAAAAAAAGTAAAACATTTTTTGTGTGTGTGTATTCCACATTATAGAAATTAATGGATCAAGATCTATTGATAAAATTAATTCAGATTTTTATTTGAAAATCATCAAATATCAAAATTATTCTCTTCAGATATACTCGTAACGGAATATATATATATCTGACACGATTACGATTATTTACAGAACACAATGTCAGCCGCATTACGTAGTAGTACATCGGACATCAAATATCCTTCGGGATGTCGTGAGATTACCGAAGAATTAGCTACCGATGATCTTATTCGAAGGTAAGTTTAAATTTAATTGTTATTGATTTCGTATATAAGATACATACACGATCATGATTGGCTCATTGATTGGATTGATGGAATTTTGTTGTGGTGGAAAATTTTCATTTTTTTGTTTCTGTTCGTTACATTCAATCGATTTGTATATTCACCGCTTTGATTCAAACTAAATGGCGCCATCTCTTTATTCTTATCGGGGTTCATAATTTTGGAAATTTTAATTCTGCATTTTTTTTTTTTTTAATTTTAAATCAAGGCTCAAGGATATTGCCATGGCATTTCAACAGATGTCACAGGAAGAGAATAATAAAATCTACATTCCATTGGCATTATATCTGGGTAATGTTCATTTTAGATTTTTTTGATTTTATATTTTTTTTTCATAATGATGACCATAATTATTTTTACAGCCACTGACTTTTTTCTTGAACATCCATCTCGTGATGTTCGATTGTTGGTTGCCTGTTCCATTGCTGATGTATTTCGAGTGTTTGCACCGAATGCTCCATATGATCGAGCCGATATAATCAAAAGAATATTCATGTTTTTCATTCAACAATTGAAAGGATTACAGGATCCAAAAGATGCTACATTTAAACGTTATTTCTATCTTCTCGAAAATCTTGCCTGGGTTAAATCATTCAACATATGTATCGAATTGGAAGATTCACAACAAATTTTCTGTGAATTATTTTCACTAATGTTCAAGGTAAGTTTTTGATTTACAAATATAAAAAAAAATCACAAATTTAATGAAAAAAAATACATTTCAATTGTATAGATTGTCAATGAAAATCATAGTGAAAAAGTGAAAAATTTCATGCTAGACGTATTGAAACCATTGATAATTGAATCGGATACAGTATCGTCGAAATTATTGCAAATTATATTGATGCAAATTATTGATCCGAAAAAATCGGCCAACAAACAAGCATATTGGTTAGCATCACAAATTCTTGATAAAACCAGTAGTACATTGGAACCATATATATCGTCATTTTTTTCCAAAGCCATTACACGTGGTTGGAACGAAAACGGTAATGTTTCAGATGGTGAAAATGATGACGAAGAAATGAATGAATTGAAACAAAAATTCCGTAAGAATAAATCCAATTCAAATTCGATTGAAGTATCACAGATATGTGATTTAATTTATGAATTAAATCAAATCTGTCCAAATATTGTCAAAGGTCTTTTGCCACATATTGAATTTAAATTGAAAACAAATGAAGAAAAAGAACGTTGTGAATACACTAAACTTTTGGCCCGATTATTCTCTGACCGAAATTCTGATTTGGCTCAAAAATTTCCTGAAGCTTGGAAACAATTTCTTGGACGTTTTCGAGATATCAGTGTTTCCGTACGGGTTCGTTGCTGTCAATACTCTATGCATTTTCTTGTTAATCATAAAGAATTACGACAAGATATAACTGAACAATTGAAACAACGACAACATGATACTGATGAAAATGTTCGCTATGAAGTAGTCATGGCCATTGTTAGTGCAGGAAAAAAAAGCATTGATAATATCAATGAAGATTTACTTGGTTTTGTCAAAGAACGTACTTTGGATAAAAAATTTAAAATTCGTCGTGAAGCTTTGTTGGGCATGGCACAGCTATATAAACAATATAATTATCATCTATCCACATCGGCTGCTGTTGCTAATCAAACAGATCCTGAATCTACTGAAGCTGCTCAGGCTTCATTACGAATGTTGAGCTGGATCAAGAATAAATGTATGCACAATTATTATCAAGCACAATTGGAAGATAAATTATTGGTCGAAAGAATTGTACACACTTGTTTGGTACCATTTTCATTGAATCTTTCACAACGAATGAAAGCATTGTACATGTTTTATTGTTCTATTGATGTTCGTGCTGCACGTGCATTCAATGAACTACTTCGTCAACAACAGGCTGTTCGTCGTCAAATGAAAGATGTAATGGACATCATATGTCGAACAGAAAAAATTGAAGATAAAGATATGATATTGAAACAAAAAGTTGCATTGGTAGCCAAAAATCTTACCGAACCTGTCAAAGCAGAAGAATATATAAATAAATTATGTCAGAATCTTGAAACAAACATTACAGCTAAACAACACATGAACATGATCGTTACATCGGCTTCATTTGTACAATTGACTGAAGATGGAAAATATGTACCGCCAGCATCATCAGCGACAATCGAAAATTCCGTCCGTGAGATACTCAAATCGCTTGGATTTCCCGTTCAGACTAATTCATTCTATATGATTATCAAACAATTAATGGAACGTATTGCACCGATCATGATTGATCATCAAGGACTGTTGATGATATTCAACTATGTTTCCGATTCATTGATTGGTGACGGAGAATTGGATGGTCAAATGGGTCTGCATAATTCGGCTATTCGTGGATTACAACTTATTGAAGTGAGTTTGTTTCTGTTTATTTTGTTGTTGTTTATCTAATTCTTTGGATTTTTTTCTCTTGATCATTTTCAGATTTTATCAGTCGTTTTTCCTCCTTTATTCTGTGGTCGTGATATATTCAATACTTATCTATTGCCATTTTTATGGCAATGTGGCGGTTATCCTGAAGTTGCAGAAATTGTTTTACAAATTTTGACCAATATCGGTTCAACAGCTTTTTCTGATTCCGATACAATGGAAAATACAATCATTCCTTGGTGGGCAGAAAATGAAGATTTTGTCACACGTTTGATTGATAAATTTATTCTTAATGGTAAGGATTTTAAAAGAAATTCAACATGTGGACTTTTTTTATAATGTTAAAATATTTTGGTACAGCCTCGACAACAAAACAGGCAAAATATGCCATCAAATGTTTGAATGCCATCATATTGGATGACAATGAAAAGATTAAAATCTATGGCGATATTATCGATAAAATTAAAGAAGCTGGCCTCTCATTAGAATCTACACCATATTTTCGTTTCCATTTGGTTGCACTCGGTATGATCGCTGTGAATGGTGGCCATTTATTTTTTCCGAAAATGTTACGTTCAATTGTACAGAAATTCATTGTACAAGGATTATTACTCAAAGATATACGTACACAATTGGAAATTGAAACATTACAAAAATCTGAAAACGAAAAAGAACATAGTAATGATCTGAATACAATCTATGAATTTCTAAGCGATGAAGTGAAAGCTAAACATGAAGGTATCAAATTATTGGTTCGATGGATTTTTGGATTGAAATTGAATTCCATTTTGGTTATACAAGAGAGTCAAGCTGAAGCAAACAGTAAGTGTATTATATAAATTATTTTTAATGATGAAAAAAGACAATTTCTAAAAAAATTTCGAATCATAGGTACCTATCAGAAAGCTGCATCCAATGCTTTTCAATTGTTAAAGACAATCATTAAAACTGATGGTGATTTGAATGAAAATGACCATGCCGGTACTGTTCTGGAGAAGGCATTTCTTAAACTTACCGCTGCATTGGCCATGATAAAGATTGCCTCTAATGATGCTCATTCATCAGTATCATCGAATAATGAACCAGTTTTCCAAAAATCATCAACATTGGATATAATGTCCGTTCATCAATGGCATTGTTTGGCAACGGTTTTACTTGATTCACAAGAATTTGTCCGCGAAAAGTTCCTAAGCAAATTGAACAAAAGCCTTATGTCGTTGAATTTGGGATTGGAATTTTTGGCCTATTTTTCATTAGGTGGCATGTTTGAAAATAATGCATTCAGGAATAAAATGAAAACCTTTATACATTTAAATATGATCAAACGGCGTGATATCGTCAAAACACGAATGACACCAAATCTGAAAAGTGTTGTACCGGAATGTGTCATGCCATTTGTCATACATCTATTGGCTAATATGCCATTCTACACTCAGCATGATGATATTGATCAATTGGAAAAAATTAAAGGTTAGTCAATGAATTTGTTTTGATTCATTTTTAAATTGTTTCATTATCGTTTGAAACAGAATGTCTTTGGTTTATCTTGGAACCATTGGTATTGAAAAATGAACTTTATTCGTTTTCATTTTTCAAGAAAACATTTGAAAATATCAAACAATGTGTAGATCGTGTGACTGCATCACAGATGAAAACATCGAATAATGATCCTAATATTGTTAAAATGGCCACAATTGTCAATCATAAAATTTATTCAGTATCTGATTTGGCTATGGGCCTAGTCATATGTAAAACGCAAAATTTTTTGCTCAAAGAATTTCCTGTACCACCTAGTTTACCTGGAAAATATTTTACAGCATCGTCAAACGCTGTTAATGTAACGAAAAATTATCTACCGGTTGAAATGCAATTTCAACCACCGAAACGTTGTGGCCTTGAAACAGAAATGTTGGGCCGTATAACGAAATCATTTTCACAGGTATGAATGAAAATCATGATGAATTGTTTTATGCTATTTTAACTTTTTGTTGATTGATTATATTAATTTCCAAATTAGTCAAATGCTGGTAAAAATAAAAAAAGTGGTAAACAAACGAAGAATCAACAACAACAACAACAACAACAACAACATTCAATAATAAATAATGATAATCTTATCGATGATTCAAGTTTAGTCGATCAAAATGATAATTCAAATAATTCATTGATACAACAACAACAATCAAATACGACTGGTGCTAGAACACGAAAACAACAGATTGTAATGTGTTCAGATAATGAAAATGATTCCAATCAATCGGCACCATCAACAAGTAATGCAGTTAATAATAATAATGATAATAATGATGATAATGATGATGATAATAACGAAACGACCAACAACAATGATGCTAATGATGATAATGAAAAAGATCAGACAACTGAACAAACGTTGAATAATGAAAAATCGGAATATGATTTCGATGATGGTGATGATGACCAACAGCAAGAAATTAATCGAAATTCTGAATCTAATGCTGATTCTGCCGCCACTTTTGGTCAAAAACGTGGTCGTGGTCGGCCGCCATCGAAACCAACAACCTCATCAACTATGGCAGTGAATAAAACCGATACCGCCACCAGTCAAGCAGCAGCAGCATCATCACCATCAAATCGCGATGGATCACCACCACGTAAATCAGCTCGTATAGCTCACAAGTAAGTCGATGTCACAAAAATTGAATGATGAACATATATTTTATTTTATTATTTTTTATCATCATATAGATCACCTCGTCGATCACCATCTCCTGAACTTGAATCAGCTGAATTATCTTCATCTTCCATGACCGTTGCGACAAAATCAAGTGTTAATACACCAATGCCTCAAGCAACATCAACTCCTATTGCTACTCGACATACAACACGTACAAGTGGCCGTTTGGTTGGTAAAAAATAACCACAAACAAATTGTACTCCGAAATATAAGTCATCATCAACATCATCATCATTGAATCATCCATTAATTTTTTTATAGCAAAAAAAAATTGATTATTGGTAGCAACAACAACAACAAACTTTTCCTAATCATATATGATGGAATCAGCAGCCAAATTAATTCGTAAAATTCTTTTCATTATTATTCATCCACACACCACCACCATCACTCTATATATATAAATACATTTTTGCTCTGTTTTCAAGTCATTAATGTTGATCAATTTATAATCATCGAGTTTTTTTTTACCATCTGGAAAAAAAATGAATGAATATATATACCATTTATTATGGAACTATATATATGAATACAAATTTCATTTGACCAATACAAAAAAAAACAAATTATTGCACATCTATTTTTTATCTATTAATTTATTTATATCTATTTTTATTTGATAAAATCGTAAATTTCCGTAATGATTCAAATTTGAATTTTTTTTTTTTTTTTTCAAATTAACGCGCTTAACACTGTTTTATTAATAACACCATCTAGAGCTGGAAATTGTAACTAAAATTAATGAAATAAAAATAATCATCATTATTACTATTTATAATACCACTACTACTACTATAAATCGGTAATTCTTGGAGTTCGTTCATTCACCGATTATCAATTGGGGTGATGATGATGTTGATTATAAAAAAAAATGATGATGAGCAGTTCATGTGTGTGTGTGTGTGTGTGTGTGTGGTGTGTGTGTGGTATCCGAATGAATGAATTGAATTGAAAGATTCAGTTTTTTTTTTTTTTCGTTTTTGCCTTGCGTGTACATACACCATTTGTATTTTTACTATTTGGCGGTATAACCGAATAAACTTGAATTTCAACTTGCCATCCGCGCTTTTGGGTTGTGGAATGGTATTTTTTTTTATCTTCTGTGTGTCCTTTTGTTGTTGTTGTTGTTGTTGTTATCGTATACGAATATAACACAACACGACATGACATGACCGACTCTCACTGTATTTTTACTCTGTATATGTGTGTGTGTGTGTGTGTGATGATGAACCTATGAACGTAGATTCGTTTGTTCAATTTTTTTTTTGGGTTCAAAATTTTTGGTTCACCAAATTTTTTTTTTTCGCTATTCACGTTTTGTGTATTCTCTAGTTGGTTGGTTGGTGCCATATCAGCGTGTGTTTGTGTGTGTGTTATGGTGATGGTGTTGAAAATTGCAAACAAAAACAGAATTATTTATCCACAAATGAATCACGAATCTAACATTGAATTTATCATGTGAACAAAAAAAAACTATATTCCTTATGTACGGTGTTTGATGTTTTGGGCCATGTTTTTCATTGAACATTTGGTTGACTCATCATCATCGTTTTGTTTTGTTGTTGACTGTAGCCTGGTGTGTTTGGGTTGGCTGGTTGGGTGTGCATGCCAATGTTTTTTTTTCTGGTGAATGAATGAATAAAACAATGGCCATTTTTGATGACGATAATCAAAATACAAGGCCAATTATGAATATTTTTGTTGAAAAATAATTTTTAAAAAAAATTTCTTCTATTCTTGTGTGCCATTAATATTCATCATCATCATCATCAAAAATGGAGATGAATTTCAGCCATCATCATCACCATCAACGTTCGAATTTTCGAACGCGAAGAAAATCAAATGAAAATTCTATCAACAACAACAATCCGATCTCATTATTATCAAGATTTGTTGTTAAAATAGTGCCATCATCTTTTCATCATCATCATCATCATCGTCATTTATTTCTATCATTCATCATTATATTATTCAATGTTATTCATCATCATCATCATATAATGGTCACAATGGCACAAACATCATCGTCTGGCCATCCATTATGTAAGTATAAAATTTATCTAAAAAAAAAATTAAATTCTTTGTCATTTTATTGAATGAGAATCATTCTTATATGTTCTTTCCAAGTTTATATTTTATTTTTATCCAACAACATTCATCATCATCATGATTATGGAGTAAATTGAAGACGAACATAATATTATTTTTGAACATCATCCCTGTTCTTCTGAACACTGATTCTTGAATTCGTACTGAATATTGGTCATACACTTATGTTTTGTTTTTGTTTTTGCTCGTTCAGCAATTTTTGAATTTTTAAATTGAAAAAAAAATTCAATTTTGACTCAGAATAAAAAATTTTTTTTTATTCCATGTTTGTCAATTTAACAATTTCAATGTTGTCGTAGACATGTGATATCACCTCCAAACAGAACAAAAAAAAATGGATTCATGGATTCTGTATGTTTAATGGTTTTTTTTCTGTTCCTGGATCATCACAACTTTATTCTTTTTTTGTGTTTGTTTGTTGTTTTTATTTTTGTTCTATTCTCTAGAACATTAATATTCCCAAATAGGAAGAATTTGGCATTCTGTTTCCATTTTTATTCCAGAAAAGTCACCACCAACACCATACCATACCATACACCATTCGCACATCATTCGTAAAAAAAACCTTTTCCATCTTAATCATCATCATCATTATTATTATTATTATTATCATTTTCTCTTGTATGAAAACACAGCTAAATATGAAACCAAATGTGATTTGTGCTGACTTTGTGTGTGTGTGTGTGTGTGTTTGAACAGTCTGATTCCAAAATTTTCTCCATTCTTCCTGCTCCCAGAAAAAAAAAAATTGGAGATGAAAAAAAGATGATGATGATGATGAGGTATAAGTTATTATCAGGCAAGCCTTCCCACATTGTGTTTATGTTTGTGTGTGAGTGTGTGTGATCCATTTTCATTAGTCCAATTGTTCATATTAAAACAAAAAAAAAGTCAAAATGAGTTCTGTAATGTATTTTCATGTGTGTTCTGTCCAATCTATCTTGAATTTGACACAATCTATACGACGACGACAACGACGACAGCAAAAAGAAAGAATAGAAAAATCTCTTGCTGCTTTTTATTCGAAAATCAAACAAATTTGGATGTTTAGCTAGTTGTTTTCATTTCAAACCATTCAAAATATATCTGAATGGTTCAGCGCTCATTTTATTCAAGATAATCTCAAATGATGATGATGATGATTCACTCCGTTGATTTTTTTTTGTTTTGTTTTGTTTTGTTCCCTCATTGAATTTATGGAGTGCAGAATTTTTTTTTTTTTTTTTTATTATAGAGATAAATATGATAATTATCAAAAGGTCTCTGTGAAATGTGTGATATATGGGGTCATTCTATGATTCATGATATAATTTTTTTTTTGGTCATTTCCTCAATGTCAACTAAAGTTGTCACTGGAAATTTCGTTTTTTTTCTCTCTGTGTGTATAATGCATTAACTCGATTAAAGTTTTTTTTTTAGTTTTAGAATCTGCTGCTGCTGCTGCTGTCATTGACTTGATGATGATGATGATGATGACATCCGTACCAGAGAAAAAAAAATAGAATTTATCATCACCTAAACAACCGCACAAGAATTATGAGATTTTCATAAAGTTTTTTGTTGTTTGTAGTGAAGAAAAAATTTGTCTAGTAGTTGTAAACACCATGTGTTTCTGTTTGGATCAGTATCCTTTTTTTGACACTTTTTTTTCACGAATTTCAGATTGTTTTGTGTGTATGTGGATTGTGATTTAGCAGCAGCAGCAGCAGAAAAAAAAAATTTCACTAGATTTATTTCTGCTGATTTGACTTTGATTTTTTTTTCTCTCTCATTATAATAATAATTGTGTGTGGGTGTGTGTGTGTGTGTGAGAATTTCACCAGATTATATTTATTGACTGATTCTACCAGATGCTAATTATTGTTTTTCTCTCTCTCTTATGGTTCATGGTTCTTGAAATTAATTTTTTCCGGTGTGAACAAAATACAAATTGAAATGCAATCTGTAGATTATTGTTGTTCCGCATGATGATGATGATGATGATGATGATTATTTCTAAATGAATAATATCCTTGTGACAGATACAGAAACGAAACAGACACACATATGGAAAACATATATAAATATATGCTATATGTGGATATCACGTCCGTTTCAATGATCATTTGATGATTTAGATATAATTTTTTTTCCACGCAAGATAAGATATTTAAACGCACAAACGCATGCAAATAACATTTCTATACTATGATGATGGTGATACCCTTTTTTTGTTATTCCAAATTCAAATATATCTAGCTATGGATGAAATATACACAGGAAATGAAACGTTTTGTTATTTTTTGTTATTATTATGGATATGAATGTGTAGAGGTATGCATTGTGTATCATTATGCAAATAAGTTTGAACCAGAATTTTGAATATAAAAAAAATAAATTCTCAAAACATTCTATACCAATTTCATTTTTTTTACATTTGATTCTATGGAATTAGCTCTTGCTTTTGCACACAAGATGTGTTTTCATTTTTCCATCATTTATATATTTCAATATTGTTTTGATTTCTTTTCTGGCTATAAATACATATTTAACCGTTTTTCTCTCTCTTTTCTTTCATCACATAGTAGTAATGGTGGAAAAGAAAAAAAATTGCCGTGTAATTAATTTCACCTGTTTGGTTGTTTGGGTTTTCCGCTTTTTTCTACCATTTGGGTTTTGTTTTTGTTGTTGTTGTTGTTGTTGTTGTTGTTGCATGGTTCATAATTGCAAATATGGAAAAAAGTTTTTCATGTAAATTCGCCACCGGTTACTCGTCATACAAACACACACCCTTTTGAGAAATATTCTATGGGTTTTTTTCACTCTCTCTTTTTCCATGATAAATTTTTATGGAATTTCGTTTTTTTTTTTTTTTTGGTATTTAATATGTCATAGTCAATTATTCTTGGTTGGTTTTTTTCATCATTGTCGTCAAAAATAGACCTTGTCAAAACTCATTATCAAATCCATATGGTTTTTCGTTTGGTCGATTGCCATCGGGCAATTATGTGTGTGGCCATCCTTTTGGCCATTTATTAATCAGAATCATTATAATATTTGGATCGTAGTCAACCAACTCACTTAGCCATTTCATCGAAATTCACTATTGCAGCTGCCTATTTTTGTTGTTGTTATTGTTTTTCAATGTTTTTATTATTGACCAAACAACAATATATTTCTATCCATATGGAACAACAACAACAACAATAACAACTCCACCTTAAGCTACAATTAATGTCCCGTTTTTTTTTTTTTTTTGGTTTTATATCAGTCGTGTGTGTGTGTGTGTGTATCAGGTCCATCAATTCTACTGATTACTTTCATTGGTAGGCGCATTAGTGATAGTTTGTCATTCATTCATTCATTCATTTGTGGACAATATATATTGAAAGCGATTAGCAGCCAGTCTGACCGATGGTCAGCCATTTTTTTCTTTAGAAACGTGTTGTTGTTCCTGCATTATTGTCAAAATGTAATTAATAAAGTCCTTTTTGCCTGAAATGGATCTTTTCTGTAGTTTCTATTCGATGATCCTTTTTTGGGTCTATGAATGAATGAATCCGGCAATTTTTTTTGTTGTTGGCTAAATCAAGCTTTATGGGTTTTTTTTCTTTTTTTTTCTTTCATTCTCAATGAGACACAATGTGTAATGTGCACAGAATTAGAAATGAATCCTAATAGGATTTCGTTCGTTCGTTCGTTGTATGTATGTTTGTGTGATGATGGTGAAATACCACGTTGGAACGATCCAAAACTGTTATAAAAAAAACCCGTCAGCCAGCTGCCACCACTACTACCATCATTTCATATTATACAATATAATAACCTATGACTCGATCTTTGGGATCTTACCAGTCACATCCATGTGGGTGAGGCCAGAGATATTTTACCATTGATAAAATTCTGACGCAATTTTTTCTCTCTGTTATTCAATATAATAGCTTTAGCCTGAGTAAAAATGAAAATAAAAACGAAATAAATAAATAAGTAAAAAATTCAAACACGAGAATGTTTGATTTTTTTTCCTCTGTGTGTGTATTATGATTATATTCCATTTCACGTTCATTCTCATTCACATTCATTCATATGTATAGATTATTCACATAACGTTAGTGTTTTTCTCTTGGGACTTTTGTGTGCAAGAAAAAAAAAAAAAAAATCGATTCAATATGATCAAGTTCAATCGATTGACATGTTCTTGTTGATGTCAATGTCGATGATGAGAGTGATAGACACAACTTTTTTTTTACACGGTGCAAGTCGTTTCATTTTTTTTTATCATTCATATAGATATAGATATTATTAACTGGTGTGTGGGTCTTTTTTTTTTGTTCTCTGGTTGGTTCCATATCAATTGATCCATCATATACACATACACGCACACGCACTATATTAAGACATTGTTTACATAAACATCCTAAGAAATACAACTCTTGGGTTTCTCTGTGTATTTATTCTCTGTTTTGCTGGTTTTTTTTTGTTCTTTCAGAAACAACTCTCATCATCATCATCCAAACAATTCTGTTGATCATTCATTCATTCATTCCACAGTCAATTCGATTTAAATTCCCAAATGAACGACCATCGAATCCACCCAATAAAAACAATATGTTTTCGTTTAGTTTTTTTTCATTTAAAAAGTTTAAAAGTTTTTTTTTGTGTGTGTGTGTTCAAAACTTAAATTATCTGGTTTGTCTAAGATGGTATTGAAGAATTTTTCGTTGTTTAAAAATAATAGAGAGAGAGGGAGAGAGTTTTTCTTTCACCATTCATTTTATAAGCAAAGAATAAAGAGATGGTGATGAACTTTTTTTCTGGTTCTGGGTCCTTGTTTTTTTTCTGCTGATCATCATCAACATTTAATGTTTTTTGATTATTTATTATTATTATTATTAAAAGGACTTGTTAGGAGTTGTAAGTTCATTCATTTTCACTTTGTTGATGTGTTTAATTTA